AAGACCGTAGGAAGGCGTGGTGGACATCGAAAATGAGTGAGGGATGTTCATCGACGAATCGCAATGTTTGTCGAACAAGGTTACTCTTCAACGGTTCGCGGGCGATATTCAACAATTTAAGCCACTCTTCAGATGTTTTTCCTTGTTCTGCAGAAGCTACTATTTCAGGGGTTGTTTCAGTAACCGACGAGATGCCCGGAGGTAGGGAAATATCCTGGGAGGGTGTCTCAGCTTCCGTAGGTGGTGCGTCTTCCGGAATATCTGCACTGGCGGAAGGTTCAGGCACAGGGTCTGGGGGGAAAGGAAGAGGATGAGAAATGAGTAACTCTGTGGCTGCATTGACGTTGTTGTGACTACGAATCAGAGCCCGCTCAGCGGCAGAGCGAGGAAAGCCCATATCAGTAAGTTGGCGTATTCGATTTTCGTCAGGACCAGTGGCTCTAATATTTGCTGCACCACCGCCTCCAAGGGAAGAGCTGGCTAAACCAAGGTCATCGACAGGTTCAGCCTTAGACTCCTCGTTCTCGCCACCCGTCAGCTCAAGAACGGTTTGAATGACAGATTTAAGCAAAGGGAGAGGGGCAGACACAAGCCAAAATGCGTCCCAGATATTGTGTAGCAAAGGGGTGATGGCAAGACGAAGGCGAACAAGGAAGTTATGAGGTTCGAAATAATCAGGGTCATCATCCTTTTTGTCGCGACTCATCACAAGTAGTGTTTGACCCGACTCAAAGAGAGGCTTTGAAGAAACGAGGGGATGGAGAAGATGTAACGCAACCTTCAAACCGCCATGAGCGTGAATCAACTCCTGCTTAGCTGTCTCTGTGCGATCCTCTGGAGGGAGTGATGTAACAAGGTTGATGCTGGTTGTGAATTTTTCACATAAGCTGAGAATAGCTTCCAGTCCACCAATACGATGAAAAGCAAGAAGGAGGACAGTGTGGAGCGTATTTTGGGTTGTCCGTTCTACACGAGCTGTGTCAAGATAACAGTTCCAACGTAGAACACATAACGCACCGTCTACAAGGAGGATAGTAATCAAGCCGAGCATTATGCTGTGATAAGCAAAACAATGCACTTGATCGCCTACATAGCAATGTGAACAAGAGCGGACATCACACGTACAAATGATACTGACCTGACACTTCTTGCTTTAAGTGACCCAACATGATCTCTGCAATAACCGCTGAAGATGTCAGTATCTGCTTTTTCTGGGTTGGGTCAGGGTTACGCCTAGCATAAAATAGTTTCACAACAGCTGTTGAAATCAGCCATTTTGCTTAAATATATATTTCCAATTGTGAGAATGATATAGCATGACATACCTTGGAAGAATGGTGCCAAAGCGCTAGGAAGACCATGTGTCAAATGTTTTAGCGCCTTCGCATTCCGCTCTAATGTGCTTTGGTGCTTAATAGACAATACTGCACTGGTTCCAGTGGACACAGGAGGAGCTGAAGAATCAAGTGACAACAGAGATATCTGACTTGATGATCTCCGTAGAGATGGTGGCTGTGAACTGGTACTTAGGTCTATACCTTTTGAAGTCAAACCGGCCTTCAACAAAATATTTTCCCATATACAAGCACGATGCAAGGCACCCAAGTCGGCGATTATTTTTGGTGGTTCTGTCATTAGTGTTTGAAGAAGACTGATTGCAGCTCTTCCGTGGGCGTAACCAGCAGTAGAGAATATGTCCGCCATAATAGTGATGCGAACATGAAGAGTGATGAGGCTCCGGAAGTGCTGATTGCCCTCCTGTTGCTGTATTTCTATACAGAAAAAGAACGAACGTTAGCATAAAACGGGTAGATCCGGATGCGACACAGTACGAGCCTGTGAGGTCCATGTACTGCAAAAGCTTCGATTGAGAGTCCAATGATTGCCAAAATGTCTGTGTCTCCGCAAGTGAAGAACCAACAAGCGTCATTAAATAGAAGAGTGCTTCATTGGGACCAACCTCGGCCATAGTACGCATCACTTGCACCAATGAATCTGATGCAACACTATTGGCAAAATCATATGGCAAGCAAGGAAGAGCTGTCAGCCTTCCGAGTCGATCAAGACCGTCTTCGTTTCGGATGAAATCTTTGCAATGTGGTACGTGTTGGAATAGTCCTTCCAAAAACTAAATTGATTCTGGATCAGCTAGTAGTAGATAGTATGTAATGTAGCAGGCTTACCCGACACACTACATCAATATAAGAAACTAAGATATTATCGTGGGCGCGAGTTGGCGGTTCATCATCCGTAGTTTCTGCAGTGACATCCTTTTCTAGAAGATCGCTCGATGCTTGCGCGCTATCATCCACAACACCTTCCATGGCAACATCCTTATCGTCAGCGTTTGACGACACAAGGAGGCCGTACCATTGTTCCAACTCTTCAGGGACCACAAAACTCTGCCCGAGCTCTTCGATCTTGCCCAAAGTGGACTTTATGGCGTCGAAAACAGGTGCCTTGAGGGACGGATGGTGACGTATAAGCTCGTCTATACCAGTACCAATTAAGACTGCATTCTCCTTTTCTTGAAGAACTTTGAGATGCCTCTCAGACGTGAAAATCGACAAGATGCCTGGGATGATGCTAGGGCGGGCGGAAAGTTGATCCTGTCCGACTTGGTTTAAACATAGTGCGCCAACTGCATTTGGAATTGCTTGAATGACCTTGATTCGTAACTTTAGAGATACACACAGTAAAGAGTAACTGTATGCTCACCTCAATGACAGGTTCCAAACCCGCTTCGATAGCTTGGTAAAACATCTCGGGTAATCCCGCCTCTTGAATAGTAGGCAAGGACGTTGGTTCGTTGTGCACAAAGGTTGCCATAATATTCATAGCTTCACAAAATTGTCATAAGCACACTTTAGAAGAGAACGAAGAATGAAGACGTACCCATGGGAAGGATACTTGGTCCAAAAAGGCCACGATATTGGATGATTTTCTTGATTGATTGCAATATCGAAGAATCAATCAGGCCTCTTAGACCTTCTGCAGTACCGGAAGATTGCATCATTCGATGCATTGACCGCAGTGTATGCTTCAAAACGGCCGCACGAGCAACGGGGAGTTCTCCTGCAAAAGTCATCAGTTTGTAAGACAAGGAAACAAGGGAACGCGCGAACCATATGAACCAAACACCTCTCGAGACCGAGATTCGCTGCCATACATGTTGAGATCAAAATCGATTTCATGCTGAGGGAAAAGCTGAACATCAAGATAATCGTGACACTAACTGGACATACCTGAATCCTTCCAACCAGTGTTTCAACACCCCTACCATTACAGAATAGCTGAAATGCGTTTGTAAAGCCATACAGGACATTGTCCACAAGCTGCATAATTTTAGAGACCATAGCTAGTCGCTGCGTTAACCTGTTTTCAATGACCTGTACCAGCAACGGCACCAAACCTGCCCCAACAACCATGTTTCCTCCGGCAGCATGAGAGGCAAGATAGGTCACAAAAGACAGTAGCGCATCGACGAAAGAGTGCGGAAGCTGACACTCCGGGTTGGCAACATCAGCCACAGTTTTGCGAAACAGAGCCATCAAGATTCCGTGATTAACACCGGCGTTGACGGCGGTTAAAACCTCCTGGACCTTGTTACGATACCTTCCTAATGCATCCAGAGCCGCAATGGCTGCTGTCTGTACGGGAACTGAGATACCATGGTCCAACTGAAGTAACTCAGCTATATGGGTCATGAGATCTGGTTCATGAAGAAAAAGCGAAGATGTAGCTTGCGATTCCGAATGTGTATGTCCGAAGATTGCGATCGCCAGAAGCCGAACAATTATGAGTTTTTCGCGCATATCTTCTTTACCAGGCGCAAGAGCCATAGCAGAACGTATACGGCACAGAAGCTCAAATTTATCGTCGTCGGAAAGTGCGTGGACCTCGACTATATCTGCCAATACATCCATGGGTTCCTTCTTGCTCAAAATTTCTTCGTCGATATGAATATTGGCAGCACCTGGATTTGTTCCTGGTGTGGAAGATGCTTTTCGAGGAGTTTGTGTGACACCAAATGGATCAGACTCGACGGTGTGCTCCTTCTCTTTCTTGTCAGTCCTATAGTAAGTAAAATTCACTTCACGGACATCCGTCGGAATGGCCCCAACGTGTGAGGCTGTATTTGAACTAGCTAAATCCAGAAGGCTGATTCCGGATTCCTGAAGACTGGGCCAGCGCTTACAAAGAGACTGTAGACGAGGTGTGGATATGTTGAGCGCATGAGAAACAGCGGGTTGCGCGGAGTACTGCTGGGATGGGCGAAGAAGCAAGTTCAGCGCCAAGATTAGGATGTCAAGATCCGACGTGAAGAGCAGACTGTTCAGTCTCTGCGTAAATGTTAAGTATTACACATGAGTAAAATGCTTATTTGCCACATATCAAATGCACGTACATCATAGGAGCTGAACATTTTCCGATTTGTTGAATTATCTAATAGCAGCCTTTCGAATCTGAGGATTTCGCATACTACCTTCTTCGTTGCAGGCGTAAATATGTTAACTTGGATTTTATCGACGTCGTAATCTCGAATGGCTTCTTCCAAGACAACGTCGAACTTGTTGAGAACCTTAATCCATGCATTCAGATCTGATCGTGGCCATTTCCACGAATCGACCTCGCTCAAAACCTCCGCCAAATCGTCATTTGAGGTGTTTGCTAGTTTTTCAATGACTTCGACCACTTGAGGGTGCTAAAGATGCAAAGCCTGGTGCTGAGAAGAGAGGATGAAAGAAAATCAGAATACATACTGGTGGTGTGGCCCTCTTTGATTTATGGAGAATCTTCATGATCCCGCGACCAAGTCGTGGAAAGTGGGGTTGTAATCTTCAAAATTGTAAAGTTGTCTAGCCGGAGATGGGATACGAAGATGAAGATAAGTGTTAGGGTACTTCGGATGGGACTGGAGAGGAGGAAGGCTGACGCATTTGTAGAGATATATCAGGAATCTGATTCTCACTCTTTCATTCCCACGGTTGTTCTCAGCCACAGCTCTTTGTTCTTCATACGCTAACTTGTCTACGATTTTGTAGACGAGCAAGGTTTATATTCTGGCATTTACATCTATAATGGCGAAACGTAGTCCACCGGAAAGTGACTTTGAAGACGCAGAATCTTTTTCAGATCAGTCAGAAAAGAAACCCAGTTCTTCTCGTCGACTGGTATGTATTATATCTACAGTACGCCCAATATCTGAGAATCTAGGGAGCTCACTGGCACGAGTTCAGAAAAAAGGAGGTGCCAAAGTAGATGTGAAGCCGAACAAACCTCGCACAGTCAAAAAGCCCAAGTTTGATGAGTCTAGTGATGAGGTTTGTGTTAGAGGCATCTCTAACTTTTGATATTTTGAAACCTTCTTGTGACGCAGGATGAGACCGAAAAACACCACTCTGTTGCAGTTCATTCTACCCCAGAAGGAGAGAAATACATCGACTTAGGCAAAAAGAAACGTGCTACTGTAAGAAAGTTTAAGGGTACGTTAAGGTAACTTCACCCAGCCATCACTGATTCATTTTTAGGTGCTGTTTTTGTTGACGTACGTGAATTTTTTGGCAACCCTGGGGAGGAGAAACCAGGGAAAAAGGGAATTTCACTTGGTTTGGAGCAGGTGTGTTACCCTCCGTGAATTACAGACTGTTGTAACGCTGATCACATTCTGGAACAGTGGGAGGCTCTAAAGAGCGGTGCGAGTACTATTGATTCTCTCTTCACCGAGCTTAAATCGTAAAATTGCTCCACTACATTGTCTCGCCGTTTGTGAGCAACCGTCTAATCATTATGTATAGTACCAATAGTACTACATATCCTGTATTTTTATGCAATACCTGCAGCAGCTTTGTGTGCACCTTCTAATGCCCTGGTGTGCAAGAAACCACGTAGCCATGCGATGAAATTCTTGGCTGATGCTTGTAGGTCCATCATCATCTCTAAAGTAACAACACCCCGGTATGCCTTTTGGTAAGCTCTGGAAATCAAATTCAAATTCATTACAACAAAAACAGAACGAAGGAGAGATCATTACTAACACCCAACAGCTTATGTATTCATAAACTGTGCTGACGGAATTCAGACCCCTTGCTCTAATCCGTTGTCGATCGTCTTGCCAGACTGCCATAGTACAGTATTTTGCTGTTTCCAGAAATATGCGCACCTGCTCTTATATAAACACCTGAAGCTGACTTTTTTTACGGATACACTCACGTTCGAATGAGTAGTCGCCAAAGCATGATCGATATTTCTGTGAGAAAATAAATAAAATGTTTATCATTTAAGTGAGGACAGTAACACGACGGCATACCTAGTCAAATCGTTTAATTTCAACACCATAAGGACCCGGCGAGGAACCCGGCGCAGGACATCAAATACTGAAATGAGAAGTCCTTCACGATTGATCACAGCGTTTCTAATGACTTCCATCTCTTCTTCAGTCTGAGGCATCATATCAATCATACTCGAAGCCCGCTTGAATCCGCCTTGATTCGACTCAGACTCCTGCCCATCTTCCCATGTTCCTTCCATGCCAGCTCGTCCTGGACAAGCAGTGAGTCCAGAGAGGTATCAAATGAGCTCATCAACTTACCAGTAATCGCCGCTTCAAAAACTGGGTACTATAAGCCGTCCAATTAATCAGTCGTACCATCTTGCACAGGGCACAACATACCAGGTCCGGAGTGATATTTCCCACCAACTCTGCATACTTCCTTCTGTCAGCATTGGTAGTAGGTGAGGCAGGAGCGATCAAGGAAAGCCATAGTTTACTGTAATTTAAACGGAAGTTAGGGTCCAAATCGAAATATAGGCCGTGGTCCAAAAGGACGATTTCAAAATTGTAGGGGGATATAGACGAAGAAGGTGCACGTCGAATCAGTAAATTGCCTATACAAAGTTAGCTCAAATTAGATAGAACAGGGGCATGAAAATGTACCCGGATGTGGATCCTAGACAGACAGTCAGACTAGATAGACCAAAAATACCCGATAACTTACTGCATGAAACCATCCATTCATAAATACCATCTGATTAAATATTCGAGATAATTCTAGAGCGACCTTATTCCTGTCTATGTGGTTGTCTGCGAGGTACTGCAAGTCATCAGGCCGGGCACCCTCGATGTATTCCATGATTAGAACCCTTTTCGTGGCAGTGATAACCTCGGGAATATATAATGAGGTACAAATATTTCGAAAATCGGACACTGCTCGGGCAGCATTGCGAGCCTCATGAACAAAGTCCATCTCTTTCGGGAGATTTTCCCGCATTTCTTCACCTAACCATGTGAGCTCAAAGTCGGGAAACCAGCGCTTGATCCAACCTATATATAATGTTCGATCAGCTGCAAATACAAGACAACCGTGATTTTATTCTCACCAAGGGAGACCTCTACCATTTCCATGTCAATGTCACAAAACTCGGCGAGATGAGGGTGTTGTAACTTAGATAGTGTAAGTTGGATTCAAAGGCCAAAGACTGGAGTAATACCTTGATGGCGACCTTTTTATTAGTCTCCCTATGGTGCCCGACGTGTACCTGAGCCAGACTTGCGACACCGACTGGAATTGGATCAAAATTATCGAAGATTTCGCCAATGGGCCTTCCCATATCTGAAAGAAACAACGCGTCCACATCACCGTATGGGGTTGGTTCGCACTTGTCTTGCAAAGGACGTAATGTACTTGTCCACTCTGTTGGAAGTACTACCCTGTTGCATTGTTTTGAGCGCTATGATATCTGAAAGAAAGCGTAGGCTAACTCACAAAGAAGACATATGTTGGCCTAGTTTTATGAAAACACCTGATCCGCATACAATATGAGTGAGCGCATATTCCAAGTAAGTCAACTGCTGACCTCCATTGGCCAGAAGAGCTTTCAGCGCTCTTTTTGCACTTCTTGTATGACAGTGTGAATAAGCTTCGAGTCGCTTCTCTTCTGAATCATATGTACGGGTAAATGTCCATTTGTAGTCGATAGCTCCGACTACTGCAGCCTCTGGAGGACCGTCAGTCAGCTCCATGATCTGAACAGTTGAGATGGACTCACCTGCCACTCTAGAGCATCGAACAACAGCCAAAATTGAGTGTCTGAATGGCTCGTTCTTTTCGAATGCCACATATCCGCCTCCAAATATGGTTAAAAAGGCAGTCGAGTAAAGTAGTAGCCCATTGCTTCTTGACCGCGGCAAAACTGGTCTCGCAGTGGAGCTGAAGCAATTTCTCGTAACGCGAAGGTCAGTGGGACTCGCCCTGTGAATGTGTACTAAACGCTGCGAGCTTTTCCAAGAGAAAAGGCCTTGAAGAATAGTGTTGACAGTGCGAGTCATATTAGTAGCATAGCGTTGCAAGTAAAGCAACAAAGTCGTGAACACTTCACACGCTCATCCCATACCTCCCAACCAGGAACAAATACAAGTTTCTTATAATTAACTACTTTCACAAATTGCACTCCCTGCACTCTTTCAATTACGACCGAAATATTCGCAAAGAAAACTGAAGCACATGTATTAATATACGACATTCGCTAGAGTACATAATATAATACCCGCTAGTCATACACACTTAACATGCTATTGATGCAAAATATGATGTGATTCATTGCATCGTGAACTGAAGAACTGCCTAGAACTGCCTCCTAGTATGACGGCCAAAATGCGCTCGACTAGCTGCCGGCTACAGAAACAAAATCGTCTATACCTATGGCGAGCCCAGTGATACCAATAGATCAGATGGCGGGACCATTCCGCAGGCTGCCGGGGGTAATATACAAAATTATCAGGGGCCATAGGTGGCGTGGTGAACTGCCATGACATGTCCTCTCATGCCCTGTGTTCAATCAATATCAAAACAAAATTCGGAGCCCGGCATTTCGACGAAGTAGACACGCATTGTTTGGCGGTGGAATAATTGTCAGGCAAACAAAGCTTGAAGTCGGGGGGCCGGTTTCCAAGCAAGTAAACGACTGACTTTTGACTTGGCCTGATACACGGAATCCGGTAAGACGCATTAAAGTTTCATGAAGCCCTGTTGCGCCCTGCCATTGGATCCGGGACCGCACCTGAGAAACCTAAGTGCGGTACTCATTACACGGTGATGAAGGCAACCAAACGATAGCATACGAAAGCCACCGTTCAGGACTTCTAACAAGGAGAGCTCTCAGCAGTGCGGTATGCTAGAGACGTTTACAGCCCTCTAAATCGAAAGACTGCTCGTGAAGTGAGGTAGTCCAAGCTTGTTAAGCGATATGAAGGCTACAATCAAAACGTGGCGCAAACTGCAGAGGGACGGTTTGGTTCAAGGCTAGATGTCTCCAAAGGCCTGTCTACGCAGAGAGCGTGTATCCCTTGTTTGTCTTCGATTCAAGGCACAATCGAACGTTCTCCAGAACATCGGAGCAAGCCGTCTATCGAGGAACATCGACCTAGCATGGATAGTGCCGGAAGACATCGAGAATTCGAGGAAGAAGTTGATCAAGGAAGGCGAAATGAATTGTCGATGAACGTTTGATGAACCCACGAGCTTGAGGTTGTTTGTTCGGTAACAGCCGAGCTTAAGACTGAAGAAACACCATGTTAAACGTGGAAATGGTGATCTCAAGCTCTGATGATACCTGAGGGGGACGAGAAGGGATGCGTTATAAAGTTGGAGGAGGGGGGTGGATCAACGCGGGGATCGGCGGCCATTGTCGACTCACCGTAGAAAAGGAGCCAAAGAGGGAACATATGTCTAATGATTAACGCATCAGTGCGAAGGGACACACGCGCATAGTAACGTTGTCTGACGCGGTCTATTTTTTCATTTGAGTTGTCTCCGCGGAGCCAAATAGACTTTCTAGAAAGTGGCTAAGGACATACGGATTTTACACAGGACTGATTCCAGCTAGATCTATTTTGATAGGTTCGAATTGACCAAGCAAAAGGTGCCTAATTTTATGGCGGCCCGAGCTATTGCGGGTCACAAACCGATTGACAAAATGGCGGTCCGATGGTGCTTGAGCATAATTTGAGACTCTTAGAAATTCTGTTATGAAGCAAATCATGAGCGCCCCGATTCTTAATCCCTACTTCATGGGGCACAATACCTCGTCTCTCACGAACAAGCGACGTTACAACATGACATGGAATAAGTAACGCCTTCAATGTCACTGGCACGGGAACAAAGGTGTAACACATACTGAATTACTGAATCAAGCCCCTTTCACACACGGCTGGAGTTGATGAGCGTGATTCAATTTCTGACACGATAAATGCTTCCGTTTCGAGGACGTGTTAGTGGTATGATGAATGCCGGTCATCAAGCGGCGGCTCGGCTATGATAATGAAGGGCGCTGTACCACGTGATGTAGGCTGTGTAACCTCTCTCAGTAGTTCCTAGTTAACCGTAGCGAAAAACTCACCCAATGACCTCCTGGTAGAGGTTAATGTCGATAACTTGATGATAACTAGGTAACCAGCACAGAAAGAAACACATCAAGAAGAAAGGACTATCCGTGATCGGTTCTCACGTTTGACGTAGTACAGATATTGTGGACCCCTGGACTCGGCATTTCATGATAACTTAGGGATTTTCCGAGCACGTCCACGCTTGTTTTGATAGATAGTTGCTGAGCCAAATTGCTAGTTTCCCCTGTCAGTTCTAGTATGACAATCGATACAAATTGGTTATCCGCGTGGAAAGCCAACGCCTGGTGTCGTAGGGTACCACAATGCATATGAATGATAGGAGCTCGAGATCGTTCCAGGGGCTAACGATTGTCAGATTTATGGAGTTAGAGAGAAAAGTAGATACAGAATATCCTCATACATGACAGGCAAAAGTCATACTATGATAGCCGTGTGAACGAATATCGTGTACTACTTCCGCACTTTTATCGAATGAATGCTACTTTGTCAACGGCAATGCAATCAGATTGGGTATGTCGTGGCAGAAGAATCCCTTGACGATTTGCCTCGAAAGTGCAGACTCTTGTGGCCCATCCAGAGTTACGGTGGTTTTTAGAAGCAGCAGCGTGACAGACGTCTCGATGGAAATGATGTAGGTGATATCTGGGGCAAGTAAATGGCGACAGGAATATGCTCCATCTGATACTTTGCGCCCGATGTTGAATTCTATTGGCCGCAGCACTCCTCGATGGGTTGTGGACCTCGAACATTCTCCTTGAAAACTGGATCCTGGACATAAGCTAAGTTAGCATGCGTATTTGAAGACCGGCTTACATTGAATGGTTGTCGATACATCAGGTCCCGCAAAAGTGGACTATCACGAAAGTTGATGTACTATATTCCATTGGTGAAAGAAAATAGAGCAACGTCGATAGTGTGGGTCGAAAGAGACCGAATATTGTAGTTTCAAGCTATTGGGTCGCTGTGCCGCTGTGCCGCTGGTGATGATCAAAAGAGATTGATCGGAGAGTTGAGTTGACATATGTCGGAAGCAGGGGTCAAGGCTGCAGTTAGTGAGTAGCACGTTGTTGTACTAGAATGGGTTGGGGGAAGGCCCGCGAGACACGAAGAAAACAACTTATGGAGAACAGTTGCGACATCCCGGTGACACGTCAACACGTCAATGGCGTTATTGTGGAGGGTATTTTTGGATTGCACGTAGGTCGGCGTTTTGTCAGTTGGAGCTCCACAGGAGCACGAGCTGGACTGAGAGATAAACGCAGCTATCAAGAAAAGCATGGGGACAGATGGGCTGGTGAGCAGATGTTGGGATTGTGATTTAGAGTACACGGATCGAGGGGTAAGCAAAAATAACCGAGATAGGAAGAGGCGAAGTCTCGGATAAGAGGCTTATCGACCAACATCAGGCATCAAGCATCGAGCGGCTGGTCTGGATTGCTGGGGATTGGTGCTTGGTGCTTGGCAGTGGATATCGGGCATAAAGATGCTTTGCAAGAGTCGAGGTAAGAACTGAGGTCATTGAGCGTTTGTACCTGGGCTTGTTGTGGATGCTTTCTCATCGCGGACCTTGGACGTTGGTAATTGCGAGATGTTCGCGCCAAGTATCAGAATAGTGAGGGCTCTTACGGCACACTGGGAACTGTCCCATGTCAAAGCAAGATAGCCCGGTGCCACCATGGTATTAGCTAATCGCTCACGGGGACTTCTCCTGGGCCGAGCAGGGTCACGGCCCGCCACGTGCACTGGAAAGTCTCTTTGGGAACGTGGCTGAGCTTTGGAGCGCTTGTCTGAGCATCCATCCACGATGTCGGATCCAGGTTCGCAAAAGTCATTACAGGCTCGGATGCTGGCCTACAATGTGTGGCTTGGCAATGCTAAGTCTTTAGGAGGATCACGATCCTGTGGAAGTCCATGATAACCTCGGTTTTTTCCCTGCCTTGATGGTCTTCGACAAAATAGGAACTGCCTCTTACGATACCAACGTATGATGATTGTCTATGGTTCTGCTCTCACGTCCGAGTCCTTATGTGGTCTACATTCTGATCTTTCCTCTATCTTACCAGTGATGGGAAGTTTTGGCTCGGCACTTGGTTTCTTCCAATAGTCTGTTTCCCTTGACTAAGATTGACTTGTTTATCGAGCTTCATTTCCCCATATCGGTGGACCCGATTTCTATAACGATTTGCGTAAACAGCCCTTCTTGTCCATCGGGTTTTCCGACCGCCAAGACAATGCATGGCTCCCGGCCATACAAATATCTACGTCCTTTTTACTTTCGTCGCTAAAAGCCCCACTTTAGTTTAACGCTCAACCCTTCGTCATGTCTACAGAGCTCAAGTCTATTCGCAAGAAACGAACTGCGTCGGAGGCTACTGCCCCAGCCCAGGCTCCAGACGGTGACCATCGTAAACGTCGCCGGAACCGCACCACCCAATCATGTCTCAACTGTCATACTTCAAAACGCATGGTACGTCGTCGACACGAGTTCTTATACTTCCTCGTCTTCACGCTGTCTCCTCTATGTAGTGCGATAGAAAGCGTCCATGTGGGCGCTGTACACAGCTAGGCCTTGTGCGTTGGTTACCCAAGACTGCGCATCGCACTTGCTCATCACCATCTACTATAGACAGGTCTTTGTGTTTATGAAGTCGATGACCCAAGTCAACGTACTGAGGTTCAAGACGAGAGTTCTCGCCTACGAAAACGAGTCGCCGAATTGGAAGGTGTCATCCGTGAGGTCAGTTGTCATGTGCCTACCTACGTATGTCTTGTCTGAGTAGGACCTCTCAGTTGAAAAACAAGCCTCATCCTCGTTGGGTACAATCTGGTTCCAGCCCAGGAGAGCAATTTGATAAATGGCATTCTAGAGCTCAGTCACGGCCTGCCTCAGAGGATTCGCATTCTGGAAATAGGTCTCAATCCAGTGTATCGTCGCCTCGTTCAACAGAGCCACCACAGGAAGGGAATGAATCCACCAATTGTTCCGTTGATTCTTCAGCTTCTAATCCACAGCAATCGTCGTTAGCTACCCTTGCTACTTCCTATCCTTCGTCTGTCCTTCCCCAGCTGTCTTCCGATAACTCCACACACAGCTCGTCATATCCGTCTTTTTTCTCTAGATCTTCACCATTGAGCACGCCCTCACCGTCTACTATGACACCAACGGACGAGTTCTCGAGATCACAAGTCATGATTGCAGGAGAACAATCCCTTCCTCGCGATTTTGATCTGGCATCTATCTTCATGTCCTATCCTGGATTGATGGGATGTGACGGCGGCGTCTTTGGACATGTAGATCCTATGAAAGACAATCAGATCGAAGACATGTGTTCGAAGCAACAGCACAACCATTCGCTCGACGGCCATTGTGGTTGCCTGAATGAGTCGTCAGGCTATAGTGTTGTGTTGGAGCTCTCGCTGCGTTTACGCAAAGCTGCTGATGTTCTCAGTCGGTCAGCTAATCACCGCATGGGTTCTGGTTGTTTGCTGAACCAACGGATCGCCGAGCTAGATGGCCTTGCTACGTGAGTATTTGCTCATATATTGTTTGGAACCTGAGTCGAATCTCAATTTTGCTACAGGACAACATTAGGGAACATAGCTCTCCCTCCCAGCGACTTTGGCCCGTTACCGTCACATACGCGGCCTTCCGTAAACCCTTCTGCAAATCTGCTGCATCCTACCGCCTCATTCACCTCAAATAATTGCCGTTCGACTATTTCTCCTCAAAGTCTACATGGTCTGCGGTCGTGGGATATCATGTCGTCTGTTTCAGATTCTCCATCAGCCTGCGACGATTCTTTCATGTCTTGGGAGCCCTCGAGGCGCCCACAATAATCTCGTGTTCTTTCATGGCTCTACCGTTTAGATTTCGCTGGTTTATAGAGCATTTGCTTTAAATTATTCAATAAGCTCTTTCCCTTGCAAACACAATATATACCATGTAACCTGTCAAATTTATATCTCTTTTCTTATGTACTCTCTGTAGATTTGTTGTATGTATCACGAGTTATATCATGTGGCAGTCTGTAGCTGTCTTAGATGGCCATTTTTGTAATGAGCCCCTCCAATTGCATATCCCGATATTTCCTCGATTTATTTGTCTGCGCAGCCGCATATAGTTCCGATTCGCTACTCTCATGCTAGCTGGCTATGGTTTAAATTCCAAGGACAATAGATAAGCTTGAACTTCTTGACGATTGATCCATGCGCGAGATGGCGCCGGCTGGAACAACAAACTTGCAGTGCATCATGCTACAACCTACAAACATTGCAAAGAACGAACGATTAGTTAATTTTGACTCCCGATTGTGATCTTCGATAACTCTTGATCAGTCAGTCAGTTTCCAGCTGGTACCTATAGCAAGCGGTGCCGCATGGTGAGTACCTTGTAATTTTAGCTATTGACGTTGTCCATTTAAGGCAAGTACCGTGGTTCAACGAGTCCGGTGGGAAGGATCAGTGAGGTTTGATATCGCGTCCAACCAATACAGCGAATCACTTATTCCCCCTCGAAGCGCCAGTCTCGGTCCTTTCTATGCGGAATGTCATGAATGGAGCGCGGCGCCCTGATGGCGTCCGCCGATGACTTCGCTTGATTCAGACTCGAGGTAACAAATTGCTATCAGAATTAGTCCAATCCTACTATGGCTGCGATCATAGATGCGTGCTCGAAGCGAAATTATTCCATTCAATGAAAAAGCAGTGAGTTTAACAACCTAGTTTCGTTTTCCCGTTAATAATGCGTCGTCGAAACGGATATCTGCTCCAAAGGTTGATAATTTTCACACTGCCAATTGTCACCGCAGCGCACTTTCCACGGCTTTATCTGCTGAGCAATTTCCAGCCACGTAATCACTAGCTGGATGTAATCGCCGGAAAAAGACTTGAAAATGGAAGCCAGCATTCAGACTCACACACCGAAGGTTGTCAATATGATTACAAATCAAAACAAGGTTGGTTCCTTTGGTCCTGGACATACCACATGGAGTATCAAAACACAAGTCTGGTGCTCTAATCAGCTGTTGTTCGCGTCGTACGGAGGTGATAAATCGACTTATTGTCTTGAGTCCAATTTCTTATTGCGTTAGTTGATGATCACCTATTGGGGAAATTGTTAGTCAATGTGATGGTATGGTGGAACTGTGAGAGATGGTCAAATTACCAATCATGTCGCGCGACTTTCGCGGAAAAGCAAGCCTATGCAATCCATCTGATCAAGTAACTGGATAACTTGCACCAAGTGAAGTACTCTCATTTTGTATGGAAACATAGACTATGGGGTAGGTTAGCATTGAAAGTAAGTACTACCGCAAGCTCCTGGGCTGAGGAACATGGTTTCAGATAACATCGTGAACCTTATCAGTTATACCTAGTGAGACCGTTATAAACGCCCTTAGTGATGGAGCACACACTTGCATCCAGCAGGCCGGATAAGGCATAACGTTTGAACCGTTACCGACTAGAAGGTGACTACAGACCTTTCTTGTCGTTAGTCCCTACAAATCTCAGAGTTGGTGAGTAGAAAAAAGGGCAAAATGATATTGATACCAAAACCACGTATCTATGGTGTGATATGTGTCCGCTGTACGGGGCATCCATGCGTGAACAACTTATTTTCACTTGATAACAGAACTAACAGAGAACTTACAGACATCCCTTCCCCATGGGTTTTGTTTAGCGATGGCACTGAGATTGACCGTTAAGATAATCAATCAGCTAAACAAAGCTTACGAGAGAGCTTAAATTGATAACATGAAAAGCACTAACCCTGTATGCCAAAACTTTCCGCAAGCAAGAGGATGGCGATATTTTTGTAACACTTTGCGCTTGACACCGAACATGCAAGGGGGCCATGGGTAAGGGTGCTATACAGGGCCACAGAGACGGCCCCACGGAAATTTGTCGCCGTAAAATGTCCTAAAAGAGATAATTGCTTGAGTATACAAGTTAAAAGTAAAATGACATAGTACCTCAATAGGCAGACACGCCAAAACCCTGAATGAATGAATGCAATATCCCATACGATTAAGACAGCCAGTATCAAACATGGGATCACAATGAGATTGGCCTTCGGACCCGCACTCTGGGAAGAATAGAAGGGAGAAAGATTACGAACCACCCATGGCAGACATAGCTCTGGAGAAATACATGGCCAACGTTTAGAGAGTTTTTTCAAAAAAAAAAAAAAACATAGCCTAGGTCAGAGCTGGAAGACGATGACGACGCTGATTGGTATCCAGATGATTGCTACCATAGTCGGGAGTTGCGGGCTCTGCAGATCTTGAGATATCGTAGTGTGGTACTGATGCGATACAGTGATGATGTCTGGACCAAATGGAAGATATGCATAGGTATGCATATCTTCCATCGATTACGTGCCCTCCCCTGTCGCAAAGGCTAAGACGATTTTGCGCACCTAGAAAATGCCAGGGGAAAAAATGAATTTGGCCCCAGCCAAGACCGCCCGTCCCTTCATCCAACTGCTGCTAGGCGCGCGTATATTAAAATGCCGACTCCGCGATTAACCTTTTTCTGTAAACACCATTCAACACCAACATTCCACGAGCGGCCAATCGTCTTTCAAGTGTACGATACCGGTAAAGCTCGAAGCTCAAAGTCTAAACCTCAGCATGGCCTCGCATCTGGTATGAAAAACCTTACTGGGCAAAAACCACACGCTAATGGACTTCTAGGCAAACATCTTTGGTACGGAACAGGATCGCGTGAACTGCTCGTTCTACTACAAGGTACGGTATCCTCTTTTTGCGTCTGAATATGGTCCTGAACATTGCTCTTTAGATTGGGGCATGCAGGCACGGTGACAGGTGTTCTCGGAAACACATCAGACCACCGTTCTCGCAAACCATATTGCTTCCCAATGTATATCATAACCCGGCCCACGACCCGGTTTGTAAACTCACTGAGCAAGAGCTACAAGAAGGCTTTGATGCAGTGTATGAGGATTTATACTGTGAACTCGCTAAATTCGGACATCTCTTGGAGTTGCATGTGAGTTACTCCTCTTAGTTCGCTGATATAGACTGATCGTTCGTCTTGGCATGCAAGGTTTGCGACAATGTCGGGGATCACTTGATAGGCAATGTTTATGCACGTTACGAATGGGAAACGGAGGCTCAAGCTGCCGTTGATAATTTGAATGATCGCTGGTATGCAGGTGAGTAAATTCATTGGTGTTTGTCAGTCCTATTCTGACCGATGCTTTCTGAATTCAGGTCGACCACTGTACGCCGAACTATCGCCCGTCACCGATTTTCGAGAAGCCTGTTGCCGTCAGAACGAAAACGGAGAGTGCAATAGAGGGGGTTTCTGCAATTTTATGCATTTGCGGTTAGCGTCTAAAGAGCTAGTGTCATCGCTACGCGCAGGCCAAAGATTAGAACGAAGACTCCATCCTTCGAAGAATGAAAGTGGAGGAGGAGGTTGGGAGCCTACCAAAAGAGAGGGAGGCCGAGGCCGCAGCGCAAGTCCATCAAGGCGAGGTGGTCACAGCGGCGAGGATCGCTGGACGAGGAAATAAAAATGTATATTGGGAACGCCTGTGCCTCCGCAGTCACGCCCTGGCCTTGGCGAAGTATACGCTATGCGCTTCTGCATCATTCATTCGAAGGATCCGCCTTGTTGTATTGTACCATACGCAAAGTGGAACAAAAGTTGCCTTCATCCTGATTAGAATACAGATGGAAGACGTGTTTACACTGCTGCACTAAGGTTTTGCTAGAAATATTCTATTACAGTAAAATGATTTCAATCGCTGCTAGTCCAAATATGTCGCAGAACATCGGCCAAGAAAACTAAGCTTTAACAAGAAAGATGGGAGTAACTACAGTCATCGCTATCACTGATACTGCAAATTCTGTTACGGTGACCAAGCTTGACCTATCGTTACCTATCTATCTGTACTATGAACTACTTGAAGCTGCCGCCTAATATCAACTGGAAAATGATGTTTGACATGCCAAGAAATCGATGAATGGAAGCAATGCTCTGAGATTTCTTTTGTCACCATACGTTCTACATGATGTTCCACGATAACACATGCCGAACATGACGGACAGAACATTCCACAGGCTAGAACACATTGGTGAGCAAAGGTGAACGTGCTGTGGCACACCGGTTGCAGGTCAGGTTCATTGCAGCACATGTCAGTTCAAGCATGTTAGTTCCAGCAACTCGGCATAAACCAGCTCTTTCGATACGGAATCAGAAGATTTCTTTGGTATGCCGTACCTTACGAAAGCACCGATAATCTTCGATGACCCGCTTAATGAAAACACGCATTGCACCAACATGTAATCATTCCTTCGCCTCATTAAACCAGCCAACCGTGGTATCTTTCCCGGCCTTGGCCTTGGATAAGATCTGGCCATTGAACAATGAAGCTTGTTTACGCATGTGAATTAATATTAGACAAGAGGATAAGTATGGTATACCGCACCAATCTACCCATGGACGGAGGAGTTTTCCAGAGAAAGATAGTGACCGCACACGGGCAAACGACTCGATATATATCAGCTTGGGAGCCGGTAGTCCGAGAAACTGTCAATTCGATATCAATTAATTTTGCGAGGCCACCGAGAGCTGGGAAATCTAGAACTTGCTTTATTGAGAAAGACAGCTGCACAAAGAATGACACAAGTCCCGGGGCCATTGAGAATAAGAACGTCGGCGAATGGACGCCGGAAACGTTCGGTTCTGAGTAAAGGCGTAATCGTGACATGATAGACACAAGATAGGAGGGATAAAAGTGCCGTAGGTGGGGTCATAAGAAGTGATTGGTGTACACGCCTGGCGCGAGGAACGGTCAGGAGGACACACTGACTTCGCCCTTGGAGCTGCAAGTGTGAACATCAATACGCGTACGTTGCATAGATGTGAGTACAAATGAAGACCTTCGAAGTATCGGCGGATTTTAAAGTTTCTAAGGATACAGCCTTCTGGATACTAAGGGTATCTCCTTCGCTAATTAGATAGGTCCGTGGAGAGTAGCGGGAAAAGTCCAGTGCGGAAGCGAGACTCAAGACCTCACTTGTATGGCCACCTAATAATTGACAGGGTCAACTATAGTTATGTGTGCTGCTTAACTGGCCAAGCCTGATGACCACATACCTGAGCCTAGAAATATTGCCAGACTGCACGTATCTGTACTTGGTCTCCTTACAACGGACCCGAGACTACGTTTACCACGAGGATTTCCAGGTAGAATCATGTATATTCTCAGAAGGACGAGTAGCACTATCGTGCAGACAGCAGCGGTGTACCAGCCCATAATACACAGCAGCCAATGACACGTCCCTGTGTCTATGGGTGAGAGAAGGTCAAGCTAGGACTGAATGTTACACGCCGTCCGCACCGTATAAGGCCGTATGCTGAAGCGAAGAGATAGACACTCGTGGCGGTGACTTGGCAAGTATCGCTATTACGGGCGAGCACTGGTGGCTGTTGCCGTCGAAGGAATGCGGATGCTTATAGTTTTCAAGTATGTGGAAAAGCAGGTACCGACGGCGAGCGGTACTTCTAAGAGTATGAAGGCACGTGGGAATGTCGGGTTACTGCACGCTTCGGCCTTCACTTGGCATCTGGAAACAACTTGAAACTCGAAGATACAAGAAATCCGCCTGGAACAGTGAAAACAGCCACAAAGACGCTCAGCTATCGCGATCATCGCGGTATTCCGCTTGGGTCCAGCTTGATCCATCAGGTGTTCAACCGTTTCTTTGCATCTTCCAAGATCAAGCTTGGTCACCTATTTCGGAAGTATCTAACTAACCGTCGAGTTCGTACTTGTCCGTCCCATTCCCAACGCTGCGGTTACTACGCTTGGGCCTTTTGATTGTGCCTTCAACTTTCTTGGAATTGCCCCTCGAAGGCCTTCCGGTCCCACTGAGGCCGAACTGTAAAATCAACAATGATATCTCCTATTGACAGTGGTCTGCTGAACGAACTGCGGCAGTCAGTTCGAGATTGTTCTGATAGAGGGCTATACGTGGCTTCTAAGTGGTACGGCTTCTACATTCTTTTTTCGAAAATAACCAATAATTTTACTGTGATAGGTCATCTGAGCTGCTTTTGGCTATACCGGTTCATACTCGTGATGCGCTGTTATCAACCCACGCGTCGACATTTTCCACCTCTACACCGGCTCGTTCTACTTCCCCCCAGCTAGTTTTTTCGTTCTCCAATCCCTCCCCTGCTCCCACAAATGCACCTCTCATACCTTCGACCCCAGTGGCACAATCGCACATACCACAACTATTTAAGCATCAGCCAGACAATGATATGGAAGAAATTGAGTGGGAAACTTCAGAAGATGTCTCTCTGGCAGCTGCCAGAGCCTTCTTTGGATCTAAAGAATATCTCCGCGCGGTGCACGTACTACGGCATTGCAAGAGTACAACTGCACGTTTTTTGAGTATCTATAGTCAATACTTGGTGAGTGGGATCAAAAGTTCTTGCAAGATGTTTTGAGACGATGTCCAAGGTAAGGCTAGTGAGAAAAAAGCTTTGCGACATTGGGATAGAGTCGCCAGTAAGGACTTTCTCGTTCGCATCGGGGTTGTATCTCACCCGTTCCACTCTTACAGACAGTCGGCACCAAACACCACTCCCAGTAAACCCTTCGATTCTCCAATTCCTTCAAACGGTACAAAATGACACAGACCCCTGGCTTTTGTTCTTGTGGGTTGTTGGATCTTTCTTTCGTCCCCTGCGTACGCTAACGTGGTATTGCTATTAGAAAATCTCTGTTTCTTTTCCGGCTGTCTCGACGTGAAGAAGCAATAGAGAGTGCGTTGCTCTCTATTGCTGGCTATCCGTGGAACTGGTCACTATGGACTCTTCTTGGCAGCTGCATAGGTGATGGAGAAGAGGTTAGTCCCATGGTCTTAAGAGTTATATCCCATATCTGATGAGCGGCACAGCTGTCATCTATTCTTCCTTTGATACCTTTACCATCAACCCACCCTTTGGTGCAGCTATTCCAGGTCAAAACAATGAATGAACTTCATAGCCCCTCAGAGAACGAGTTAGCTATATGCGATCACCTCCTGAGCGATGACTTCTTTCGGGGTAGCCTTTGGATCATGAGCTTGCGCGCTTGCGTGCTATATCATTTACACGGTATAATTGATTTTCCTATTGTGCATCGGATTGCTCATTATATAGATTTGGTCCTGTAGATTTTGGCCAAGCTGAAGTGCAATTCGAGCGGATATTATCCCTCGATCCATACCGCATTGATGACATCGACGTATACTCCAACATTCTCTATGTAACTGACAATCGATTGAAGTTATCAAGACTCGCACATGACTTTCTAGAGCTTGATAAAGACCGTCCAGAAGTTTGTTGTTTGGTTGGTGAGTGCTCCTAGTGAACGGTTTCACTAGTTCCCTTATAGCAAAGACGTGAATTACTCAAAGAACTAAAGGGAATCACCATTCGCTCCGGGCTGAGCACGAAAAGGCTGTGAAATACTTTAGACGAGCTACACAATTAGATCGGACATATCTATCTGCCTGGACCCTAATGGGTCACGAATTCGTTGAAATGAAGAACTCACATGCCGCTATTGAGGCTTACCGCAGGGCCATTGGTACGTAAATCATAGAGCCCATTGGGCATGTTGTTAAAGCTTTCCTCCTTCAGATGTTAATCGGAAGGACTACAGAGCATGGTATGGTCTAGGCCAAGCTTACGAGCTTTTGAGCATGCATCAATATGCGCTGCACTATTACCAACATGCCACTGCGCTGCGGTAAGCTCATGCATCTTCATCAGCAAGGAGATAAATCCATGTATCACTTGATAGACCATATGATGTCCGTCTTTGGCAGGCACAAGGGATGTGTTACGAAGAAATTGGCCGGTGAGTCCTGGAAGGTCCTAGATCAGTGCATTATTCAGATTCGCTTTTTTATACTTTGAGATTGCGTGAAGCGGTAGAATGTATGAAACGCGCTTTGCTCGGTGCTGACCCGCATGAGACTACCATCACCTTAAAGCTTGCAAAATTGTATGAAGAGCTAGGTGAACCTCCGGAAGCAGTAGCTTATCATAGAAGAGTAGTGGAAGTTTCGAGGGCAAACAGTTGCGTAATTTCGTCTAGTTCTTCACAGAAGCTTGTTATTCTGACTATATCACTAGTGCGACAGGTGCAAGACTACGCAAAATCAAGCATTTACGTCGCCCGCTACCAGATGACCATCGCCAATGGAGATATGTCGCTTGCTCAAGAGTATCTCGAGAAAGTAGCTCAAAGTAACGCGGAAGAAGTTGCACAGGCGTCGGATTGGCTGAAGAGATTGAAAACCGTTACAACAGCAAAGTCTATTCGTCCTGAATGACTATTTTGATATTCACAAATGGCAAAGGGTATTATGTCGACGATATTATACATTTAGTGCATTGCAACTTGAATACACTAAGTTCCGAGTCCATCGCAATTTACCGACTTGCCCTAAAGTAATTTGAACGTTCGCGCGGTCACGAGGGTTGCTGTAGCGCAAAGCAGGCATAACAAACGAAAGTAATGTTTAGTCCGTTGGGATCCTTTTCCCTGAACGACTTTTCGGTCAAACCTGTCTTACAATCGCCAGAAAACTCTTCAGCTGCCTTAAATGCAACTACGACACAAATTTCAAGCGCAACCGCGCGTCAGATGCCTGTTGCTGGTCCATCTACCAGCACGCACTTGGGTCCCAACGTTTTGGACCGCTCAGGGGGTGGAGGAGCAGTAGAGGCCGTCAAAAACAAGAGAACAAGGACAGAGGAGGAGATTCAGATAATGAAGGATACAGCAGGGCGGTGCGAACTGGTTTGATACTACCTGCAAGCTTTTTACTCACTACTATTCAAGGTTTGCGACATGCCTGGAAGCAGATCATATTTCAGTTTTGTATCCAGACGTGGATTCACCCTTTGTTGACGCTGCCGACGTAGTCGACAGATTGCTACCGTATCACATCTTGCAGCAGCCCAAGGATGATCTGGTTGCCATCTTAAGGAATGGGAAGAGAAAGGGGAAAGAGAAAGCTACTAGTGATCTGCGTGATAGGATTACAGGTATTGTGCTTTTGATTTGTCTATATTTCGATTTGCTATAATCATTTTCAGAAACTAGACTGTCATTAGACTTCCTCAAACGACGGCAGGCTTTGGAAAGTCGATTCAAGCGTGTGAAGCTCAAGTCTGGGAAGGTCAGTTTTACGAGACTGTATAAAAATCATGGTTCTGATTTCTGTGTAGCGTACATCTCCACACGACCAAGCATATATACTTGCGCAAGCAGTTTTAGAGGCAGATCGAGCAGAGACGACGTCTATCAGCAGTGAGTTGCGAAACGCACGGGCAGAACTGGACAAGATCCAACGCGAGAAACGAATGGCTACGATGCCGCCCCCTCGACCATCTTACTTCCCACAAACTTCTCAGACTCAGTACTACCGGACTTATCCATATGCATACACTCAGCCATATGGTGGGGCCCAAACCGCTACTACTTCATTCTCCACGTCCACCTTCTCCACGTCCCTTTCCTCTCCTTCTACGTACACTCCATCTTCGACAAGTGCCATTCCTGTACAACTACCAGTCGCTTCTCTTTCGGCCCTCAATGCTCTTGGCATTGTGCCAGTCCCTGCCACATCTCTCCCCGCTTCTGATCAACCACAACCGCCAGCAGTACTCAGAGGCTCCACTTCTAACGGCACTATGCTTAGCCTGGAGATCAATGTCTCTCTGCTCCAGTCAGCTCAGATGAGCGGTTTGGCCATGCTACTGAATTCATTGATGTCAAGGGGAGTGGGCGCAAATGCAGCTACCAATTCTGTGTTTCCATTGCGACAAGCAATGAATGTTTCGCATCCTACAGTAAACCCACAGTCCGAGTCTAGCAATAGCACAGTACATACGGCACCATCCGCCAAAGAACCTAGCACATCTTGATGTACTTCCTTTCAATAGACCAAACGATAATGTGCATTCAGTTAGAAGTCTACCGCGGCACTAAAGCCATATTTATTCAAGTAGCAGTGAATATATTACAGCTACCATAAGATCCAAAAAAATTACTGTACAATTTTATCACTATGTATATGTACACTTATAACGCGAGTTGCTGCTGAAATTCATGTCAGAGCCCATGCATGTTGAACTAAAACACTCAGTATTAACATGCTTCTACGCGAATGCACCACTAAGGCTACCCAACATCGTCAGCCACCACGCGCGATACAAGGCAGCCCATCCTTCTTCATCAATGATCCTCTTAGCGCAGTCTAAGAGACCGATATATGGATCCCTTTCGTTCCTCAATCTGATGTGATAGTAAGTGACTGCTAGCAATTACTCAGATAAAGCGGATGGACAAACCCAATGACGTCCTCCTCTACACCAGCGTATTCGGCGCCCTCCTCTGCATCGCCTTCTTCCTCCTGCGCCACAGAATTGAATTCGGGCGCAGCGTGGTTACGTTGAATCGCCAAGCGGGTGGTGATTACTTCTAGTGGTGTCAAGACGAAGGTGCTGAGAAGCGCGATGGCGGAGAAAATGCCTAGCTTGACATAAGAAATGTCATTCGCCGTTGGGAATCCACTTTCAGAGAGCTGAGGTAGGAGTAACTTGCGGACAGATCGCAGGCCGAGGACTACATATGCAATGTGACACACTTGCGCAGCTAGGAGACCAGGAGTCAAGTAAAGAAGCCATGGTCGACGGCGCTCTGTGGGTGTCAAAAGGAGACGCAAGGAATAAATGGGTTGTAAGAAAGGGAGCTTGTGTGGAGTTGTGATTGCTCTGGGAGTAGAGTTAAGCTGTTGGACTCACATGAAAAAGATGATATGACTGACCTGTCCGTGACGATAACTTGAGGGAGGGATATTAACATTGAAAATAGGCTGTAGGACAATGTTCCTAGTACTCCAACTGAAGGCACATTGTAGGCTCCGTGACGAAGATTACTATCACTCAAGAAAACCAACAAAAACACCATTATAAAAAGGGTCGACAGAAGTGTCGGCACTACCATAAGATATGAATTGGGGTGTGTGAGTGTGAACAACATGACGACGTACTCAGTCCTTTATACAGTCCTGACCATCCCTGTTAGAAAATAAACCCTTAGCTTCGGCCATATCAAACTTGGATGAAGCACTGACTTCAATTCTGTACACTCTTTTGAGCATACCGAAGAAGGACGATATGACAGGGCCTGTGTGTGGTTGCACACCACCCTCGGAGTCTAGTTGGAGACCCTTCGGGTTATAGTGGGCTCTGAAACGAACCAAGGCTCCAGACAAGGGAACCAGTATCGCTAAGGAGAAACCAACATATGCCAATAGGCTGAGGGATTCGATGATTCCAAGCATTGTGGATATCTGAGATAGCTCGCTCTGAGAAGAGTTTGTAAGAGGAAAAGCTGTTCAAATCGACTCGTAAGTACCGCAGTACTGCAGTGCCGTGCTAACCCTATGTCAGGGTTACGGTTTATCTTTGTGCCTGCTCAACTAGCGCCACATCACCCTTGTCAGCCCTTTTCCCTTGACTATGACCTGCCCAGCTGCGGATGCGCGAAATAGTACGGACAGATATTGTATCTGCACAGGAAGATGCTAGTCCACAACGACTATACCTTTTCCAGAATTTAACATCACCATATGTCGATAGGAAACATGTTTCATGGCTTCGCGATTTAGAAAACATCCTTTATACTTTGAGCTCGATGACTATCGAGAGCTAGTAGTCTATCAACACGACTGCGGGCGTTATCTTTGTTATGAAATGGTAAGCGTTACTTTCTGGCTGTACTTTTTTATCCACATTGTCAGGGTAACTAATAATCCTATCCAGCAGATTAGACTGAACTTTCGAATGAATGTTCTTCCTTTCCGTGTCATTGCTTTCCTCTTCTGGCCCCAGTATGCGATGGGCATCATGTATACTCGTAGATTCGCTTTCATTTGCATTTTATTTCACTTGCATATTTTAGGCCACCATGCAAGTCGCCAAGTTACTGATTCTGACCATTCTCAGCCAAGTGGCTTCAAGTCTCGTAATGTGAGGCTGATCAAGCGGATCATATAGCATAGAAGGTAAGTCAACTTTTCAAAAAGTGCAACATTAAATGATCGTGTTTCTGTGCTTACCATGGCCGCTGATCAGTGCGCATATGTCAAGTCGCAAATGTGGCTCAATGATCCAATGCAAATATGATCGCATGCCAAAACGAGCACTCAATTTGGCAAGCTGATTTTAAGGATGTCTTGTAAAGAGACGATTTAACTCTTGGACAAATGCTCTTTATCGTATTTTTGTTATAACGGCCATGATTCTCTTCCGGCGTATCACCGGCTCCGGACCTACAGCAACATCTACGAATTTCTTCTCAGCCAGTTGATCTGGACGCATTCTACGCCACTTCTGTCATTTTCCTGATCTTGGGTTATAGCGTACCCCGCTTAATGCGAATTGCTTACTGCTTGTCCTAGACTGTTCTTCAAATAGCAATAGGCTGATTATCAAGGTAAGTGGCATTGAAGTATTTCTGCTTAGCTAACCTAACTGATCTTGATATAAACATTCAAGGTCTTGGTCTGGTCTGGCTTATTTTTTCACCGCTGGTCTGCTCGGTTTAGGAATATCATAAAGTCTTATCCAATACGCATGTTGGCGGCGATGACGTTTCCTTGCCATGATTGCATCGGTGTGTTTTCTCGTCAGCATCAGAATAAAAGTCTTGTTGACTTACCTGGTGTTGGACAGGGTTTGTTAATAAGCTTCGAGTGCATCGATGCTTCGTCTTGCCTTGTGCACTCCTGTGTTATTTGATCTATGCTTACCACCTTCTCGGTACGGAGGAGACCACATCTGAGCATTTCGCATGCGTGCTCCCCCTGAGCTGTAGTTCAACTGCAGCTATCCTGTCCCTTGCAAGCTTATCGCTGAACATGCTGGATGAAAGGTAGGTTAGCAGGCACTTTGGGTAACGTTGGGCGGTGATGTGTTCGCTGAACTGGTGTCCGACCATCGAGGAATGTCACGAGACAATGGTATGATTTCCCCAAGCATTCTTGTCTCTATAGACCTGTTCTCTGTCTATCTACTTGGTTCCATACACTGTATCTGCTAGTTTAATCAAATACAGTTTTTTGTGCCACACACACATTGACTCTCCGACGGAGTGAGCGCGGTCGAGTGCTCTTGCCTTCAATTGTCTCCCACCACTCCGCCTTCGAGGCAATTACTGAGGTCCTTCCCGCCTTCTGGTCCATAGAACGTTCACTTTATTTTTTGGCCGTTGATGTCTCTCGACACCGACGCTGCAGCGACTAGAGTTAGTTTTTAATCAGATCTAATTCTTTCTTTGTTTTCTCACACAGAGCTCGTCGTCATCTCGCCAGAGAACGGCTTTAGAACAGCTTAAGTTCAGCAAATTGAAGAAATCACGCCCAAACCATGTAGACACTTCTCCCTCTCCTAGCATTGCAAATGGGGCCCTGCCAGTGCTCAATGCACCCCCATTACAGTCCAGAGATGCAACTGTTACATCCCGCTATTTTCCTTCCACTCCTTCGTCTAACGGTACCGTCCTTGTCCCTAGCTCAAGCCCACTTGCTGCAGATACAGGTTATCAGTCCCATCAACCTCAATACCAACAAAACGTGTATGACGTGGCCCATATTGCGGGCCCTAGTCAATTCAATCCATGGAGGCAGTCGTCACAAAGTCTCAGGGTTGACCCCTTGTCAGCACCCAGTGGATTTGTCAATCAGAATGGCACCGCCCACGCGTCATTTTCGCGTCCTTGGAGTGGAGATGTTCGACGGATATCAGATACAGAGTACAATGAGTTGGGGGATGAAGGGCCGCCTCGCAAACGGCTCAACCGTGGTCCTGCTGAACCCAGCCCCTTCAGCATACCCGACTCCCCGGATGTTTTGCGCCCCGGTCAGAGGCGCAGAGCACTCAACAACAGCATAGGAGGGCTTTCTACCTCGTCAGATGAATCCATGATGGATACTAAGTCTACGCCGGATGGGTCTTCCAAGCCTCGTATCATGCGGGGCCGTCGTCCGGGCTCCCAAGAGCCTCCTAGTTCTGAAGCCCCTCATTCTGAAGTCGAAGATCCCAAGTTCATTCGGTTCAAAGTTACCATGCCACAGCATAATCCTTCTCATGTTCGTGCGGCCTGGGTCCAAACGAGCGGAGATGTGAAAAAAGCTACCGCACTACTCTCTGACCCTACCTGGAATCCAAACCCCAGTCCAATCATGAACCCGCACCCACCCTTAGCCCCTTCGGACATTACTGGAAGAGTCGTAGAGGTCGATGAAGCAACGAAAGCTCATCGTGCTGCTCTCCGGGAGAAAGGCAAGAAGTCGTCTATATATGCTAATCGTACGGTTATGGATCCTGCCCCAAGCACTCCCGCAGAGTCTAAGCATTCTGTACTCCCACCTTCGCCCCTCACACCACTCACACCTGCTGTCGCGCCATCGCGCCGCAAGCGAGTGAAAAAGATGGTAATAGACTCCGAATCAGAAGCCAACCCCACTGACAGTGAAGAGGAGTCGGGGAGTCTCCCAAAGCGAGCTAAGGAGACGTCTCACGAATCCAGAGTACTGGAGTACTTCAATAATGCTAGCCCCGGAGCTTTGCAAGAGCTCACCGGTATCCTCTTGTCTACCCTTAGTGTCGATTTTGCCACTGACACCACATGCATACAGGCTGCACATCCGAACAGGCTGGTGCGATCATTGGACTGAGACCCTTCCGTTCAGTGGACGACCTGAAGACCAAGCTAGCTCAAGGAAAGAAGAAAGCCGGACCAGCTGGCATAAGCCCTAGGTTGTTCGAAGATTGCAAGACAACATTCGAAGGTTATGGTGCTGTGGACGATATCTTAGAGGACTGTGAGCGAATTGGTGCTAACCTCCGCACGGCCATTGCGACTTGGACTACGAGTGGAAGTACAGGGAAGGGCAAAGATAAAGCTGACCCCACTAAGATTGCTTCTCCTGTCGAAGAGGCGGATGACGGTGCCCTTAGTCTACGATCGTTACGCCCAGTGAAAGTTTCCGCCCAGAAAGATTTTCTGGTCACTCAGCCATCGTTACTCGCTGATGGTGTGACGCTCAAGGAATATCAGCTATTGGGAGTTAATTGGTTATACCTTCTCTATCGTAAACAACTTAGTTGCATCCTAGCTGATGAGATGGGCATGTTCATCCGGTTTTTGTTTATAAGTTTTTTTTGCTTAAATTTACCTACTAGGACTCGGCAAGACGATTCAAGTGATCAGTTTCCTGGCGTATCTGAAGGAGCGTGGTGCTGTGGGGCCCCACCTCATTATCGTACCGTGAGTCCATCAACTTTGACCTGACCATTGCTCAAAGTAGATGCTCATCACAGTTCTTCTACTCTGGAGAATTGGTGTCGAGAGTTTGCACGATTTGCCCCATCAATATCGGTGCAGACCTATTATGCGGGCAAAGAGGATAGACCTATGCTACGTCAGACGCTACTAGACACCCAACGAAGCAGTAACAAGAACGGAAGTGGATGGGAAGTCCTTATCACGACTTATAATCTTGCCCAGGGGGACGACCGTGATCGGAAATTCTTCCGAAAAGTACAATGGGATGTGAGTTTATAGCAAGCTCCTGACGATAACAATTTTTTTTCATCTTTCGCGTTTTCCAGAGTTGTATATTTGACGAGGGTCACGTCCTTAAAAACTTTCAGTCTCAGCGCTATCAAGCTCTTCTGAAATTTGAGTCGAGATGGCGTTTATTGTTGACTGGAACTCCCTTACAAAACAATCTTCAAGAGTTGGTGGTATGTGTAAATGTTTGAAAGGATAGCACTGCTTAATGTCTTCCTTATTCTAGTCATTGATGAACTTCATTCTTCCTTCCCATTTTGCCGATGCACTGGACTCTTTGCGTGCGATCTTCAAAGTCAAGGGTGACTCCAAAGTCACTCTGCTATCACAAGCACGTATATCCAGAGCAAAAAAGATGATGACTCCATTTGTCCTGCGGCGTCGGAAAGACCAGGTAAAGTGTACTTGTGGTTCGTTTGGTATGTGTCGCTCATTATTGGTATTACTTAGGTCCTGCAAGATCTTCCGTCAAAAACTGAACGCATTGAATGGTGCGATATGACTGTTCTGCAAAAATCCATCTACAACGATGCTCTTCAACGGTCTCGCAAGACTATCTTTGACGTGGAAACGAGCACCCCAGAACCTTTAGAACCGCCAGCGGGTTCTGCAAGAGGGAAGCCACCCAAGAAGAAAGCCAAGAGTAATCCACGGCCCAAAGACAAGATGTATCTCGAGAATAGCTCAAACGTCCTAATGGACCTGCGAAAGGCAGCATCTCACCCTATGCTTTTCAGGACACGCTTCACAGATCAAATTTTGACTGCCATGAGTAAGCATTTGCTGAAGGAGGCAGATTTTAAGAGACGAGGTGCCATTTTTGAATACGTCAAGGAAGATATGGAAGTCATGACAGATGCTGAGTTGCAACTCTTCGCCGCAGGCTACAAGGTATGCCTATGAACACTTATATGCATTGTTGTAACCATGTTGTAACCACGTTGCTGCCAGTCTACCCGGAAATATCTGCAAGACGAGAAATGCTACCTTGAAGCTGGCAAGATCACCGTACTTTTGAAGTTGCTCGAAGAGTATGACTCGGCAGGTCGGAAGGTTCTCATTTTCTCTCAAGTATGGATTACTCAATTTTCACTCCATGTGATTTCTCGTGCTGATGTACTCTTCGCAGTTCACACAAATCCTAGACATACTCCAAGCAATCCTAAAACAGCAGAAAGTCAAGTACCTTATATTGACGGGTTCGACTGCGGTGGATGTGCGCCAGTCACTCGTCGATGAGTTTACCGAAGACGAATCAATATCTGTGTTCCTATTGTCTACGAAAGCTGGTGGCATGGGTATCAACCTAACTGCGGCTAGCGTGGTCATCATGTATGTGACAATTTTTTAGGAAAAGATCTTGAATTGAATGGTGAATTCTGCTACAGGTTTGACCAGGACTTTAACCCTCACAATGATCGACAGGCCCAGGATCGGGCGTATCGTATCGGCCAGAAGCGGGACGTTGATGTTGTAAAGTTGATCACCCGAGGAACGATCGAGGAAGATATGCTGAAACTGGGAGAAACTAAACTTGCATTGGATGAAGCTGTGGCCGGCGACAGCGACGAAACAGAACAAAAGGGAGAAAGTGCACAGGAGAAGGAGATTAAAACATCGCTGATGAACGTTCTAAGGAAACAGCTCGAACAACAGCAGGATGGGACTCCCGTAGGTGATGGAGCTCGAAAAACATCGGATCCAAGTTGACATCTATATCACAATAATAATGGGACGGGAATTGGCTGTTAATCGCTCTTTAACTTATAGAAATTCGCATTGGTTTTCGTGATTTACCAGCCACTACATATTGATGAATGTTGACTTTAAATTATGTAAAGTGATCAAGAAAACACTGACAGGCCTCGTACTAGGCGGTCTACACTGGCACGGAAGTAATCGTTATCTACACCATGTTCACGAGAATCCATGGTGGCAAGAGGGTTGCGGACAACATATTCTAAGAATGGACCCGTATAAATTTGACGCAAGATGAAACGAAGGGAATCTGTGTTAGGATCGCTGAGCATAACAAATTTATAGCCAGACACCGTCTCATATAGGTGAAGTTTATACGTGGAGGTGCGATAATTGACAAATGATTCGTCCCTGCTTTCTGTATGAGCTCGAGATAGAAAAATCGATGAATAAGATATCACCTTCCAGATAGTTTCCTGATCATGTTTCGCAATGACAGAATTACACCGTAAACCAACTTAGCTTCCTCATCAAAAGATAAGCTCGCCGTGTTAGAATTTTCTGTTGAATTTAACGGTGTTCCAGATGCTTCATCGCTAACAGCAACCACAACTCCAGAATTGGAGGAGAGTGTATTCCGAGGACTACTGAATGCTGATGGATTTATGAAGTTGGAATTGGATGGTTGTGGTGAGACTGCACGGGAGACAGAATCAAGAATCCCTCCTTCTACTGCGGGACGCGGACGCTTTGTACGGTGCCAATCTTGATAGTAGACACATGCACAGTGCCTAAGAAGATTATCATTATTAAATGTATCGCAAACACGAGAGACATACGCACCTGTCATAAATGTACAAGCTGTGTATTGTCATGTGAGTAATGTTCCGATGGAAAACTGCGCAATTCTGTTATTATCGACGATAGAAAGATGTAATGAGTACTAAGTACTATCTGATACCACATACATAACGTAGCACAGCAGCACCTCCAGGCAACTTGACGACTAAGCGACACCTATACTGCGTGGAGGGTGGAAAGTAGTGTTTTCCGCGAATTTGTGTTGGTTACGTTTCATGTGCAGGATGCACAGCCCATGTGGTATTGCAACTTTCTATACAGGAGATTGAGAAAAAAGGTACTTGCGGCGCAGTGTCTTGCGCTGGATCGGGATCAATGTCGCTGCGCAGAAGAGTCCCACGGTCTATGAACCACCCATGCAGTACAACCTGAGGAGAAGTCGATCACAATCTATCGTGTATAAAAATGCAGGATTTTTGCGTGGTGAAGTGTCTTTAATTTCCCCCAGTTCAATCTCTTTTTATTTTTGAATGGCCTATCTTCTGGGCAAACATCTGTACAACAAATGCAAGGGCCGAAAAGACTCGGAGAAACCATCCCCTTCTGGTACTGAAGGTGGACCTTCGTTGACAACATCCCCAAATCTGGATGGCCCAAATAATGTATCACCCACCGGAGGTCCCAATGGATCTGGTGGTTCGAGAGCTGTGTTATGGTTCAAAGTGAAGCTCTTAATTGCCTTGGCCATACCCGTCTTTCTTGAAACCCTGGACTACACCAGTAAGCACTTATTGAATGGAAAGGGAAGCTTACATGAATATTTGTACAGTCGTTGCTACAGCTCAGCCTCAAATAGCAGTCGGTGGCCTCCTTGTCATTATGATGCACCCTTTAACTCTAGTTTTGTTATAGTCCGTATTCAACCGACTGGATCTGCAGAGGTAAATCCTAGTTGGTATACTTTTTCTGCGAAACTCATATTTATTTGAAGCTATATTGGAACATCCTACCTACTTTCCTCTACAGTGTTTTTACCTTTTTTTGCCTCAGTAGCAGATATATTTGGCCGTCACACCGGCATTCAGATTTCTCTATTTTTCTTCCTCATTGGTAGCGCAGTGAGCGCTGGAGCTATCAATATGGCCATGGTACTTGTTGGCAGAGGTATAGCTGGTATTGGTGCGGCTGGTCTCTTGACAGTAAGCGCTATAGGATATCGATTCCCTTTCTACCTTATCGAGTACTCTCAAGATTGTTAGGACTATTTTATCGGACTCAAGTTCTCTGGACGACAACAACTGGCAGGTCTCCATACTGTTTCTACTGTATGCCATAGGTTATGCAGTAGGCCCACTTCTTGGTGGCTTATTGGTAGCTGTGTCATTCCGTTGGGTATTTGCCATTAAGTGAGTGTGAACATGCTGAGATATTGGGATTTTCACATGACTGATGAAGAAATACAGCCTACCCTGTGCCTTGGTTTCAATGGTGCTTTGCTTTTTCTTGCTTCGTGGTAATGTAAAAGTGGGCCAATCCGCGCACAGGCTGCCCACTTTGTCTGTGGAGAAAGAGACGGTTTTACAGAAAATTCTCCGCATCGACTGGGTTGGAACACTGTTCTTTGTGGGTGGGGGAATCCTCATCCTCCTCGCCCTGAATTGGGGATCAACTAATGAGTGGGGATCAGCCAGAGTGATCGTCAGCTGGATTATCGGTGGACTCCTCTTCGTAGCCTGTATTCTGTGGGAGTACATCCTTGAGCATCAAATGTTCAGCATCAACCCCTCTTCTATCAGCGTACTTCGAGCTGATCCTATGCTACCGCTGGAAATTTTCCGTTCGTACGATGTTTCCACGGTTGAATATGGATCATTCATCTCTGGTTTGGTCATGCTTGTGATGTTCTACTTCGTCTCCATCTTCATGACTATTGTAACGGGCCTCTCGCCTGCTAAAGCTGGCGTGCAGTTGGTTTACTTTGCACCCGGCATGGTGAGTTCGAAGTTAGTCTGAAATCTGTTTCTGGATTCAATGATACATCTTAGGGGGGTGGGACTCTCATCTCGATCTTCATGATCAGGCATCTCAGACAAGTACGTATATTCCTATGGAGCTAAAATTTGAATTGACGAAGTTTCTGTCAGCCCAAGTATCCCATCATATTCGGGTCTATCGTTATCACTGTTTCCCTCGGGTTGATCCAGATGGCCATGAATTTTAACAACCAAAATCAAGTCAACGGGTATGTAAACCGATGTCAAGTCACTTCTAGACCTACGCTAATTCATGAGACTAGCTTTATGGTTATGTCTGGCGTTGGTGTAGGCCTTACGGCGGGCTCACTTGCAGTCCATGCTCGGTTCTCGCAGCCAACAAATCGCGTAGCAATTGTGAACGCCTTGACCCTTTTCGTACGTGCTTCTTCGTCACAATCGCCATTGCCCAACCTTAACTATAGTTGATTCCTATGGTACTCTAGTTCCGGTCATTAGGAGGAACCGTCGGACTCGCTCAATGCGCTGCTGTAATGAATGCTAAAGTTACTCGGTACCTCACCGCTCAAATCCGCAGCGGTACACTTTCAGCTTCTGATATTAGTGCCCTAGCCGCCGCTTCTGCCAATGGAGGATTGGATTCATTGCAAAGTCTCGGAGGTCTGCCCACCAATGTTCAAAACGTAGTACGTGACGCTTTCAGAAACGGTGTTCGTTGGAGTTTCATCTCCTTGATTCCTTGGTGTGGGCTCGCTGTTATCTTTACTTTGTTCCTCTCGAATATTAGGGATAGGAAAGGGGAAAATAAACAGGCTGAAACTGGTCAGGCCAAAGAGAAGGTGTCGCATATCGACTCCGGCCAAAATATTAGCAATCACGAACAGGTTCACGGCGAGGAGCAGGTTGCCCCGGTTACGGGCTCCTAACTACTTCTCTCTCTTGATTCAATAAATGGGACTGGGACTAGTTTCATTTATGATTAGTTCATGCTATTTATTTAGTTAGCAGCTCATTGAGTTATTGTTGTTTTCAAGCATCGTATATATCCGCACCATCGTCACATGCCTTATTGTATCGTAGATAGTGTTTAAAAAGGTTGGGCATAGTCCACGAGCTATACTGAGAACAGGGTCCGCATGTCTCTGTAGTACACTTCAAGCCATACTGTACTTCTCATCTTGATACAAAGGAAGATCACCGTACTTGGCCCCTTTATAATCGTTATCCATGTAATCCATCTTGACCTTACCAACCTCAGGAACATCTGTCGGAGGGTTGATATACTGGTATAAATCGTCAATTTAGGTCACAAAGTTCTGTAGTAATCAAGCCTTACCGGAGGAAGATAAGCATCAGGGTGAAAGTAAGAAGGAGGCGGAGCAACGGGGAGGGTGATGATAAGAGTCTACGTAACACCGAGTTAAAATGACTGCCCAAGAATAAGCGAACTATCACCCTTACAACGTTCTCATTGAATACTCCAGGAGTTTTGACCTTCCACGAGGGAATAGCACCATAAGTTGTTGCAAACTTTATGTCCTCTGTTGCCCACCGATTGAGCATGGCTTTCACACGAAGGTAACCCTGTGGGACCATAGAAGATCCAGCAATTGAAAACGAGGCGTATGCATCAGAAACGTACCATTAGTTTCCAAACTGCCATAGGTAAGAAAAATAGAAGTCCTGTGCATACAGCGATTGCGAACGTGATGGCTCGGGTTTCTACTAAAACATCTTCGAAGTTATCATTCTTCTTCTCCAAGGAATGCAAAATCAAGTGATACAGGACTGCAGGCAAAATCAAAGGAGTTCTATATGAAGAATAGACAATCAGTATCCTGGTAGAATTGGTTAGCATGAGGTAGCATACAGGAACCCAAACAGGAACCAGATACGCTCAATCTGGGGCTTTGAGTACCGAGAAGCTGTACGGATGATGGCAGAGACACGAGATGCCCATGCGTCTCCAGAAACCTAGGAATTATGTGAAGTCATTGAATGGCAACCAAATAGCCTTGACATTACATACGTATTTCTGCAGCTCAAAAGGCAAGAGCGGTGGCGGCTGTGAAGGAGACAGACGCTGAAAAACAGTCCACAGAATAAATATTAGCGTCAGTTGAAGCAAAACGACACAGAAACCATTTACCAAGACGATGTCCGAAGACGTCCTCTCTACACTATTCGGACCTGCAGAATCTGGGGAGTACACGGCAACCATGGCAAATGTATATAGATGTGGATAAAAACGAATGCAAGAATGAGAAATTGAGAACGACTAAAGATTCAAGACCAGCTTGAGGGGTTGAAGTGAAAGAAGGGCTGAACCTGTCGAGCCTTGAAGATGATGAGGCCTGCCCGGTGAGTGTGGTAGGGGAGAGAGTTCAAAAGGCGTACTCGGTCACCATTGACATGCTACAGGCATAATGCTTGAAATAGTCGTCCTTGGGCTTACTCAATCTACCAGTTAGGTAGTTTTAATCATCCAGGCTGCGCAGGAGCGGTGCATGCATAAAGAACAGCATGGGAAAATACCTGCACCCTGGATACCGGATACTAGACAGCGGAAAAGACAACGAGTTGCAAATTGAAGATGGCAACAACAATCCATGCGACATCTCACCACTTGTGTTCAAATAATGAGGGTGCATGAAATTGAGTGCAAAAAGCGGAAGAAAATATTTGGATTGCCTTATCAGTTAGCAGTTTGCCGCGGCTGATCTCAGCAAGCATTCATACCTCATGATGAACAAGTCTAACATCATGTACGGGTTAACGCATGCGCAGCTTGATCAGCGTCAAATCGACTTCATATGCCCCACTGGAAGGCGATAGATGGGTAATGTAAAGTACTCCCTGGTTTTCCCCCACCTGTTCTCACTTTCATCAGTGCCAACTTCGACATCACTCCAGTCCACATCCAACCCATCTTCTGCCAAGTGTAATTCGGAGAGATGCGTGTAAACATCATAGAACAGAGCATCTGTGTATCAGGATCCTATTAAAGATGCTGATACCTGAGATGGAAAAGCTTACTTGTAGCACCAAGGCCGTTAAAAAAGCTAAATCTAGACTCGGGCCCATCCATTAAATCTGGCAAATGACCAAAGAACTTGCGAAGCTCTCCGGGCTACTCAGTTATATTCGTGGGATGTCAGTGCATTATATTCTCACCTTCGTAGTTTTCCGAGAACGTATCTGTGTAAATGACGTCGAAGCCGCCAAAGCCAAGTAATTCTTCACTCTCTATGAAATCTTGCCACCGACCCTCTAGTATTTTGACACCCGTTTTATTATACCAGCCATTGTCCCTCATGTGTTGTAACACATCCGGGTGTGGTTCTATTATGACATGATGCGATGGAGGATGTGCCACCGACTGGAAAAATGTGTCGATCTATTGGATGGTTGGTTAATCGAGCTTTGCGATATTAACACCCACTTACTATTCCGAGTCCAAATCCAACATTTAGTATTTTCAGGCCTTGCGAGTAGTTGCTATGGGATTCGCACAACCTTTCCACTGTTTCGCGCACTGGTCATTGACACCTTTAGCATTGACAACCACCGCGTATCAGGAATGAACTCGCTGATTTCCCGTTCCCAGCCCATCATGACACCCACTTCATCATCCTTGAGCTTGAGCAGACAAATCTCCTGGCCAAATTCGTCCTTGGTAAAACGCAATTTTGAAGATATAAATGCGTCGGTAGACCCTGCAGCGGAATCATCCGTGTCTCGTATAACAAATGAGGACGGCGTACTTGACAGCGTCGAGCGTGCGGAAAGCAAGGCAAGTAAAAGTTCTAATTTATCGGTAAACGTGTGGATCGCACAGGATCAGGCAAGACCCACCCGAACGGATTCCAGCATCACGGATCAGTGTGTAACACTCTTGATTATTTAGCGATAGCGCAATATCCGCTGCAGTGTTTTGAAGATTGTCAACTTGAAAAAGGAACAACGATCGTTAGTACCATGCAATCACGATGTTGAACGGCGTGTGGGAGCTTGTGGCAGATTCTATCGAAACACCAAGAAAGATGAATATATATATACCTGCATTCCAGACAGCGCCTTCATCAATCAGCAACTTTACAAGTTCTGCATCCTCTACATACACAGCAGCGTGTAAAGGCGATAAACCCTCTTCATCTTGGTACCACAGTGGAGCTCCAGAGTCAACCAGTGCCTTGATAACTTCGGTGGGCTCTTGTTCCAAGATAGCGTTAATCAGCCCACTACCTAGGTTCGTCAATAATTCCGAGTCAAAGTCGACAGTAGCCTCGTCTAAGGATATATCCCTGTCACTATCGACAGATCCCTCTTGAGTTGACATCTAGCCAGGTGATAGAAAAAAGAGTTCAAGCGCGATCGATAAAAGGATCATACAGATGCAGTAGTAGTATACTGTGCTAAGTACTATCGTTCATTTACAAAAATTCAGATTCTGCCGAGTCCGAGTCGGCAATTCAAATTTCGACTCTTACTAGCTTTTGCCGATACTATGTCTTCTATATTCATTCTGCAGGCTCTCAAGTTCAGGAAGAAAATAAACATTTATGCATTTATTACAAACAAGCACTACAACAAGAACATGAATGGGAAATCACTTTCATCGACTGCAAACCTAAAACCATAAAACGCTTGTCACTTTAGTTGCCGGGCCAGACGGCAGGTCCTATTTATCATTCTTTGAATATCGACAACAAAACATATCACGGTTTACGTACCGGGAATGGTGTAGTTAGTGACAGTTGGCTCGTTGTAGATATCAATGTTGACACCGGGGTCGCTCCTATAGTGCATCACATATTGTCATTACATGCAACTCAGTTCGTGCGAGGGCTGTACTGACATAGAGTAGGCACCAGGGAGTTTGACCAGGTATTCCGAAGAGGGCGTCGCGGTACCACTACCAGTTACGATGAGCTGGGCGCACTCGGGGTAGAATTGAGGCTGGTTAGCGGTGTGAATCGCAAGCAACTGAGGCACCAGATGCGCTGTTAGAGGGATGATAATGAAAGAGCAATAAACTCGTACCTCGTGACGGATGAAGTATTCGCCAGGAGCCAAGGAGGACGGGATGTTAGTAGTCCAGGAATTGTTGTTGGCAACAAGTTCGCCCATGGCCCAGGTACCAGTGGGGAGGGCACCAGAGATGAGACCGGCTTGTTCGATCTTAAACTGTTGGTTTGGCAAAAACAGTATTTAGATACCCACAATATCGGAAATCACTAAAGTACGTGCCCAGTTGAGATCGGCTGTGTTCGCAGAAGTGCAAGAGCCTCCGCAGCTTGCCATGTAAACCATGACGGGCCCGATAGTGTGAGGCCATTGGCTTTTCCAATTGTTAGCAAACTATTGATGAAACGACGACAGGAATACTTCATACTTCCAGAATGCAGTGACTTGCGTGCCAGCTGCATACATCAAGTTGAGTAGCGCATCCTGACACAGGAAATGCCACACGTACCTGCTACTGTAGCTGAGAGTTGACCACTACCAAGGTTGGCACCATCAATGTTGCAAGAGAGCTGCGCATCGGTGGGGTCGGTAATGGGGTTGTAGCTGTCCCACTCACGCTGGATCGTGGACTGGCCAACTGGGGTGTTGTACGGCACGAACCTGATCGGACAAGTTAGTACATTACATGTGTGCCAACTACATAAGCATACCCGTTGTACCAGGTGCTCCCAATCTCGTAAAGCAGCACGCCACCATGACCAGCGACCTAGGTAAACTGTTAGTACAGAAGGCTGAAACATAAAGTTGTCGACTATCACATTTGCGATTTGGGTCAAGGCGACGATGGAAGCACTCAAGGAGGTGAGGCGGAACATGGCTGGTATGTTTCAGTTAAGCGTTGCTGATATGAGGAAAGTAGATGTGGTTGGGACACTCTTATATACTCGCAGGGCGACATGACTGTCGAGGGCACTTTGCGTGAATAGCACCGAGGTAGGATAAAAGGGGGGTAAATCTCGGGAGACTCGACATTCGGTTCATCTGTCGGAACTATATAACGCGGGTTCAAGCCAAGAAGTGCAATCAACCGAGGTTTTGGCTATATATCGAAAAACATAGGTCTTTCAAAGTTTACGCTTACCCGACGCAGGTTATATCAAAGCCGTTCGAATATAAAGGACCATATAATAGAGATGTCTGAAAACCATCTGGTAATCTGGCATAAGGCTTAAACCGTTAATAGACGCAAAGGAGCAAATAGAGCAAGATACAGCTACAGCAGATTGTAAGAAGGTTGGTATGATCAGGAACTTTCTTGAGAAGGCACTGCAGAAAAACTTGGCATGCACTGGCACCCATGAGTGATCCAGGAGTTAAAAATACAGCAACATGAAGGGGTCATACGACGAATGACCCTTTGCGGGCCATGGCATAGAGATGCGACATTTTTGCGGGTCTGGGGTTCATCCCTTCGTATTCCGACTTATATACCAATCAGTTAAATATGTATCACCAATGCACAAAGTTGCATGTGGTGACTGCAGTCTCGTGGTATATTTATTTCAGTACTTTCAGGGGCAACAGAGTGCTCAAAACGCACTTTTAGTTAAGCGACACGAAAAATTCTGCAGATACTACTGTACCTGTACCACAGAGTAAACCATGACAGAGAATATACGGCCAGCTTTACCTTCATACTTACTCCAAATCTACCAGAACGGTGAGCATTTGAAAATGAACTTATGACGAAAATAGGTGAGCCTATACAAAACGATGCAGTTTCATATACACATAACTTACAACTTTACAGCATTTAGTCATCCTCGTGAATAACAATCCTACTTTCGACCACTGGGACAGCTGCCGCAACATTCTGGTCAACGTCACCTGATACGTGCATCCCTGTATGCTTATGCTCTTCGCCAGCATCACTGTCTGCCTCACTTTCCTCATCACTTTCCTGGCCAGGTTGCTTGAACACAAGTTCCTTGCCATTGAGCAGCCTTCTTTTCTTCAGAGGTGCGCTATTTGGGCCACCCTTTTCCTCCATTGCTTCAGAGCCTGGCTGAGATTTTGTCTTCGATCTTTCTTTTTTCTTTTGTCTTTTTGCACGGTTCTTCGCTGTTTTACCGTCCGCTAGCTCCTCTGCTTCGCGTCGTTTTCGTTCAAATTCATGCGTTTCTGCTTCCTGGAAAAACAACATGGAAAGGCAGAGAACTGATGAATATAAATAGCATGGACACCAAGCGATACGCATACCTTCTTCGCCTCTTCCTCCATTAACTTCAATCGTTCGTACTCTCTTCGTCTACTGGCTTTATATACATGGAATTCCCCGCTTCCAGCACCAGCACTGGAACCCTGTACGTTCTTCATCATTTCCCGTGCCGCCCTGACGGACTTCTCCTTAGGTGGAGGGGGTATGTGTACAGGCTTGGCTGGGTCCTTAAGAAGCCGATCTAGCTGTAAGCGCTGCCTTTCTACAGGAGTAGGAGCATAACGATTTGCGGGTCCTGGTGCGGGCGATTCTGAGTTGTGAGCGGGGGTGCCGGGTGTGGACATAGTGGTCGATTGCTAAACTGCACTGACCTCAGATTCAGTGTCGAGAAAAGACGCCCATGGATCACGTGACAGAGCTTATCATTTAGCGCGCAAAGTGAGTTAGCAGGTCCTCAGGCCTCAGCATTCTAGATATGATCATGACACAATCAAGCTCTACAGAATCGAGCAGTCACCCCAACGTAACTATCAATCATCTCAACCACCCTTTCAGTCCATTGAAAACTTAAGGATAAATCCAGACTCTTGCGCTCAGCCATGGTAAGACCGTCCATCAGAGAAAAACATGAATATAATGCATCAAACTAGAGATACAAAGAAATATTGCAGGGGTCCAGCTCAAACGACTAGAAAGAAAAGTCTTGAGTACATATTTTGATATAACAGGAAAAGACATACGGAGAACGGCATTGATGCAACCATCATTTTCAGGATTGTTGGTGACTTGGGCATATTTTCCAAAGACAACCTTCCCACCAGTCGTAACCATACCTAGTTCCGATACATTGACTTCTATGACTGTTCCTTTTGTTAAGACGCCAAGTTGAGTATACATCGGCGATTGTGGGTTTTTCTTTACGCCAAGGATTTGTAGTTGAAAAGTCGCCTTCAGGTCGGCTTGTTTTATAAAACGTAAGCATATATCCATAGGGGGGAAAAGAAACAAGAAGAAAGAGACGTACGATGTGTGACATTGGCTTTCTTGTACCGTAGCGCCATAGGACGAATGAACCTCTCCATCTTCACGGGTTTTCTCGTAAATCCCTCTCCAACAAAAGTAGCTTTAGTGACCATCCGCTTCCAAGCTTTGCTTTTACTTTTCCCTGTCCGCATCACCTTGAACATTTCATCCTCAGCTATGCCCCGCACTTTGGGTAACGGTACAGCGTATTTCGCTGCCTTATCCTTCCGTTTTTGTTTGATCGCAGATGATAGAGCCTTTGCATCTTTTTGGCCCTCTCGATCAAGTAGATATGTGGGCAAAGCACCCTCTGGCACAGTTGATGAGTCGGCTTGTTTGACATTCCGCTCGTCATGAGCCTTGAGGGTTTTTTTAAGTTGAACTTTCTCTGCATGGCGCTTGGCGTGTAGCAGCTTGGCTTTCAGACCGAATGCTTTTTGTGCGGTTGCAGATGCACGATGTACAGCACGAGCCTCCTTCTTGCGTCTAAAATCGTATCAGTATCTGCTGTTGATAGAAATAAACAACACTCACTTGCGTTCATAGTAATCTAACCGCCGTCCGTGCCGTTTGATGTGCTCCTCGATATATTCGTTCTACAACTATCTGTGAGAAGCCAAGTAAGCCGTTTTTAAGAGTAAGCATACCTGAGGCTGTTTGTAAAGTGTAGTTAGGATGAAAATTCAGGGTTAATATATATAGGTCGAACTTACCATAGTGCTAACCTGAGTGCTATTTGCACGTTCTGGTTATACCGGACAAGGAGGGCGTGTGCAAATAACAAAAAACAGATATCCGTGTTGAGCCACGTTTGCCCAGTTTGTACCAGCTTACCACGGGGTAACTACTCTTTACAACTCAAAACTGCATTTACTAGAGCAGACCATTTGCAACTACTCTAATATTTAGTAGTACACTTTCCTTCACAAAGCCTGGATATGTGGCAAGAAAGTAACAGTCAATACGGCGCTTCTTCGTCGCACAACCCGTATTACCCGCAAGGTCCCCAGGCTTCCCAGGACGTTCCGCTCCAGTTCTACGCACCTCAGTCTGACCAAGGAAATTTCTATCCTGGATCAAGATCTAGTCTGGAGGGAAATGTTGGTGCACAGGGGTCAATATCTCAGCAGGGACCTACGTCCAACTATGGAGGAAACATACAAACAGTTGGTGGTTGGTGGACGGCTTTTGGGACAGGTGGGTTTGAAGGTGAACCACCGTTACTTGAAGGTGAGCAAAGCTATTGTTCTTCAGCTCTGTAAGGTCATATGTGCCTACTTTTTCCATCTTTAGAGTTAGGTATCAATTTCTCGCATATTCGAGCAAAGTCAATGACAGTACTCAATCCCCTACAACGTGTGGACGAACAAATTATGGACGATGCTGATTTGGCTGGACCACTGCTGTTCTTCTTTTGCTTTGGTACTCTCCTTCTTCTCGTGAGTCCTAGCCCTCGCTCTCAGGTGAACTCTGACGTCGATACTCTGATGTATAGTCTGGGAAGCCTCAGTTTGGCTACATATATGGCTTCGGCTTACTGGGTTCCGCGTCCATTTATACTCTCTTGAATCTGATGTCTGAGAAAGGCATCGACGCATACCGTGTAGTTTCTGTTCTTGGCTACTGTCTACTCCCGATGGTGGGTGTAGGTGCCATAAGCGTAATCGTTACACTCGAGTAAGTCCGAATGAGTCTTGGTTCTACGCATAAACTGACAGGTACTCGCACAGTGGAATCATAGGCTATCTTCTTTCTCTTCTCTCAATCTTGTGGTGCACCTATGCTGCGTCCGGGATTTTCGTGGCTGTGTTACGGATGTCAGATCAGCGCCTACTTGTCGCATATCCAGTCGGACTACTCTATGGCTGTTTTGCTTTACTGAGTGTTTTCAACGTTGGAGCTAGTAGTACAGGTTCTGGTAAATAAGGTGGAACATTATACATATTATCTCCTTCTGTTCGGAAAAATACCTTGTCATAATGACAGCAGCTCGAAGAACTATATGCGACATAATACATTTCTGACTACAAGTGTCCATTAGTATTGCTGTAAGGAGTAAAATGGATGTTAAAAGTTTGTTCTCTATGTATCAGTCCGTAGCTGTTTGCTATAAAGTTTGAGGAGTGCCTCCATAATCTCCTCCAATGGTATTGTGGCATATTCGTGAACGTACTGTGGTAAAGAGTCTTCTAGGTTGAAACCAGCTTTTTTCATGAAAAACGGATGCATCACATCTGGAGTTGCTTCACCCAATTGTCGCATCGTAAGGCGTTCAATATGGCGTTCGCGAGGTATATAAACGATTGCATTTGTCCTCTTCTCCGAAGTAGAAACATTCGTGGCTGGAAGAATGTTCATACCAGAATCACCTGTTGATTCTGGCACCGGATACTTGAGCACATGGGGCTTCGCATCTGGAAGTTGAGAATCAATATTCTTCGCATGTAGATCGGTGCTAATATCGATAGAGGATGATGCTCGATGACTTGGTGACGGCCTATTAACAAGTATGGTAGACGAAGGCGTTGACAAAGTAGAAGACCCCCCGGAATAGCCTTCTGTGCCCTGGGGCTCCTCCCTGATATGATCTGCGTTGCCAGCACCTTTTTTCCGCGGCGCATGGACAGGGATACTAGTGGGAGCATTTCTCCAGTCCACAGATGACTGTATTTGTTCCATTTCCCTCGACAGATTTTTCCGCAGAATTGTGAGCCATGAATATAAAGAGACATTTAAAGTGATGTAAATGTCCTCGGGATTTTTTCCGTCTCGTTGACGTACGAATTCACTGTGGAAATCATATTCGAGATCCTTAGTGAGCTCCTCAATCAGTTCCTCCGTCACCATGTGCATCTTCATCGATGGCAGGCCGACGATAATTGCCTCCGTAATATGAGTATACAAGGATTCAAGCCAAACCTTTGTATCTGGAAGTGGAGAAATCGATGGAAGAAATTGATGAGGCTGGCTGAATTTTGAGATAGTCATGGTTGAGAACGAGAGATATACTTCTCTCCAAGACGGGAGGCCATCTGTGACAATACGGTCCAAACTTGCATGGACATCACAGCCGATGAAATGCGCCATTTCAAGATCCGTCAACGCACGAGGGAACAGTATGAGTCTCAGTGAAGCTAGTTGGAAGCTCATATGCTGCCGAATCACGTAAGATAGCTCTGTTTCGGCTTCCTTGAAACGATTACGGGCAGAGTGTAACATAGCGTTTGCAACCTCAGATAGTGGGTTATCTGGCTTTGGAGACTGGGTGACCCTAAAAGCGACTGATTCGCGACTTGCACCCGCTCGCTGGGCGTCGAGATTGGATGTGAACTTGTGAGCATATGATAACAGCTTAGGGATTGCCCCGATTGTTGCTACTGCCACCACTGCAGTGCCGACAACGGTAAAGGACAGGATGAGGGGATGATCTTTCCCTCGTATGTCAGGTGAGATTGACGACCAGTCATCATGTATATCCACTTGCAGTGGCTCCGCCCTGGTATCCATGAGAACTGGCTTGAGAAATCTAATTGTTTTGAGACTCACCAATAATGTAATAGCCTTTGGTGGTCAGAGTCTACATCAATACTCAAAGGACCGCTAGTCATACTTAACTCCAACATTCTGCTCGCTTTGCCACTATTCAGGACGCTCCCCTCTTTCCTGCGTATCGTCTGGAAGACGCAGTCGGGAACGTGTATATGGCCTGAAATGTTGCCTTTGGCGAGAATCGTAACCTCCGCAACTGATAAAGATAATTCTGAAGATGCTTCCGAAAATTTGCTGCGAAGTATGGTACGTCGAAGGTTGAAACCGACGTTACTAATCGACTGCCCAAGGTCAATTTCAAGCTTGACTTGACGTAGGCGGATCAGAATTAGGGTAGTCAGCTCCTGCTTGGATACAGGAGTAGCTGAAGAAGAGGTGTGAGGCGGCACAGATGGATGTGACTTGTCTGAAAGAGAAGTTTGAGTGATGAATAAGGGTATGTGATCCAACCAGACAGCTTTGAAACACAAGACGTCTTGCAACCGAGAAAAACGTACACCTCCGGATAAATCGGTATCAAGAACAAGTGAAATAGAACTCTCAACGTTGCCCTCTTCATCCTCGGTCTTCCCAAATGTTGATGTGAATGCTAAATTACGAGCATCTAAATTGACACAATCTTCACTCAGAAAGCCATGTTTCAGACCAGCAGTTAAACCATCCACACTTCCTGTGAAGGTAACTTTATGTGCACCAGGGGATATGTTCACTACAAAACCACCGCTATCCCATCGTAGTCCGGCTGTGACGTTCACATCAGGTTGACAGGTCAACTCCAGCTTCGATTTATCGATTCGAAGGCTAAGATTGATTTGCAACGAAGAAGGAGTTTGTGGAAGGTTATTCTGTATGGAGTTTACTGGGGCTGAAGCATCCGGCGCGGCCAGAGAAAATGTATCGGTATTTTGTCGACTAGCCCTTCGCATCCGTATTTGAACATAATCCACAATCTCAGTTATGAACGGCAACAAAGTCGGCTTTAGTGTATTGTGACTGGAATGTATCGTGCTTTTAAACACCAATATCGAGGGTTGAGTGCTGTCAAGTTTGTGCGTTGCTATAGAGGCGCGGTATTCCCCCCAAACAGAGACAACAGGGAGTTCGATACTCTCTGCTTCATGAACAGAAAGATGGTCATCCAAGGTGTCGTAAAATGCGAGGGACTGAGATTTGGCACGCGAAAGGTGTGGTACGGCTCCAGTGTGGACGTGTACTTGGCCACTTTGGAAAGTCAGGGAAGCAAAAGCCATAGAAGTCGGTACCCCAGAAATAGCGCCGCTGACCGTTTTGTCAACAGTAGTTGAATCAAATTCCATGGTTTGAATTTGGTCTGTACCCGTAAACGAGTGGGGGATACTACCGGTGAGGCGCATCATTCGTTCTTTTCCTTGGCGGTAGACATCGATCAACGAGAAAACAAAATCTGGAATGGACGAGTCGAGATCTAGAATGAAACCGCTGACATTTGCTGACACCCAGATATGCTGGGATGGAAATGAGTAATCAGAGCGAACCTGGGCAGTCATTTCAGGGTACAGCAGTCGATTGCGAGTATGATGATTATCGCCCGTGAAGTCCCCCGAAACAGACTGTCGGAAACTGTATAAAAGGTTAGAACGTACATGCAACACCCCACAACATGATACCTTACCGGGGGACAAACTGGAAAGAAAGATCTCTTGTGACCAACTCGCCAGCTTCACCTCGCTGTGCTGAGAACTTGATATATTTGACGGAAAATAAAAATGCCCGAACTGAAGGGGTGTCAGGACTTGCTGTTCGAGGTAGTTCAAGATCCTGATCAAGGGTAAGGGGGAACGCAACTCCGATATTATGGATGGATACGTTGATGGTGTGCTGGCTTAGCCAAGAGGGTGTACTCCTTGAATCAGCTTGAGCATTCTTTGACTTGATTTCGAAAGTTTTTAGAACGGTCCTCGTTTTTTCTTTGAATGTTGCTAACTCCGCGGCTCTTTGTTCCCTTCTATCCGATATCTCAATCTGTTAGAGCCCAGACTGATTAGCCACAATCCTCTATAGTCGAAAAATAATATTACCTGGAGGTAGTCAACAAAGTCTCCCACTTCTCCGATCGAGCTGGGCTGCATGACAGCTTGAATTTTCGTGACATTAAACTGCAGGATCTGACTAGCGTTTTGAGCAGACGCATTGATATGAAGGTCGATGATGACAAAAGCTGATCTATGGTTTCGGTTGAAACCAGTTTCCGGAGGAGTAATGATGGCACGAGGGTCTAGAGATATGGTGAGGCCACAAAGCTTGATCTGCCATGTCATGCCATCCTTATTGTTGATATCACCACCAACATCCTCACATCCAAGGTAAAAAGTAGAAGACGGGCCTTCTAAGCCTAATCTGAAACCCTTCAACCTTAAATGGCCACTATACCTTACCTTCATCGAAGGCTGGTGGACACGTTGCGAGATTGAAGTAGCACGCTTTCTGCGAGTTTCCTCGATCAAGTCTACGAGATCTGCAAAATCATGTCCAAATTTTTGCTGGACGGCGAGTAGAGTGTCCCAATGGGAAGGCTTAACGAGGACAACCATGAAATCAAGCGAAGCTACGATGCTGACAAAGCTTTCGCTGTGACGTCGTCCCGCTAACGATAGTGCAGGCAGTCGTAATTTTACGTGAGGACTATGCACCAAGTCTTCAGAGTTCTGAGGCTTATGCGATATGCTCAGAGTTTGAGATCCGAGTCGTATCTCGAAAGACTGAGCTAGATGCGTCGACCTGATCCCAGAAGACAGCAAGGTTGTCATATGGTGGATGTCCCATGAAAGCCAGGTCCCATGCATGACTTGCAGTGATATACCAATCGTAGAGACACAGCCAGTGATGCGTATGTCAGGGGTATTGCCTTCAATTAAGGGTGAAGATGGCTTCGCTTCGGTACTCTTCAATTCAGTTAAGAAAGCTTGTACAGTAGTCTCCATGCCCGGGAGAAAGTCGGCCCTCCACTCTTCGACGAAACGATATAATCGAATAGCACTGCGTGGGACAGCGAGACATATACTATCCAACGAGACTATCAATCGCAAAAGCATATTTGAAGAAGGATCCTGACGAGCAAGTGCGTTGAACTTTCCCTTTGAGAAGGTCAGAGACGCAAGTACATCTTGATTAGGCGGTCCGAGTCCCTTCTGCTTTGAGCGTGCACGAAGGAAGACTTCATCGAAAAGTATTGATATGCTATGAGACTGGTCGGGTATACGAGTGCTGAGAGCCAATTTTGAGAGAGTGGATGATACCATTGTAAGTTTGGATCCACCAAATTCGAAAATCAGATTCTCTGCCGCCGCTTGGAATTGGAATTTGTGAAGGGAGACCAACCAAACATTGTAAGAAGGTAAGTGGGCTTTCGAGGCTTCCACTTTGTCACCGGGGATCTCCACAACGTGGGGGATAAACTGTCTGCGACTGTGAAGTATATACTGTGCGAAGGTCATCAAATGAGGGGAGACAACTATATTGAGATCACCAGCAGCAACAACTCCAACTGTCTGTCGAATGCTCTCGTTACTGTGGTCGCGGGGGGAGCCGTTAGAAAATGTAACACGACTTGACAAAGCAGCTTGGGGCAATTTGTAAGTGTGGAGTTGAGTTGTGAAAGATGTCATCGTGAGTTGACTAGGCGATTTGTGAAGATCGTCGTAGATGATAACATTCAATCGTCCGATCTGCAAGCCAGTTATGCTGGGAAAGGAGGTCGTGGCAGTAGCCTCCAGGGGTGTCTCTCCGGGGAATAACATCTTCAGAAGTGATGATGCGATTGTATCAGAAGCATCAACGTCCAATGTGAGCGCATTGAGGCATGATCCCAATAAAAGCTGCAGAGCTTGCAACGACACGTCTGAGTCAGGGTTGGGGATGGAAGGTAAAGATCCAGACCGCGAGCTGTCGAAGGATGCTAGGCTAGTACGAAGATGAAAGAAGAATTTAAAAGTAGCATCTGTACGTAATTCTTGGGGACGGCCACTTTGAACGAGGAACGATGGCTGAATGGTGGAAAGTGGATCGACCACTGGTCTATCCTTGATAAGTATGAGAATCTGGTAAATCAACCTTTGGGTTGCGGTCAATGTATGCTGCCGCCACATCCCGAATAAGCGCGAAAGTTCATGTAGGTCCTGCATGACAGCAGTGTACATTGCTGTAGTATAACGAGGGCTTTCATTCCCAAGCTCGATCGCGAGTTCACCTAGAGAAAGGCTGACTGCGCCATGAGCTAGTTCTCCACGGAAGGACACCAGTTTCAGTACATTGATTGCCCTATCAGATGAAACAGATCCCTTGGAGTGTGAATTCCTGTCAGAAAGACCCCACATTATCAAAGATGTAGTCTCAAATTTGACTTGCAGAGCCCATGACTCCGCGGCTGTATCTGCCTTTTTCCCGCTTATAATATGACATCCACTCGAGAATAATTCGATCATGCCCAAGAGATTTTGCGTAGGCTGGAAACTGCCATCAGCAGCTACCACCCTAGGGGAGTGTTGGTCGGCTACGAGAATTTGCTCCGGAATTTGTACGGATATTAAGGATATACGAACATCAAGAAGTGTGTCGTTTTGTGGTTTCTGCGAGCTGGGAAGGGTGCTCAGATAACTGGCCATCATTGCATCCAAAGAGAGCTCAGCACTCAACACCTGCATGCAAAATTTATGAGAACAGGTTAAGTAGGAGCCTCGGGACTACCCACATTTTGCTGAAGTTCCTCGAGGAGGATCGATGCGACAGAATGAATGAGAGGTGTAACGTGTACTTCGATCCCCTTGACACAATCAATGCGTATAGTTGTGGAGTACTGTGTATCCTGAAAAATCGGAGATACCGTATTTGCCTGATCAAATATCGGTGTGAAAAGACTACGGCTATATCTGCGTGATGCAGGAGATTCTGAATCCTAGAAGTTACATAGGTGGTACTTTAGTAGCTGGCTGACCAATCGAATCGAATTCGATTACCTTGGTTAGAATGAACGGAGATTGCTCCCGCTGTGAAGGAGACTCGAGAAATTGATCTGTGAAATGTTTACTGACATGATAATATCGCATCAATAAACTTCTCCTGTGTTGCTGTTCTAGAATAGGGTACATTAGAAATGGTCTCGGAAATTTAGGTAAATGACTGACTTTCAGATAACGAGACCTCGCTTTCCAAAGACTCGGAATCCGTCAAGTCTTCGTTGTCGGATTCATCTGCACCGGACATACTCTCCTCATATTCGTCTACAATACCGGAAACGATTGGTGCTTTAAATCGGCTTTTGCTGGGGAAAATGGTGAGAAGACCTTGCGAAAGGGGTATGATAGAAACAGACTTACGCTAGGCGGGCATCACGGTCTGCCTCAGAGATATTCTCTTCTCCCTCAGATTCAGATAGATGTGACACTCGAGACCATCTGTTTCCCGCACCACCATTGGTTTCTGGTTGTGAATATAAGCGGCGCCCTGGGCGAGAACTGGGTAGATATTGAGGTAGGCGAGATGGAGGGAGATAAAATGGATTATGGTGCATTGCGTAATCTAAGTCCTGGTCATTTAACTGCGGTGGTAGCATTCCACTAATGCACTTACCGGGTGGAGAAAATGAGTTTCTCTTGAGCTGCTCGAAAAGAAAGCGAGCCCGGTGAGTCGGGGTATCTTGCGAGTGTATGAAGTCCCTTTGCGCATCTGCGTGACTTTCCCATCCAGGTGGGGCATTATACATGTCCAGATTAAGATCCAGAGCACAGTCCACCACTTCCGTCCAAGATTTCTTCAAAGATCCAGACATCAAAAGCATTCTCAACGATGCGCTCGGCAGTCGCAAACTAATGATTTTGCTGTAAAACCGCCCAGCCAGATCATTAGTGTGGATAGTTAACCCCTGAGGCAGACTCAGGTCTATACCAACAAGACCGGCAATAAAGGTCACGTTCAAAGCGCTCAGAGATAGTTTAACGAAAGTGACTGTCAGAAAGAAGGTTATGATTAATCCAAAGTTCAAAGAAGACACTTAGATGAGGCTGACCATCAGGATCTACTGGTAGGCCATATTCGGAAGCAGGAGCATTGGGTAGATCAGTGAAATTCAGACGGAAAGTGTCAAGAGTCGCTCCGAGTATTTGGCCTTGTAATGCCGACATGGTGGCCCTGACATGACCTAAGCCAATTTCCCATATACATACGTACGTACGGGTACGAGGTTGGGGCCCAAAAAGCCTGTTCGCAGTTATGTCAAGACCTTAACACTTCGTTAGAACTCAAGACTACTTAGAAGGGATACCGAGATTTTACTTACCTTCGATGATAAACATCTCCTTATCAAATTGACACCCGTTTCTCAAAAACAAATCTACTGAGCAGTCATCTTCAACACGGCCAGTCAAGGTACCGAGGTTGAGAGACATTTCTAAAAACACGAGATTATTAAGTTGATAACTAGCCGGTACAGGAAATTTACACATACCCATGAAGTAGTCATGCAGTCGAAAGTCGAGTTGTAACTCTGGTATAGCCAGAAGCACACATGCTCCGATACTGCCGCTCGATCCCTGGCCCCTGATGTCCAGACGTCTCTCGTAACCTGGGAAAGCAGCTGGGAACAGGATAGACCCATTTTCGAGTAAAAGTGAGATTTCTGCTTGTAGCATGTTAGTCTGAAAACAAGCATCAGATAAATATTTCCCAAGAAGTGCGATTCCTGAACCTTCTCGGGTCGATACTTCATTTCCAACGGATCTCCAACCAGATTATGAATGTTTCGTTTGTCGAGATACTCGGTGAGCGTCGAGAAGTGTGTGAATGATCCCAAGTAGTTGTCTCGCAAAACCATGAAGTATCTGAGTGACCAGCCTAGGGCCTTGTAAGCAACATTTCTGGTCTGTAGATCCCGTAAGAGTCTGGAGGTGAAAGTATTGGAAAGATTTCACCAATATATCCAATTTGAGTTGTTCTACATTCTCCACGTGAACTTCGGAATAATAATGGTAGTTCGCGGTGATCTGAAATTGTCCTGCGCGGATAAGGCGATGTTCGCGCCTTGTCGAATACAAAGACTGGGTGTTCCATCTGGGCAAAGAAAGACTGACATACACATCGCATACCTCGAGAAAAAAAGGCATTGTGGTAGACTCAGGACGATATTTGTTTGACGGTATCGTCACGTTGAAGTGTAGGCGAGGTGCCCGTACAATGATCAATGCTATCGAGGGTGTGCGGTAGGGTTGAGTACATATATCAAACAATGCGCTAAATGACCTTACAATTTTCCTCCTTAATGAGTGGCTTGTCGATGATATTCTGGTCATTAGCATACAAGTGTATTTGAAAATGATGCAATTCAAGCTCGAAAGAGTAGAGCATTGGCACAAATTGATTCGGCGGAGATGGAGGTCCAGATGTCCAATCTCTTGAGAGATCGGTGAACATGTTGATGTGGTCACGAAGAATGTAGAGCACAGGCTGTCGAAGGGAAACACTGAATGCCCACTGTCGCTCGTCATTCCACTTTAAAGGGGAAGGAAGTTCTCCGTGTACCTGCAGAATTGGGAATCCCGGCATCAGCCATACGAAATCCACATAGAAAATTTAATGTGCATACGCGGCACGATTCGGCCACAAGTAACTTGATATCGTTTAGGCTGGATGTGGCTGTAAGGGTATCAAGATGTACTTCCAATCGGGAGTCATAGCCCTTTGGTCCAATCACCATAGGGATTATGTAGCTAATAGTTGAACTATCCCCGGCAGTAACATGTATTGAAGCAGCTTCTCGTTTCCTGGGCCGAGGGATACCGACTTTACCATCCCATTGCCAGTTCTGTGTGGAAAATGAGTGATAAAAATCTCATTATTAGCGTGAGGTTACCTTAGATGCCTCTCGGAAAGGAATATACAGGGTGGTTTCTTCACGAAGTTCTATAAAAATATTTAGTGCTGTCCACATGCGTTTGTCGCCTGGTTTCAGGGTAGGCGTTTGCTCGAGGTCATGATAGGTCGATGGAAAAAATATACGTTGTAGATGGGTTCTGTAGTGCGAAACAAATGGTGATCAACACGACGAACGTATGCGAAAACCAGATATGAACAATCACCGTTGACGGTCAGCCCAGGGCCCATAGCGAATGAATCCGCTTCGTAAGACGATATCAATCCCCCACTCTGGAGGTAAATCCCCGTTACCAATGTCAAATAATCGGCCTTTGCAATTGGTATGAGCCTCCCCACTAGGGGCGTCTCCGACAACATCCACATAATATGACATCTCTAATGTCGGAGCTTCGAGAATCTCACGTTCTACCGCGTACTCCAAGGTCGCGAAATCAGTGTCCGCCGGCATGTCCTCATCCAGACTCTTGAAAGATCTGAGGCCTGGAATGACGTGACTAACAGCACGTCGAGTAGCAGAACGCCGTTGGGATTTAAATATGAGGTTATAGAACTTGAGGTGCCTCCATATCTTTGAGAAGGATCGGAACGACAAATAAGACAAAGGTACCACATCGGCGAACCTAGAAAGAAAAAGATGAGACATCATACCCCCCATTCATTTAAGAGGAACAAACCGGGAGGACTCGATACCATGGTGCACATCATGACCAATAGTCAGCATCGGACGTTGAAAGGCGTCATTTTCCACCATGCGTATTGCCGCATTCTGAACTTTCAGATTCAGCAGCTGTTTATACAAGTCATGCTTTGACCTTGACTGGAGAAATAATGAGCACCCAAGCCACTGGAGAATCATATTCAACACACCTGCACAATACCGAAGGTCCCTTCTACCCTATGAAACTCCACAACCATGCAGTTCGGAACTGAAGGGTTACCACATATAATTGCACCTTTGAGCCCCTCGATAGCTATCGGCAAAAGGTCTTTGGGGTCAAGATAAGGCATTTGCCGTTTTACCCAATCTAGTGCAGCATGAATAACTTGCGGAGTTCTGACACTGGTAGGCAGGAAAGATGGTGGGTAAAGCGACGACACTGGATAAAGAATGAGGCCATATAACCTATGAACGAGGCGAATACCTACCATCGAAGCCCGAGGTTTTCGAAAATATCCTATGGGGTTCGGTTCGAGGTTGGGCGAAGTTAGGCATCTTTGACTGCATTTGCGAGATTATGTTATCAAATGCAGCGGTCCTGTTGTACAAGAACCACTCAAAACCCTGAACAGACACCTTTATGCGACAAGATGGGAACTGAAAGGTCTGTCTGACTAGAAGCACGGAGGATGATGTTAAACATGATAGAAATAAGCTCAGATGACAAACATACAATCCTCCCCACCGACGTGGGCACGATTGAGATCGTCCTCTGTTGCTGGCTGTCGGAGCCAGTACCTCCATGTAATTTGCGCCTTTACAATTTTGATGGTCTGATTACTTGAGTGATATCGAACATCCTTGAGGAGGATCCTGCCGCCGAGCAAAGAAAAGTGGATCGAACCTAACAAAGACGTTATTTACAGTTTTCTACTTCATTGGGGTGTTCACCAGCCTATTTGGACCCATATGCTAGAGCCACCCTGCTTCCAATACTTGATACGAAGCGCGATACTAATGAGCAAAGCTATGAAACGATTCCAATAGAAGATATAGAGCAGCGAAACGATGAGAATGCAGATACAGGCTACGAGTAGATAGACTCTGAGCATGGTTGGTTGTTTGTTTTTGACGGTAGTGGGAAAGAAAAAGACCTAGACAGACATTGTTAAACCAATTGAGATTTGGATTATGCACTAACGCTGGCATACTACGAAGACATACCTGAAGTCGAACCTTGGAATTGAGGGAAAGGGTGATACTGCGATTCGTAGCTTCTTGTATCCCCGTTATATGGCCAACGCGCGGGCTTGCAAGTTCCTGGCCTCAAGTAGCGTGCATTGTATGCGTAGAAGAGAGACACTCTACTATTCCGAGATGACGGCGAACCGGAAGTAACAACAAACGCGGGAGCAGATAGAAGGCTGACTAAGCATGTCTTTACCGAACTGCAATGCGACTTTCATTTGTTCTGAGCAGTCATGTCCCAGGTCACAACGATGTCGACTAGTATTAGTCCCTTACGTAGGCTTGCTTTGCATTCCAGTACCACCTGCACAACGCAAGCATCAGATTACGGGAAGTGTATATTGGCAACATATACCGACGTTAGGAAAGACGTTTGCAAGGAGGAGTTTGCCAAGTTCGCTCAGTGCTTACGCGAAGCTGTATGTCGCTCATCTTGTTAGCACTCACATTTCACTCATGGATTTCTTTTCGAAAGATGAAGCGCAAATGGTGATAGTGTTGGTGCACAGAGACGTGATGGATTGAAATAATGCATAATATTGTATACAATTGTCCGTAGCGACGATAAACCGACAAGAATGTCAAGCCTGGTAATGGCAGATCAAGTAGTCTGCCCTACGTCGATGCCTCCTGGCACTGTCCTCTCTACATCTTCATCTCCGCGATTCAAATTTCCAGTTTCAGTTTGTTGACTCTGATCACGTCCACTTCTTCTTTCTCTCCTCGAAAAACCAAAGGGGACAGATAATGGCCACTGCATAGTGTTAGGAAGCGGTAGAGACTCTTCTGCAGTCTCAGGTACCACAGGTGGAGGGTTTCGAAGTCGGTTCAAGATAGGCGTCAAACGAAGATCAATAACATATGTAGGGTCACTATAGGAGAACTTTGGGCGCTCTGGTGTGTCAGGCGTCGAGGGCGTGGACGTAGAGTGGGGGAGGAGATTTTCTGGGACAGTCGATGGTAATGCTAGATATAACGAGCTCTCGTAGGCAATTGTTGTGAGCACCAGTTGAAGGAAAAGAATCAGAATATCAAGTAAGAGCAGGTGCAGTTTGGAGGGTATATAACCTATTTTGGTACCCATTAATTGGACAGGTTCATATATATTGAAGGCCATAACTGTGCTCGCGACGTACCCAATCCCACAAAGTCCAGTATGACGGTACGGCCCTCAACCGCTTCTTCTGTAGCATGCCACCAAAAACTAGGGAGGTTGAGGAACAAGAGGAGGAGAAACCAGAAGCGCAACGACCGGTTAGGATCGGTATCTCTGGGTTTTGAACACTGTAACTGGCAGAATAGTCTGCACACGAACGACAGTAACAAGGGTGATAGGAAGAAGGAGAGGGTATGCAACTGGAACAGTAGGTTATCGAGCTGGCGTAAACGGATCTATTAGTCAAGATTCCACCACGAATAAGGATGGAAACGAACGGAGTGGATAAGATGCTGTCGCTGCGCATTGTGCCGCTTATGCATGTCATATAAAGACTTGCAGACAAGTGCACCGTCGACTGAAGGGTGGCAATATTTCTGTTACTCTGGCTGTATTGTTACCTCCGAGTTCATGGCAGCATTTGCAGAACCGGATATAGATTGTTTGGCTATGTTGCACTGTTCTTCTATGACATGGCAGTGCACAGCGGTTTCTTCCTGGTTATACAGTACACCCTTTGTTCTCCTGCAAATACAGGACGTTAAGTTTGTCCCATCGATATGCAAATGTGTATTAATCAACTGGATTGAACATTGCAGATATGTCTACTCTGAATCGATACTGGGGTCCTGAAACTAAAGGACTACCGTAGTCTTATACCGACCGTGACATACATAATGTAAGTAACCAAGATGTACAAATGCTGGTGAGCTCAAGAAAGAAAGCCCTGCTAAGGTCCCTATGTACATGTGGACTAAATCTTGAAGGTCGTCGCAACCGACCTTAAGGCTTATACCCACGGGGCTTTCTTCTCGAATGCCGCTCAACGTAAGCTGGTGGGCGTTCTAAGTACATGCACACCAGATGGTCTTGAAGAGAACGTGTCATTCATGTAGCTAGCATGGGCCATCATCTCGAAATGCGCCATTGAAGACAACATCTCTGATGAATGTGTCGTCTCGCCTTCGCCAAATGTCCCCGGTGAAATATCACGGGCTTCCACTGAGCTCTCAGGGCCTGCCAAACGTGACGTGGGAGAAGGGACATCAGTGTCTATGAAAGTGTTTCCCATTGTCATTCTGTTATATCTTGTATACTCTTCGACTTCTGGCCTCGATCTCACCCTTTCATCTCCTCCCAGAGTCGGATTATAGTCATTGTTAACGACACCCATTTCAACATCAGATGCTACAGGTGCGTATCCTGAGCGTTGTGTGTCAGGGGTAACATATTCGTGACCCTGGTGTAGATCAGAAGAGTCGCGACTGTCCCGAATCGCGTTAAGGAGTCCTGTCTGAGATATTTCACTGCCAGTCCGCGTGTGCCTAGGAGGAACAGGAGGAGGACCCGCGCAATTTGGATATTCAGTTTCTCTCTCTTGGCGCAGCTGGTATACATAACGGGATACAACCAGTACCCCATCTAGCAACACGATAAAATTAGTACGTTTAGGGCCCTATCTTCTGACACGGTGATGAACAGGACGCACATAGTTCGAGTAACAATATAAATGACGTTATGGCAATGTAGACGTATTCTGAGGTATTCAGAAGTTTCGTACATTTTTCTTGCGAGTTGATGTCAACCAGAACGTCTTGACAGGCATTAACAATATTTGTGCGGTGGGATGTACTGAGCGCGACAAAGAGATATATTGCAAACACGAGATTGAGGAGGAAGTGAGTGTAAACGAAATAAGCGTAGGCCACCACAAACAGTTTTTTTCGGGCGACGGCACCGACAAGTCTAGACCATCGACGCATCATTATGAGCGGCTCAATCACAAGTGGGTAGACGAACGTACCCAAATATCGAGACCAAAAATAACATGGTTTCCACGACGCCAGCAGCTACGAAAGCTGCGTATTCCTTATCCGACATATTTTGCGAGTCTTGTGATACAAACACTGAGATAAATGTCATACAGGACAAAATTTTACTTACACTGGTGAACAACTTCCAACCATAGCAGGACAGAAAGGGCTCCTCCCAGGATGATTGACAAGACAGAGCCAGCGATGAAACCAGCGCGAACGGGTATGCAGTAACAGAATTTGCTGGAGTGAAAGAACTGTTCCTTCAGATTAAAAGTCATGATAGTCGTGATATTCGTATTCTGGATCGATCCTCTGAGACCTGCAGAGCACAGTTTCAAGATTTGATATTGCGGGTATCCAGCCCTGAGGTGGCAGATAGTAAAGCAAAATAAGAAAGACTCACTTGGAACTTGAAGGGCAAGTGGACTCGGCTGTACCAAGTGGCTTGTAGTGACTTGGTAGAAGCCAAATGACCGTGGCAGTGAGAATAAGATCTCACCCTGGTACCCATGACTAGATATTCCTGGACATACAGTTTGTTCTGTATAACCCTTCTAGTTCCGAATGGCAGTCCTGTATTCTATTCTGGACTATCATGATAGTAAAACGACCCCAAATGCCCATGTGATTACCAAATCACAAAGTGTTCAGTTCTCCCTACTAGGGCCCCTTTTAGTTACAGTAGTTACAGTATATAGTCTCATTTCTCTATAACCCATGGTAGCTATACATTTAGTGGTTGGGTTATAATAGTATTTTGTCAAGCTGTAACGGAGTTTCAATGTAGACTTGACCAGTTACTACTACTAGTGTCTGCAAATCCCATCACTCCATTCCTGGTCGCGGTCGTGCATCGAAACCACTTTGACAATGGACGGGCAGGTTGCGGGGTCGTCAATGGATGTAGATGAAGAAACGGCGCAGATTCATCACATGTCGCTCACTCGCCAACCACGGGGTCGTCAGCCGTTCAGCTCATCTGAATTCACAGTTGGCTATGTTTACCATTTAGAGATGATGATACACAATTCATCGAATGGACATCCAGAGCAACCGGAGCGCATTTCGCGAATTCGAACCGCGATTTCAGATGCTAAGCTGCTTTCGAAAATGAAATATTTGCCTATCAGGTCAGTGAGGAGAGAAGAGGCAATACTGGTTCACAGCGAAGAACATTGGGACAGAGTGTTAGCAATTCAATGTAAGTCGCTGCATGTAGAAAGTTTCCAGATGACACATACAATGAAAGAGCTGTTCAGCCATGACCCCACAAGACATCATCGATTCAGAAGCTTACTACGAATCTCTCTCTGTCTACGTTGTAAATGGTACTCCTGCAGCAGCTCGTCTCAGTTGTGGAGGCGTCATTGAGGCATGTCTTGCCGTCGCACGTGGTGAATTGAAGAAAACATTCGCCATAGTTCGACCTCCAGGCCATCATGCAGAGCCGGACGAACATATGGGCTTCTGCTTCTTCAACAACGTAGCTATTGCTACGAGAGTCGTACAACTACTTACACCCATGAAGAAAATTTTGATCTTGGATTGGTATGTATATCTAGTTTCAGGAGGTGTAGGTACTCAACACTCTATGCAGGGACGTTCACCATGGTAAGGCAGGAGAAGAGTTGCACACGAACAGATCCTAACAGTTAATAGGCAACGGAACACAGCGTGCTTTCTATGATGACCCGTCAGTTCTATATATTTCGTTACACCGGTACGAAAGTGGACAATTTTATCCTTGTGGTACGTTCGGGAGCATGGTATCCTGTGGAGAAGGCCCAGGACTAGGATAGTATGTCATTTAAAAGTCGTTTCTAAGCTCGTAGAACCGACGCTGGTTCAGTTCAGTAAATATCCCTTGGCCGGAAAAAGGTATGACAGACGCAGATTATATCCATGCATTTCAGCAAGTGGTCATGCCCATTGCTATGGAATTTTCGCCGGACTTAGTCATCAGTACGTATCTGATGTCCTTCCATGAAAGTTCCATACTCATTCATCTCTTCATAGTTTCTGCCGGTTTTGACGCTGCTGATGGAGATGAACTAGGGGAATGTCATGTCACGCCGACTGGCTTTGCTCATATGACACATATGTTAGCAAGTCTGGCTGGTGGAAGATTGGTAGTGGCACTCGAGGTATGTGTAAAATAGCGCTGCATTGATCAAACTGATGTCTCAGGGAGGATATAACATGGATGCAAGTGCCAGTTCCGCTGTTGCCGTTGCTCGCGTAATTTTAGGTGAAGCTCCACCTGAGCTGCCCCCGCAAATCGCCACAGAGGTTGGTACAGAAACGGTATACCAAGTTGCTGTGGAACAGAGTAAGTATTGGAAAAGTGTGAATCCAAAAGCTTGCGAGCCTCGTGAAGGTAAAGCCGGTCATTTTCCTCTCTCAAAAAAGGCTTTGACGAGTCTTGTCATCCAGATGTGACCGAAAATACGTTCTCTATACCAGGTACATATGTCTCCATATATGCGCACTCAGCTTTCATTTACGCCGTCACCGTAGAGATTCTCAAAGCTCATAGGCAGCATTATCTTTATTCAAAGCACAATATGCTACAAGTACCGTTGATGACCGCGGAATACGAAGAGCGCTTTGGTACTCAGGTTATGTGCACGTAAGGTATTCCCCCGCAGTGCAAACATTCGATGCTTAGAACGTTTCTTAGGAATGATCTACTCGAGAACAAAACACTGGTTGTGTTTGTACACGAATTGTGAGCTGATTCCATTCAAGAAGTTCATTCAGACTAAGAAAAGTTCAAAGTGGAAATCTTCGAGTCGAGCTTAATAAAAAAACCACATGCGACGTGCGTCTCGAGTACTCTCATATGGTAAAATAACATATACTATCATGATATCAGCGCACTTATTCTTATTTAATCAATTAGATCGATACCTCAAAAAAGCTACTTGATTGGATCAGAGATGAAAAATATGCTTTGCTCGACGTGAATCTATTCCCAAGGCCATTTGCAGCTCCTTTGAAGGTGAGTTGATCGGTACTACATCTTTTCCCTAAGCTCAGATATCCCCATCAGCGCACGAAAGCTGTGGATTCCCCAGAAAATTACTCGCAAGAGCTCTTGACCTATCTATGGGATAACTATATTCAGTCCGTCAGCTCCTTCCGACTTGTATGTTTCTTACAGACAGAGCATGTACAGGTCGTCAAACGTGCAGCGCATCATTCTAGTTAGCCATGGTTCAGCATGTCTACATCTGATGAGCCTACTGGAGAAACGAGGTACGTCGTAAGCCCTTTCAAAGGTTCAGTTCATTTATATGATATAATTATCAGCTGCAAACGTAATAAAATACGTCAGCGCTGTGGTTCAAGTAGTAGGAACATCTGTTGTACCTGTCGTTTCTGGAAATGTCGACACTTTACGCGCCTGGTATGAAAAGGTGTGTCTTCGTTGAATGAGCCATCTAGAATTGCGGTTAATGAGGAATTTTCCAAGCGATCTCTTGTAATAGTCTACTCAAAACATCCTGATTTTACGCCTGATTCACATTTTTGGAGGAGATATGGGGACCTTCTCAAAATAGGTATTGTCTGTATTCTTTCCAATGACCACTGCGTTAATATGCTATCCAGACGAACAAAAGCCTATCAAACTCTTGCTACAAGCTCTACCAGTGATCCAGCAGTTTGTGAAGCGAGCTGTGGAGTCCCGCAAGGCATAATAATTAGCTACCAAAAACATACACAAAGGATCAATACAGTATAAGATCGGTTCTTTACACACCGCAAATCTTCAGTGTCCTAACATGCACCTGATGGTTTCTGTCCGATGTGAAAAAGTGAAAAAACAGTCTCTATAATATCTAATACAGAGATATTCTCATATAGTTTCCAGATAGCAGGCCTGTTAGTAGTCGTTGCAAATCCCACTTTCTGCCAAGCGTTACCCGAATTGAGTGCGACGAGACATGTCGCAAGCTTCTTGTACTTTCAGTAATGAACTGGCTGACTTTGTTTTACTAATAGATGCCCCAAGAAACTCTGTTTCGTGCACTATCCTAGCATCATGATTGCTCCTAGTATCCCTCAATATCGCGGTGTTCTCTCGGTATATTCATATCGATTGCCATACCATACCAGACTATTCTCTGAGTCTACAATGGTGCGATCATAAATATAAACATTAGGTATCAATTCTGCATCAATTAATTTACCTCGAATTGAGAGATAAATAAAAAAAACTACTAACCTCAATGTGCCAAGGAGTAATAGTATGTATATATAAAATCTATGTGCGGCTCCTTCGTAGCCCGGCTTCTACGTCACGTCTACCGTCTCGACGGAACATAAGGATATGTTAAATAAAATCTACCACTCCTCTACGAGCAGAAATGGTAGCTATAACTTTTCCTTGCATATCCAGCAAGCCTCCAGACCGCGTGATTACAAGATCACCGTCTGTAAGGTCAGACCTGACACCGAGCAGTGTTTCTAGATTTGTGGATGCCAATGACAAGGCTTGAATTTCTGAAATTTGGCCGTCAGCTTCGAGTGCCGCCTAGAATTCTGTCAGAACTATGAAGTATACAAGCAAACTTGAGACCATACCCAGGCCGCATCAAAGCGTGTGTTACGCGCGCTCCATTGCTCTTTTATACCTATCCCAACAGTGACGTGGTGAGCAAGAAGAAGGGAAATTGCGCTGTCCTTCGTGATTGGTGGGCCAGGTAATCTATAATGATGTTAGTTAAAATACGAATGGTTCTTAGGAGATTGACTTACATTCTCTGGGATTCCCATGTAAAAGGGAAAGGACGTGACGGTATCAATATCACACCGACGTTCGCTTCACCGATTTCACGAGCTAGTAGATGAGCTTCTGAAGCACCTACGAGCGTTAGTTGAAGTTTATTCCCCATTTGTTCCTCGACTTCCGCTTTGAGTTCAATCAGAGAAGCTATGACATCGGCACTCTCAACTTTGACCACCAAAGGTATCTTGCCCTGAAATGCAAAGGCAATTGGTAGAGTATAAGAGAGATGTAGAGAATGATGCTCACCTCCGCAGCGTCGCTAAATTCATTAATATTCGTAGTTCCAAGTAAGAGCCTACGTAGAGTAGCTATTTGAGTGCTGATACTCGGGCCAGAGTTAGAATGGCTAATCGCAACGTGCAAAGCAGCGTTACGTTGGATGAGTGCTCCTTTTTCAAGTTTATTAGCAGCGCCAGTTGCAAAAACGGTGCTGAAACCAGAGAGGAAACCAGTAGACTTGGGTGCACTGATTCCAGAAGTTACACCCGACCGGTAAGCAAGCCTAAAAATATGACTCTATTTGAGTGACCATTTGTGGGCAGCAAAGGATAACGTACAAGGCATCACGGGCAGCATATTGCAAGCCATCGGAGGCATGAATCACTTCGCCCCCCTCAAGAAGTTTTGGAATCACGTTTGAAAGGGGATCAATAACACTACCATCGACAGTGGACAGTTCTCCCTGCATCTCCTGCAGACCAAGAGGTGATCCAAAAGACACAAGTCCAGGGCTATATGCATTGATTGAATAACAGTATATGTCGCGAAATTTGAACTTACGAGATAGAACCACCTTCTAGATCTACCCATCTTGCTTTACTCCTTAGGCTTGGTAAGTCCTTTGAACATACCGTCTCAGATCCTTGACAAACGACTTTGCCGTTTTTTACTATGGCAATAGCGGGCACTATATTTTTACTAGGAGAATAAACTTGCTGAATTATGCTGCCAGCCTTGACAAATATATTGCTGATGTTAGTGAAAACAACAGTTTCTCCAGGTTTTGCCTTCTTTGCCTCAAGGGGGGGGAGACCGGTGTGTTTCAAAGTGTCGAATGCTTCCGTATCAAAATTTGGTGCCACTGGAGCATTTTGCAAAGAGGCTGGTTTGATGGCTGTATAAGGGGATTCTATCTGAGGGATACCGTCTGCGTAGACCTGTTTAGGCGTAGCCCCCAGAGAGAGCGGGTGGCTATCCCACACGACAATGTCTGTAAAACAATCAATGAATTAACTTCAAAGCCTTCGCCCAGTTGGACCAACGAACCCGCATCATATCCTGTCAGCCGTTTTCTGTCAGTGCATGCTATATATTGGATTTGTATCACACGAACCTTGCTGAATGAAGCCAATGCGATGATCTTGTCCCATGATCCTGGCGGGTGTCGACGTAACAGAAGCGAGGGCCAGATTCTGGGGAAGACCATAGTAATGTGCTTGTTGAGCTTCATAAAGAAGAAAGCGAGAATTCAACACTGGGTGATCGCTCTGAGTGGCCGAAATATTAGTTAGGAGCTATATGGATTGTGACACCAGCACGAACTTTCATAATGACATCAATACCATTCTCTGCCAAGATACGAGGAGCATATTCCGAGCCTCGGTAGGCCTCTCGCTTATATCTAGCCTCAGTTGCAAATAAAACTATTGCAGGAGGATGTCCTATTTACATATTGATAAGATGGTAAGGGACTCAGTTATAAGATCATCAAACTGGCTCACCGTAAGCCTGCTTCAAGAGGTCGGGAACAAGGTATGCTTCATGTGCATGATGAAATGCGGCGATGGGAAATTGAAACTCGTTTGTGAGCTAAATGTACAAGGTGACTCAAGGAGTAAACAGGTGATACTATATAGTCACTTACCCGTACTAGCGCATCAAGATCTACAGCTTCATAGCAGTGGGCGTGAACCTAATCCGATCTGTCCTCAGAACGGGTAAAATGTGAAATAAACTACAGTTATCATTACCTTAACACGACCTCTCAATACATCCACTAGAGCCTCCCATTGTAAATCTTCGGGAAAATCACCCAGCCCATCCCATCCACCAGAGAAAGCTTTAGAGCAATATTCGTCCTGAGCTTCTTTGATCTTACGTGCGTGCTCGTAGCTGTTGGAATTTATAACTAGTGACAAAGATAATTGCGAAAAAGTTTTAAAGATACAAACCCTTCACGAAACGCCCAAATAGTGTCCATTCTCGTACCCGAATAGGCGTGGCCTGCAACATTCATTACTCAAAAATTTCATGTACCAGCTTGAGAAAATACTCACTGGGGTTCTCGCCTGCACAAAGTGCGAAAATGATATAAGACGAACAACTAAGCTGCGATAGAACTTACCACATGCATGTCTGTAAACGCAATTCATGAATATAAGGCTATGTGAGACGCGTAAATAATCATGTAGAATGCATACTTCATTTGTCTCCAACGAGGAGGTGAAAGTGGGTCAACATGAGAGCCATTTATTGAATAAGGAGGTTCCAAAAGCATGGAACCTGGGGTGTTTGCCTCCGTTGGGCGCAACTTAATAGCGAACGCCTGACCACCTGAGATAGGACTTGAGTGACAATGTTGGTATATTATTGAGCGACAAACCAATAGAGTTTACAGATCCAGGAAGTATTACTGATGTCGTGACACCGCCAGAGATAGATAACTTATACGAGTCATCATGCGTATTCAAACCGTCAAGGATACGTAACCACGGCTGAACCAGTCCTGCAAACATGTTCATCACAGAACGTTGGCGGCAGTAAGTTGAATTTACCTTTGTATGAATTAATGTCATAAGCTCCGTCCAAAAGGGGAGAACTGTGCGCCCCGATGTGAGAGTGAATATCGATGATGCTATACAAAAATCAAAATCATCGGCTATGACATGAAATGGCGTTGAAAATACCCAGGTGTGACCCAAGCTCCAGACAAATCCACGGTCGTAAGGTCTAAACCCTCATATTTACCAAGGACATCACGCGCCTGTCCTACAAACTGAATCAAACCCTTGTCCAGTAGAAGATCTCCATGAATGACTTCGAGACCAGAACGACGGCCAGTCCAAATTGACGCGTTTCTCAGAAGAGTGGGCTTCGTACCGGGAACAAACCGATCTGATTCTGCTCTGGAGTGGAAATCCGACGGAGGGCCTGGCTTGACATTTAACGACTGACATTTATGAAGGTTTATAAGTGTGTGTAGGGGCAATTCAGCAGATTTGTTGGTCAAGACGTGATAAAATATAAAACTTGACAATATGGCCAATGCCACGCAGCCAAATAATAAATGCCGGGCTGAGAGAATACGAAATGTCCCCCGGGCTTGTGACCTGAGCAGGGCATACGACGGTAGCTCGCCCATTGTCAACGAGATGGGCGAAATAGACCAGAGACAGTCAGAACTAGTGAAAGCACTGAAAGGATCTTAAAAACGGAGAGTTGCTGTTCGGGTGAAGTACTTGTAGACAAATGTGAGTCAACGTATCTCTCGATTGCTCCGAGCCTCTCGTAGACTGTCGGAACTTTAATGGCTTTGTTTCGCAAATATAGCTCATGGAGCGCCATGTTACTGTCCTTTACGTTTAATCTCGTATGGAAAAGATACGAGGAGCGCTAGTCATGCGGAGATACAGACCAGCAGTTGGAACCATTCCAAGCTTTTGGGATAGGCCGACGAGAAAGTTATGGCAATAGTAATACCGTGTGTGGGAAGTTTTGAAATCAGCGCATTCTGACTGGCCTGCCATTGGCCAGGGCGCCCGACCAGTCCGCGCCTGTGGCTTGGCCTAATACCACCACCGCGGCTCTCGCACATATGTCTCAGGCCTCAAACTAAAAAGACAATTTTCTATGGCTACTTCCACGAATCATTCTGATGGGAACCCAAAAGCAAAACCACCTGTTGTTCTACCTGGCACGGGAAACAACATCATTATAAACCCTAATCAGGTCCGTAACCTTCGGTAAATGAACTTGACATCAGACACTATCCGAAGCCCCGTTATCATAGCGCCTGAACCCAGTTCTTGAATGTATACGCAATGTTGGCAAAGAGTTTGGAGATATAGTTGCTGATTTTCAGGTAGGCCGCACAACTGCTGTTCTTTATCTCAGGTATGCCACCTCGGGTATCAGATACACTACGTCCCGATACTTATCATGATACCGGCTTTGATCCCAATAGTTTGAAGTACCACCGTCTTCATCCAGAATACATACACACCAGGATAGAACGGTTAGGACATGCCTATAATCTGCGGGTTTTGTTGATTATTTGTGACGTCGTAAGCACTCTTCGCATCCCATTATCGTATACCCGACTGAATATACTCGAGAGCGAACACCAGGAGCCTATTCGCGAGCTTACAAAGGTATTTCTTATCGCGATAAGCTCCTCGTCCTTGATAACTGATATCAGACGCTTTAGACATGCCTCATTAACAATATAACCATTATGGTGGCCTGGAGGTATACTTCCTTTACGTCCTCCCTGCCGCCTGAACTGAAGTCAACGTAGTTATGATGAAGCAGGGCTGTATCTTTCTACGTACAAACAATTTGAGTACAAACCTCCAGATCTCATCAAAGAACGGCTCGACAAAGATTACAATACGATACTTCGCACTGCACTCACCAGCATCAACAAAGTCAACAAAACCGATGTCGAGACGCTTCGCACGTCGCTCGGGGTATGTATTTTTCCCCCTAGTCATCTTGTGACATTGAGGCTGACTTGAACCACAGAGTTTTTCTGATATCGCAACGTCGTCGTCCGACCAGCTTCAAAATTTACCAGGTTTTGGCCAAGTGAAGGTTAGAAGAATCAAAGATGCATTTGAGAAACCGTTCCGAAACAAAGCTACAAGTACTTTGTCTTCATTGGGCACACAACCTCGAACATCACAGAGCACCATAGCAGAGGCTGGCCACAGTACGGCCGGTATCGCAGATGAAGGGGACTTGAACACAATAAAACCAGCCCCTGTCGCTGTACCACGAGAACCAAGTCCCGTGTGGGATATCGAACTTGATTTAGATCCCCCATCGGATATTGACTAGGGACCCATACATCACGGAACTTCATCTACGAGCTACAGCAAGGAATATCATCGTATATGGCTCCATAACTGACGGGGCCTCGCCAGCCCCGATCGGACCTTACCATACAGAGTACTAAAGGAGGGAAAGCACAACGTAGTAAACGGAAATTTCATAGTCATCTGATTGATATCACATCACCCAGCCAATCCCTAGTTCTGGAGGGACTCTATAGCGAAACATGATCTGACCAAAAGGATGCATGGGTGCTCCAAGGGGGTCTAGTATTTAAGGTGTATTTACGATACCGGGTCTTACAGTAGAATGACAATATGATAACGTACAGGAGGATGGCAGCAAACCAATATGTGACGGCTCGGAACTACAGTAAATTAAAAGAGAAACCTATGTTTTGGCAAAATAAGCTCGCAGGTTCCGTGGTTTACCCATTTCGCTCTTATTTCTTATGATGGCTAGACGCTGATAGCATATGCGCAATGCCAACCGTTGAAGAGATGATTTGGTACGAGAGCGATCAAGATGCGCAGCGCGAGTATCGACTAGCAGAATTGATCCAAGTCAGCATCGATATCCACAGACTTGGGAGATAATGGAACGAACCTATTTTTCCGTGAATCAGATCCAGGGTATTTTTTAACACTTCTATTGGCGTCAAAGGCCTCTTAGACTTGCTTGGACTGTCGTGGACTGAACCACAGCTGGCAGAACCCTGGAACTGAAGCTCTTTGATGATATAAGGATCTATATCCACCAGCGCAATGCTAAGGATGTTGACGTAATGACCGAGGTCTTCATAATCGGTAGTTTCAGATGAAACATCGAAAGGAAGCCCAGAACCCGAGGGAGGCGTCAAGAGCGAGATAACTTTGTCCAACGGCGGGAGCCCAGCCTATTAATAGAGCCCTTAGGATTCACATACACTTTATTTTTTGGAATGTAACTTACATTGAAAAGAGTACCCTGACCAGATAAGAGACTGAAAGCAAGCCATTGCGCGAGATGCCTAGCAGGAACACACCCGCTTGAAAGATACGAAAGAAGGTGTGCTTTATTTACGGGCGTGAGTTTGAATGCATAAGCCAGTATCTTGTCATGGAGGGTGGTTTCCTAACATATTCACATGGTTTGATGAGATGGAGCTTCAAGGATACACCAGAGTACTTACTACGTCCAAAGCCGTATGCGGCTTTTGATTGACAGTCGAGCAGATGCTATCGACGCAAATAATTAATTGACGCCGAAGATCGTTGGATATGGATGGATCAAGTCCGACGAGTAACAAACTCAACACGACATCAGCTTCGTCACAGAGAGCCCCAACACTACATTCCAAAAATGAGACCCCGACAAGACTTTGAACGAGATTACCACTTACCGTGCAGCAGCTGTTATAAGAGTCACCAAACGATAAAGGGCATCTTCACGAGCAGATGCATCTGCTTCGTAGGATCTGACAGTGGACGGAATCGACCATTGTAGCCTGTTCATAATATCATGATCTGCACCAAGGCGAGCCAGAGCAGATGCAATCGATGCAAATGGAATTACTGGTCGACCTTTATGTGCCCATAAATCCAGTAAAGACCGGAATGATGCCTCGACCAAGTGCGTGCGAGTAGGGGAGGCAGCTGGATGCCGTCATCAGAAAGTGCGTCTACTCCATTGAAATATAGTTTACCTAGAACAAATAGAGGAGAAATAAGCGCAGAGAGTTTGTCATGCCCCAGTTTTTGAAGGACGCCAGATCGCATTATGAGCGCCAGCTGGTCGACATCTTTATGCAACGTCAGGCAAGCTCTATGCAAAGATCAAGGGAACATACCTTTACTTTTGATTAAGCGTTGTAATAATGCAAGGATAGGGTGTCCGCTGACGTCGTCAATAGATATCATATCGAGATCATCCACCACGGAGTCCACATCCATACCACCCACATCCTGAACAGTCTTCCAGAAAACAACCCCCCGAATCTTATCCTGGCTTTTTCCCTTGCCCTTATTCGCTTTATCGCTTGCTAAAATCTTGGTAATGACATCACCAGCCTGTGAACCTAGCATCGCTGTTTCTCTCTCGCCCAGCACGGCATCATCAGAGGTACTCGCACTTAGATTTTCCGGACTCCCTACCGGGCTGGAAATTCTGTCAAGGCGGGCTCCGCGAATAGCACTCCACGCTGCATCCTCGTCTGCAAGGTCGATATGGTTCAAGCTCGAATTTCTTGCCACTGGCTCGTCCTTGATAAATGAGTTTGACAAGACTCTATTTTTCTGCTTCACAGCAGCCTCTGCTCGACGTATAGCCGTCATATCGTTTCCACGTTGTTGTTCACGCTTCTTTTCGCGTAACAATGCATCGAGAGGATTGGATGCAACTTTCTCGCGGTACTTAGCCTTGGTGGTGGGAGATTCTTTGCTGAGTACAGTCGGGAGGCGGCTTGCTGCGCTTGATTTCCTGCGAGGGCGAACGAGACGACTAGAGCTTTTGTTTTGGCGTTTGGGAGGCGACAACGAGGAAGATGACGATGAATCCGCTCGACGACGTCTGACAGGTGTCATATGATCTGCAGATGACAGGCTAGAAAGAGGGGAGGAAAATACATCATGCTGGACTTGAGGAATTCTATGAGGTACGCTGAAGTAAGTTATACCAATGGATATAATTGCCATCTAAAGTTTCCTTCGACATACCTTTTTCCTTTCACAACGCTTGCAAACAAATTCGTGGTAGAGTCTAGTTCATCGTCACTTTCATCTAGGTCCTTGAGTTGAAGAGGGACCCCCTGTTCACCGTCGCTAGATAGGACTGCAGCGTGTGCTTTGGCAGTAATTTCCTCAATGGCATTTTTCACAGCATTCGAGTAGGGAGTTTCTGGAAGAGGTTTGTCGTCCGAGTCAGGTGATGGCAAGGACGTTGTTGTGAACGCTGGAGTACTAGGAATGGTGCTGCCGTCGGAGTTGGCGGACATCACACGAAGCTGACTGCTGACTTCTGTTTCCGAGTGTCGAGAGGAATGTATGAAACTGGAGTGGGCAGCAGAGACCTCTGGGATACGCACAGGAGAAGATACGGGTACGACAGTGGGAGGGTCAACGTCCATGGCTGTGTCTGGATCATGAGAGATGTCGGCTTGTTCCCTCCACCTCTCGACATTGTGCTTGATTTCTACAGGGTCCCAATTATCCATTTTTGGCAAAGAAAGCTCCTGTTCGTCAGACTGACTGCTTGCGACCAAAGGTTCACTCAAGCGCGGAGATGAGGTGCGTTGAGGGGCAGAAAACGAAGTACTGGCGAGTTTGCAGGGGGGCTTGCGGTCCTGGGTGGAGGATAAAGAGGTGGGTTTGGTTGGAGAGCTAGTTGGGTGTTTAATGAAGATAGGGTTTCTAGGAAAGTTGTTTTCAGAGTCAATCTGGAACTTCTTTTTGCGTTTATTAGGTGTCTGCAGCCTGGGAGTTGCAGGTAATCGGAAGCCTGGGTGCGAGTCCACATCAGGGGAACGAGGGCGCTTTCTCACTGTAGAGTTCGAGTCATTCTGAGGGCGTAGGGTGCTTAATGCCATGTGTTGCTTGGCTGTACGGCGTGTAGAATATTTTGGAGGCGATACCTTGATCACGGAAGCGCTGGAGTTGTCTGAGGCGAGTGTGTCTGAAGAGATGGAGATTTCATGGTCGGACGTGGGCGCGTTTCTCTTGCTTTGTGTGGCTCCGCTTTGGCCAGATCTAGTGGTCATCGTGAAAGGGGGTGGTCGAGTCGTTGAGGAACGTGACGAAAGCCTGGTACTTGGCGCTGTGACCGTATTCTGCGACGACGACGACGGCCCGACTTGTCGCGAAAAGAAATCGGTCACCTTCTTGTCGGCTTTCATTTGTTTTTTCGTGAAATTCTTCTTCATTTCTGCGGTCGAGTTCGCGTTGGAGGCGGAAGCGAGCACACCGGCGTGACGACACTTTTCACTCAAAGTCACACTTGCCACATTTGGACACCGCCAAGACGCCGTCCATTAACCCCCCTAATATTATAATTAGAGGGGTCAAGCGGTCACAGATTAGCACTCAATACACGTATGTCACAAGCTGTATGGGTGTGACCCGTGATGCGCTCAGTGTTTTGGTCCAAAAGCGCCTTACCATGTATGGTATAACTCGATCGAGCACTAATCGGGTGCAAAATGTTTGACGGTGACAGAACTTGACACGGTCGTCTGAACGTCCACTCTCTCTTCCTACTCTTTGCAGGAATGGATAAGGACAGCACTAGGCTGCAGGCTCCCTCAGGATGGGCAATCCAGCACAAATGCAAAACCAAATTCTTCCGTCGTTTGGCCGTGTTCGCTGCATTGGCGTTATCTCTTGCGTCACTCAACCACCTGAGCTTATCATTCAACGAGGAAGAAGCTACTCCTGCGCATATAGCCACAGCAATCTCGCGTTGTCAATACCTTGCAAGAGAGCCAGGCCCTCCCTCCGACTTTCACCAAAGAACATCTTCCGACCGGTATGAAGTAGGAACAAAAGCAACGCTAATCATAAACGCTAAGATATGGACCGGAGAGCACAATGGAACCGAGGTTATTGACGGTGGCATACTTATGGACAAGGGTGTTATCGTCGCTATAGGGCGAATCAATCCAGGATTAATTCAATCCTACAAGGATCTGGTCATAACCGACGTCCATGGCTCTTGGGTAACACCTGGAATAGTTGACATGCATTCCCATCTTGGAGATGCCTCCTCTCCAGAACTTGCTGGTGCTATAGATGACAACTCAGAAAAGGGTCCAATCGAAGCTTGGCTTCGTAGTCTTGATGGTCTCAATACTCATGACGACTCTTATCCACTCTCCATATCTGGAGGTGTCACAACCTCCCTCGTACTTCCAGGTTCTGCAAACGCCATCGGTAGAAAATTTCATCACTATATGCTACGCAATTTATATTAAGTCAGCATTTTAGCCGGACAAGGGTTCGCCATTAAGCTTCGCAAAACAGCTGAACATTCTCCAACGTCAATGCTACTGGAGCCGCCCTATACAGTCAATAGTTCATTCCCAGATTATAGCATTACGCCGAGATGGCGACAGTTGAAGTGAGCTATCATTTCTTTTCTGTGACTATAGGCACTGATTCCATTCTCAGACAGGCCTGTGGTATGTCACACTCGAACTTTAATAATGTTGACAAAACTGATTCTTCAATGGTTCCTTACATCAAGGCGAAAATCCTAGTATGTTTCATTTTCTACGTACGCCAACGTCCGCTCAATGCATTTGTATCTAGGCAGTGTATACTCCCAGACGCGTATGGACAACTTGTGGTCTATGCGTGAAGCGTACGTTGTCTATCTCATGGTTTGAAACCTGGTGTGAATTTAGTGTTCCCAAGTTACGACAAAGCGAGAACCATAAAGGAAGAACAGGATGCTTACTGCTCTGCAGTTCTTAACGGACAACACCAGGGTCTTGGTAAATTCCCAGATGATCTCAAATGGGAAATGCTGGTGGACGTACTCAGAGGTAGAGTCAAGGTTCATAAGCAATTCAAAATTCTGTAGTCTACGTACTTATAAAAACCATTCAGGTGCAAACTCATTGCTATGAGGCGGTCGATCTTGACGCGTTAGTTCGGGTACGTATTCTGTTCTTTTTCCAACCAAAGATTAATATCTTCTTGCAGCTATCAAACGAGTTCAAGTTCCCTTTAGCCGCAGTACACCATGCGAGCGAGGCATATCTGGTTCCCGAGCTGTTGAAGAAAGCTTATGGTACTTATATCTCTATAGCTTAATTTTCGCAATTTAATGCTTTTAAACAGGTCAAGCCCCTGGTGTAGCTCTCTTTGCCACCAACTCTAGGTATGTCTGCCATCAATTTTCATTTTTAATGTTTGATTCAACGGTAATGGATTAGATATAAGAGAGAGGCCTACAGATCCTCCGAGTTTGCACCCAGAATACTAGCGGAGAATGGTATCAGCGTCGCCATGAAAGTAAGCCGAGACCATTTCATTACCTATTTGACGTGCTGCTCCAACTACCATCGTAGAGTGACCACCCCGTTCTCAATTCGCGCTACCTTCTTTACGAAGCACAACAAGCACATTTCTACGGTATGCCTACTAATTTGGCTCTGGCATCGGTCATAAGCACTCCTGCTCGACTCCTGGGACTTGACCACCGCGTTGGTTATGCCAAAGAAGGTGAGCTGCAAGCAGATTTATTGTGTAATGGTTTCTGACGGACTGTTTCCAGGTTGGGACGCAGGTAAGCAACAATAACATTTTATTCGACTGTCCATCCCTGCAACGCTCAATCCTGCTAGATGTTGTCGTATGGGATAGCCATCCATTGTCCCTCGGAGCTACACCGATGCAAGTTTACATTGACGGGATATCGCAGCTAAAGTCTCCTCATGTTATTTCCAAGCCCCAGGAGTTCCAGAAGGTGCCTGAGGTGCCAAATTTCGACAAGGAAGCAGCAACAGTTGTCGAATACGAAGGCCTCCCACCTTTACAACAAAGAAAGTCTGTGTCAGGCCTTGTGTTATTCCGTGGTGTCAAAACATTCTTTTTGCGTGGTGAGGGGTCGGTTCGTGAGGTGTCCATGACACAAGACGATATCTCAGGCGTCGTCGTAGTCAATAACGGTGCCATATTTTGTTCTGGACCTATGGCAGACTGTTCATCCTCGTTTTCCGAATCGGATGCGGAGATCATTGACCTTAAGGGAGGCTCAATCTTTCCAGGTTTAGTTTCCTTCGGGTCGCCTCTTGGAACATCAGAGATAGAAGCAGAAGACTCTACCAACGATGGTAATGTCAATGACCCATTGACTGCCAAGGTACCAAGTATTATCGGAGGTGACGAGGCCCTCATCCGAGCAGTGGATGGTCTACAATTTGGCACTCGTGATGCTCTGTAAGTAGTCGATTCGTAATCCATTGACACCGGTACCATGTCCTGATAACTTATGCGCCTAACGTTCATTTATAGCCTTGCCTACCGCGCTGGCGTGACGCTGGGTATCACAGCGCCTAGCCATAATGGGTTTTATGCAGGCTTAAGCACTGCGTTCTCTTTGAGTGCCCCTCACAAGCTACACCCTGGTGCCGTCGCTCAGGATGTCGCTGGTCTGCATGTCGCCGTACGGCATTTCGATAATGGTCCGAGTGTGAGCACCCAAATCGCCACCTTGCGCCGCTTACTTCTTCACCCTGTGGGTGGAGAATCAGGGTATTGGTTCAAAGAAGTGACGAAGGTGAGATAAGTGTGGACTCATTGTCATCACAAAAAGCCTCATCACCCTTCTCCACAGGGTAACGTACCGCTCGTCATCGAGGCACATAGCGCAGACATTATAGCAACCCTCGTGCGACTGAAAATGGAAGTCGAAGAAGCAAAGGGAAGAACCATCAAGTTAACCATAACTGGAGCTTCAGAGGCACATATCCTGGCGAAGGAGCTCGGAGAGGCTGGCGTTGGGGTCATCCTATCGCCAGTCAGGCCATTTCCAACATTGTGGGAGGACAGACGAATGTAGGTCCCATTCTATATCCGAACGTTGGGGCATTGCAAATAACACTCCACAGTTTACCAGGCCCCCCTCTATCGCAACAATCTTCGGTATCGAAACTCGTTACCAACAACGTCACGGTGGGTATTGGTGTGGTGGAGATCTGGGAAGCTCGAAATGCCCGTTTTGACCTAGCTTGGGTACGCAGATTAAAGAGTTTCCATTCCACTGGAGTAGATAAGCTGACGGTTGATGTCATTCTAGGCTTCCCTAGAAGCTGGTGGAGAAATAGAAATATCGAAGCAGGAAGCTATTGCATTAGCATCGACGAACATCGAGAAGTTGGTTCTAGGGTACACCCGTCCAACCCTGTCAACGGAATTAGTTGTCACAGAGGGAGGCGATCTGTTTGACCTGAGTAGTAAAGTGGTTGCAGTAATTAACCCTTCTCAACATGCAGTAGAGTTTCTCTAGTTAATTCGAGACACCCATTATGGATGCCTCTTTCTAAATTGTGATGGTCTTCTATGTACATATAAGTAACCGAAACTGATCTATATTTTGTAATTAATAAACATATAGCGAGAGCGACTACGATAGGGAAATTAGGCGAGTAAACGTTTCACGATGTGAATGGGAAAACATTGCAACCAGTGTTTTATTGTCCGAATGAGTGTAATAAGAGGCTCAGGGAATGCAAAATGCAGGCGAAGTGAAAATGATGTGGAGAAAACAGTGCAAGAACAGAACGGCATTCATATGTAACAAACAAATTATAAAATGGAAAACTGTTCATGACTGAGTCGCCGTGTACTCTTCAATTGTAGGTTGTCTACTGTGCGCTCTTGAATGTGAATGTGAATGTGAGTACGATTGCGGAGTTATAGGCGAAGGTGGCACAGATTGTCTAGGTGACGATGAAGGATTAGACAAGAGGTGACTAGATGGCGTCATCGAACGCTGTGATTGAGAGTTATGGCGCGAATGGGACTGTTGGAACGACCATCGGCTGGGAAGTAGTGACCCCATTGTTGTCTCGGATCCATCATGGGATCCGTCGTGGGATTGTTCGCTGGGTGGCGACAGTGTAGTATGTGTTGGCGTCGTCGTGGGATAAGGGTGGTTGATAGTAGGATCCAGAATAATGTTCTGTTCCGGCGTCGGATTGATGGGACGACCAAGAGGTGCTTGTGATTCACCCGAATGATACGACCCGTTACCACCCTTCTCTAGCATAGACTCATCAGCCGTACTTTGTTTTAACGAGCGATTCTTGCGCGCAAAGCGGAGGAGCCGAAAAACGCCGAGGTGGACGAGGGTGTTGAAAAACATGACAACCACGGCTATGGACATGATCACAGCGATCACGATGCCAATGGCAACCCGTGGGATCGCAGCCAGATTGAGGCTCTCTATGAAAGCGATGAGGAGCCCAGTTGACACCACTCTCACGATGGCGAGATAGGTGGAGAGCACATCTCCGCCTCTGGTCTTGTGCGGCCGTAGGACCAGAGTGGAGGCAAGGACACCGACTTCTATGATCAGAATGGCGATGACTTGCACTTCCCCATTGGCCTGAGCAAAAGCAATGAAAAGAGCCTTCAAGAAAGTTGCGATGAGGAGAGGAAGAATAAAGTAGTAACGCTGCGTGCGGTATTGCCCGTAGAGGGGACCGTGGGATGTCAGATGGTCTGTGTGGGTGTAAAGTGAATACGGCGTGGACCGAATAGCCAAGCGCGCAGTTAGATAGACAGGGTACAATATGTATCCCACGATAAAGAGGAAGAGTATGACAGAAAGGAGAACAGAAAGCCAAGAATCCTGGAGTGTCCATTGGTAAAACGCAAAGATGGTAACTGGTGTGAAAGCGATTATACACTGTACGAACAGTCAGCGACCATTGTCTCATCGTGACTAAAAGTGCTCACCATACGAAGACCCCAAGCTCGAGCGAAGGAGGGGTATCGATATTTCCACTCGAGAACTCGTTCGTCTTTGCCTTCACGACGTCGATGCAAAAGGACAAGAACAGCGTAACCCAATCCCAAAACAGTCAACACGATCGCCAGCAGCATGAGCGTGACCAGGAATATTGTCATGAACGCATTCGCAGTTGCAATCCCGATTGAGTTTACATAGATGGGAACCCCAGCTTGAAGGGTGTTGTTGGACGACGGAGTGACTACTTGTACTTGGCCAGCTGAAGTGGAAAATCCTGACAGCTCTTGTATGGAGAGAGGCGACATATAATTGGCCATCGTAAAGTTGGATGAGGATATGGAGTCCAGATTCAACCCAGAAGGACCAGACAAGCTTGGTGTCGCAATAGCGTTGTAAGGACTGAGTTTGCGGTTCACGAGTGCAACAGCCGAGCCGGGGCTTGCATTGGCCATTTGACCCCCCGTCAATTGACGCATATTGTTGATGGATACTTGTATTGGAGAGGAGGCGGAGGCGGAGAAGAGACCCATTGCCCAGGCAAAATTGGTGGCAAATGCACGATAAACGGAAGAGTAGTTGAGACTAAGAAGGGCCGTTGATGCTATCCATTGATAAAGGTAGAGGAGGTCCAAGAGCCTATAAGGTGCAAGAGCATCGAGCGACGCGGACTGTACAATTGCTGAGATGAGCGTGACGAGTGCTAGGCCACCTGTCGTCCATTCTACGGCTTCTTGGTGTGCTGACCAACCGTTTGACAGAGTGGCTTGTACACAAGCTTCGACGTTACCGGTTGACACTTCGGTAAGTTGAAGCTGCGCATAGCCCTCGAGGTCTGGTATCTGGTACGCGATCCCAGGAATTCTACCAGATACACCAAGAGAGGCAGGTAATTGCAGAGAGTCGGAGCCCGTAAAGTTGTATTGTGGTAAAGGACACAATGCACCATTAAATAGGGAACAAAGATCGAGAGTAAAGTTGACGAGATGCATCCCATAGACGTTCAGCACGAGGTTTGCAGTAACATTAACGTTCGGTTCCTGAGATATCACTAGATCAACAGGGCGCTAAAGCACAACATGAGGATAAGACATACGACACTGGCGGCGGAGATGTTGAACCATATTGACTGGTTCGCGGCGAAGTAGGCAACGTCGAACTGCTCAACGAGTAGTGTGTATGGCGGGGAGCAATACGATACGGACGAAGTAACTGGATACACGCCACGGAATGAGGGTAAGATGAGGATGAAAAGGAGGCGAGATATATGGACACGTACATAGGACATCCTGTTTAGCTTGGACGCGAGGGGTGAACAAAAGGAGGGCGGGAATGAAGTGCCGCAACCTGGCGACACGGTGAAACATAACGGGGAAAGGAAAAGTCTAGGGGGAGGAGGTGGTGGGAGGGAAGAAAGAGAGATTGGAGTGAAATTGTTGTATTGCTGTGGTGGGCTGATAAAGTAAGAACGCTCCAATGAGTTGCATGTAGTAAGCGTGTTGTTCATTGTTCCATTGTACTTACCGTTCTATTGTTGTTTTTTGGAAAGTGTTATGGAGACGTAATTGCACGCTCTCTCCAGTACTACAACGGAATGAGGCCTTACCGACGTGCTCTTCACGGACAGAAAAGCTGCAGAAAGCAAGGCCTTGTCGACGTTGCGGTCAGAGGGAACGGGCTTATTCAACACACCATCCGAAACAAACTCGCAGTAAGCCGAGGGCTCTGCCGCCACGCATGCCCGATGGCAGTGCATAGAATCGCATAATCAGCCGATCTCCTCATGCTTGCCTCCACTTGGTCTAGTATAGCAAAACGGATAACGGCCTATGTGCAAACCATCAGAAACACCCATCGTGTTCGAGGTTAGAACACCACTAGAAGAACACACATCACGGTACCGCGAACCGTGGGCACTGCTCAACATGCATCATGCAACACACAAGCTTCTGCTGGTCACACCTATAATTGTTTCACGAGGCTCGTACACGTTTCGTACCAGTTCTAACACCCTCATACGGTCTCGTGCGTTCACAAATAGTCCCCTGAAGAATATTATGTATGCCCCGTTAAATTGCCGTGAATATCGTCTAATGATACAACATAATTATATACGACGTAGTACGCTTAATATTAGAGCGTTCCACATCAGTTGAGGTATGCACAGTGGTCATAGTTTCCGGCCTGGTTAGCTCCCCACCACTGAGGGAACAAGTGCGAGGACCCTGCCGCTCCCTGTACAGCGAACGAAAGAATGAACACCATCACTTGAGTACCTCCATCAAGCGCTGTATCGCATTATTTTTTTTTAGCACATCAACTAACTTTAGATGGATAAAATTAGTCTCACCAGCACCAACGATGTAGTTGTACTTCGCGAACCACCGGGGGTACCGCGTTCGCAACCACCACTGAGACACAAAGGCTATAGCGAAGTACGATAGGATTGAGGAGTTGATGCCAACACAGAGCCATCCAATATAGTAGCTAGAACATTCACGTTTTTAGTAAATCAACAACTTGAAGCTGGGATATGCAGCATACCAAATAACAGGCGTGTATAGATAGTCCATTCGAAGCTTGGGGAAGTACCGATGGACAACCCAGAAGGGAATGGGAACAAACAGCCCAATGACATAGGCATATGGCACCCACTCGTACCTTCCACCCGTGGCAAAGAGCTGGTGGCTGAGACCTCCCCATGCAACAGCCTGGGAGTTGTACTGTTGTGGCTGTTGACCAGACCAGATGTTGGTTCCTTGTACAGATAGCAAGATTTCACGCTGATTATCGATAATGGAGTTCATCAAGACTGGATACAATTAATAATAAGCCAAGAACCATGAGATTAAAAAATATATCTTCGAACTCACCAAAGTTCAACACTGCACCAAACAAAGTCCCAATAATTTGTGCGGTGAAGGCGGCACGTGGGGGAAGTTTGGCATCTACAGCAATAGTTGTTGATCTTGGTATCCTCGGAGATGAAAAAAATGCCTACATTGTGCGATTTTGAGATCACGGAGCAAGAGCTGTGCCTGAGAAACAGTGTCTTGATATCGAGTCAGTTATCGTCGTCAGGTGATCTGAAAGTACGCCTCACTGTAACTGTAGAGCACAAAGTACATGTTTGCCATGGGCTTTCCGGGGTGCAAAAATCCTCCAATCATTTGTACGAATGGTTGAATGATGAACGCCAAACCAGTAATAGCATACAGCGCTCCAAAGAACAGGATGGATATAACGGACAATATAACTGCGACGACGAATCCCCACCTGTGGTCAACACCACGGTCAGTGAAGTTCTGTGGAGGGGACAAGACGGTGGCTTACCAAGGTAGCGTAGAGTTGGTCTTGTAGATAACGACCAACGCAATGATGACGGATATAATAAAGGTCACGAAGTACCAGCTGTTCGGAGCATCGGGATACTGCAAAACAATCATCAGCTAATAAGACTCATCCGATGTAATATACAGCTTACCTTCAACATCTCGACGTAATGAGGGTCGAGATCCTGGTTATTGATATCTTCCTGGTTTCGCATGCCATCGTTCTGCCAGAATTTCCAGCTGAAAGTCGACCACCAAGCCTTAATGTTGTCCTTAGTACACCAGGACCAAGAGGCTTTCATGTCAGCGCTGTTCCATAAAAGAAGATGAGTGAAAGTAGCGGCCATGCCCAGATTCGTGGTGAGCAAGCTGATAACCCATGTCGAGGAATAGTAGGGTAAGCCTTGCTGGGCAAGGAGAGCAGGGTCGACTTCGTAATTAGAGTTAAGAATGAGAGATTGGTTGTACTGCGATCCGTCTTCATTAAAAAGCAATTGTGACAACTGCCATATGATGTCAACGTAAGATACAGTATAGAATGCTACAGAAGACACGTACGAAAGGGAAGTCTTGCGCTTTCCAGATATTCTTGTAGTATACAGCCATAAATACGACCCTGAAGTGCTATTAAGGCGGGGGTAATGTAAGCAAAGGTGATCCACTTACATGCAGAGAATGTACCCAATGAAATTGGACACCTAATAGAAATGGGTAAACTGATACACTCACAGGACAATGAACTGTGTAAGTGTGCGTACCTGAGCTTTCAGGGGAATAGTCATGGGATTAACGCCACCAGATATGTACTGATGATAAAAATAACATCAACACACGCCTGCGTGAGATACAACTCACGAATGACTTACCTGCCAATCGAAACAGATAGATAAGAGGCCAAGCCCCTCATTTCCGTTGGTCCCTCCGAACAAGCGAGAAAACGCCGGGTTGTTGGGAGCAGCCAAGCAGAAGATGGAGAAACCTGTGAGGAGAGGGAAAATCCATTCGGGGAACATCTCCCAGATGAAGATGCTACACGCCGTTAATACTCAAATGCCTCCTGAGGTAAACTATACTTCAACTTACACTCCGAACACGATATAGAAAATTTTCAGCTTCCTCTGCGCTGAAGAGCCTCCCTTGAAGAGAGCATCGAACATGGACAAAAGAGGCAGCACGATGGGGTATAGCATCTTCGAAGGATACAACAGGACGGCTGAATGAAATATCAGCATATATGAATAGCACCTGAAGAAAATCGCACGAACGTCTCATCAATCCTCCAATACCGTAGCCAAGCAACTGACTCGAGAAAAGAAGGAAAATGGAGGCCCCAGCATTAGGAGTGATGTTGTAGTAGAGGCGCTGGACGGCGAGAACTTCTGTTCCGAGAGCGGAGTTGGCAGCGGCGCTAGCCATGATGACGATGAATGCATTCTCCTTCTTGTTGAATGGACCCTGATTAGGAGAAGATTTAGCGTTGTTGTGTGTGATAGACGCCATCACGTACGGGATTCAAGTACCGGAACCACCCGCGACGAGGAATAAAGGTTTCCATGAAGATACCGATGACATATGCGATGATGGCAATGAACATCAGAGAGACCAGAACGGTTTGCTATTGAAATGTCAATAGGAAATTGTGTTTAGACTGTAAAGAAGACATACAGGCTTGAAGTAGTAGATTTCGGCTGTATGCGCTCACGGTTGGCATCGAATGATAACAATGAAGTTGGTGAACATACCTAAGACACCACCGAAAGCAGACAAGCCAATACCGATGAAGAATGAGCGGAATGTCCAGGGGTTGAGCGAAGGGTCGTCCTCGACAGAGATGACATTGGTTGCGATATCACGCTCATCTTGGAGGACAACATCGACCGAGTCGACCTCTTGAGTGGCCGACTCGACGTCGCCCTTGGCATAGAAGGACTTCTCGTCGCTGGTGCTAAGAGCTTTTTCGCTGGGTGTAGAGCTTTGCTTCTCGACGAGGTCCCCTGGAGCAGAGGCCATGGTGAACGGAGGGGTGGTTGACCGTGGATGAAAAATACATATTCGGTGACCTGTTATAAAGGAAGCGAGATAGGGGACGAGATAAGATGGTTATACCAAAATTATGACATGTAAGGTGGTAACCGATAGGACCAGGGCGATATTTGGTTATAGTATATCCAACGCATGCATGTGCTGTCAGTGTGCACGGATAAGGACACCATGCTGGATTTCCCAGTGGAGCGCTTACCTCGTGGTAACCGGTCAGAAGGATATCTTTATCTCACTTCAGCGCTCACATGTCAACATGTCACCGTTCATACCAGGCCATCTCGTGGATTTGTGTAGACATGCATATGGTCGTCCTTTACGTTTTTGCAGTGCTTTTGCACTCCTAGCTCCGGATTTCAGCTTCTCGTCTCGAGCTACTTTCCAACCGAGCCTTCCTCATCCACGCGTCGTGATATCACATGACAGTCCAATGTTCATGCAACAACCAACACAACGCTCATATCAACATAATTATTATTAACACGTCAAAAGCTATCAGGCTCTGCCATCAAACCCCGTCCGACATCAATATGTAAATAAACGGTTCTTTTTTTTCACTCTACCTCGGCGAACTCTGTCGAAGAGTGCTCCCGATGTGACGGTCCGGGTTGTCTCTTTGCTGTATTCAATGGCCCTGGCCTCCATAATGTGCCTGGCGCTATCTGAGATAGTACACACGACTATCATTCTATCATTTTCTGTCAGTTCCAAGACTCCAAGTAGTCTTTGGTCCCATCTTTGTCGTATCATTGAGATATCATTTTGGAACTCCGCGGATTTTATACCAGGTACCTCGATCACGAAGTTATGACCCAGGTGGAAAGAACCTCCGGGTACGCAGGGCAATGTGAGATTCTCTGCGGTCCTTATATTATTTGACCTGTGCTCAGAACCCATATGTACAGTCAACGCCACACTTAAGCTGTGCCAATCTGGTCAGCGCTAAAAATATGGGCCGGACACTTGAAGAGACCGTACTTACCTTTTACACAACGCCGTTGGTGGCGTTAAAAGAAGATACGGATCACTTCTGATTGTTCCTACCGTCCCACTCTTTTCCTCCGTTCTCCTCATTCTCCCAAACAACCAGCGCATCTTCGTCCCATCTTCGGTCTGTTAGATCCCCCGCTTCCTTCAAAAATTGTTCGCCCCTGAACTGTATTGGAAGGTACTCATTGTGCACCGGATGACTGTAGATTGATGGTACTATCTTTAGCGTCGTTCAGCACACGTGATATCCACTTACACATAGTCTGGATTGTACCGATATCCTTGGGAATAGCCCAGGTCCTTCATTAGGTTGGTGGGAGCATTCCGTATTTGTATGGGAACAGGCAGCGTAAGATCCAGCTTCGCCGCTTCCTCAGCTCGATTATAGGCCTGGTACGCCCTAGTCGATTTGGGGGCTTCTGACAGATACGCCACCAAATGAGCAAGATTGATGCGACATTCTGGCATACCAATCACTTGGCATGCTTGAAGTGTAGCAATTGCCTGTAACGAAATTTTAAAAACCGCAGATAGTCTATGCTGGAAATACCCGACGGACCAATGGAAGCGCATGGTTATCTGCTAATCCCACGTCTTCACTGGCGCATACCACCATTCTCCTCGCTATGTACATCGGGTCCTCTCCGGCGCTCAACATTCGAGCCAACCAGTACATGGCCGCGTTGCCTTGGCTGCCTCGAACGCTCTTATGAAGAGCGGAAATCATGTCATAATGGCTGTCACCTGTTCGATCGTAAGAAGCAGATACAGACCGTCGAAGTGAGGAAAGTAGAGTGGCTTCTGTGATATCTTTTTTGGAGGACAAAACGAGCTCGAGCAGAGAGATAGCGGTCCGAGCGTCCCCCGTAGAAAGTGAAACAATGGAAGCTATAACACGTGCTGTCAATTGAGGAAATAAAGGAAATGGTAAGTCAATTGAACTATCGGTTGATTGCGATGGATGATGGATAGATGACGGTTGAGAAGATGTTTCAGGCACAGGGCTTGAGGGTCTATCGGAGGGCTCTTCGTCCGTTGAAAAACGGTCCATGGCATTTCGAACAACTTGCTTAATGTCATCATCGGTAAGCTGTTCTAGCACAAAGACTCTACAATAAGAAGTTGTTTCATTTTGGATGACGGTACTAATAAAGAACACCACTGACCGGCAACGACTCAATAAAGCACCTGTAAGCTTGAAAGAAGGATTTTCTGTCGTAGCACCTATCAACTGTACTATATCAGCAGTTTTGCGCAGAGAAGTGGTGTGCTGTAGAAAATATACTTGAATATGACCTTGTTCGATATACGGGAGGAAAATGTCCTGATAAATCGGTTCGAATGATGTTTACATGACTGAAAACGAACGCACTTGCTGTGATTTGTTAAACCTGTGCACCTCGTCTAGAAATAATATTGTCCGTCTGCATCGATGATCAGTCCATGCCACACTCTGATTATCTATTATAGAACGTGCCTCCCGGTCATCACAAGAGATCCCTTAGCCTCTTCAAAGACCACGCGGACATCATTGATGCCTGACGACGTAGCACTTAGTTCTTTGAATGTGGCATCTGTTTGATCCGCAAGAAGCCTAGCAAGGGTTGTTTTTCCACAGCTGAACAAGTGGCAGTCAGATGATTATACCACAGCGCTAGGGTCTGCATACCCCGGAGGTCCCCAAAATATCATGCTTCCGATGGTACAATTTTGAACCATATTCATCAGCAATGAATCAGATCCAGTAAGATGCTCCTGTCCGACGAACTCGGCGAGTTTTTTTGGTCGAATTCTTTCGGCCCATGGCGCTGCTGAGCTGAGACGCGACGAGATGACTTTGGATCGCTTTGAGGATGGTTGGGACATCGCTGGGACTGCAATGACACGTTTTTTGCCTTTCGTTGTGCTGATGCCATGATGAGAACTCGAGTCTGAGATTGCTTGGTTGGACCGTTCACCGTCTATCTTTCTCGGCGTCTGTCCAAAGATGGGAGCAATTTTTGTCACAGGTGGCTGTTTGTCTGAATCCTCGCTACGAAAAGACGAGGTTTTCGCCTGCCCTTCTTCGCTTTCTTGACTAGTACTAGGTCCGGGACATCCACGATCGAGATGTTGGTTGATGTCTTGTTCGGGAACGCGTTTCGAGCATATAGGACTCCAGGCCTGTGAATGAAAGGATTTTCAAGTCCAATACACAGACATACCAAGTTACTTTCATTTGTCAGAATGGTGAGTGTCGGAAGTCGCGATTGTCAACCAGAGTCTCCGCGAGTGTTCAGGACAAAACTTCGCGGATGACAAGATCGTCGTAGGCGTTATTATAGCAGTCCATAAAAGGAAACTGACTCGTTTCTTAACTTTGATTCGGGGCAAGTGCACTTCAGCTTGCTCTCCCATTTCTCACTTTCAAGCTTAAGCCTCCAGCCTCAGTAAACATGAATTTCAATGTGACTCCCGTCGAGGCTGTCACTCGCGAATTTCTCGCTGTCGTATTGGCAGGTTTTGGCAACGAGTACGGTTTTCTCAATTTCAAGTTATCTATACCAGTGGAGCAAATGATCTAATCGCGACTTCTTTCCATAGATTATTGCCATTGACAAGTGAGCATGGTGAAGAACCATGTCCAAAGGCATTGCTACCTATCTTCAATAAACCGATGCTGGATTATCCACTGTCGTGGCTGGAGCAATCAGGCATTAAAGGTGAGCCATCACATCTTCAACTATCCATCTCTTTCTGAATCAGTTCATAGACGTATTACTGATATGCCCTTCCTCTCATCGGGCCGCTATATCACATTATATACACTCCGATTCCACAACAACTTCATTTGCATCCTTACGCATCGATCTACAGCCATTCGACGAATCACAAGACCTCAGTAGTGGAACGTGCTCCCTACTAAAACACTTTGCCAGCCGGATACAGGACGATTTCGTTCTACTGCCATGCGATTTCATACCTCCTCCTTCTCTACCCCTCTCGAAACTTCTCAACAAATTCCGCACGGAGAGTGCGACTGATGGTGCCATTGCCACGACTTGTTGGTTCGAAGCTCAACGTACAGGATCTAGTCCAGACGAATGGGGGGCCTCTTTTCCCTCTCCTTCAATCGTGTGGGATGAGGTGACCGGTACACTACTGCATGTCGATGTTCCCGATGGAACCGATCACCGCGGGGAGTTGGAATTACGCATGGGTCTTCTTACTAGGTATGCTGCAATTCCATTTGTGTCTGTTTCTGCGCTGAAGATTTGTGTGTGTAGTTATCCGCGAGCGAAGCTATCGTCGAAATTCCACGATTCACACGTTTATGTCTGTAAAAGAGCAGTCCTGGACGTTCTTTTGCAAAAACATCATTTCGACTCACTTCGCGAAGACTTCTTTCCTTGGTTATGCAAAATTCAATACCAAAACACCAAGCGAATAAAATACGGTCATGGTTTGTTTCATCATCTAACAATCTTGTTTCACTTAGTTCACTTCTTCTGTTAGCCCTGGGTGCGTTGGCTGATTCGATATCAAATTCGATATCTATGAAGCACTCTACACTACATACAAATGTGTACGCGAAGATCAAGTTAACTACTCTCGAACCTCGAACATCAGAATCATCACCGCAGCAAAGTAGAATCGGCCTATCGATGCCATCGTCGCCCGCAGAATCCGACATCGATCAATCTATCACCAGCAGTCTCCGTATAGGGGTCATTATCCATCGGGCGGAAAATGGTTTCACGTTAAGGGCGAACAATTTGGGATCATACCTGGATGTTAATCGACACGTACGATCTCTTTCACATATTTCGAATCCTTTCACTGTCATGTTTACGTTCGAAGAAACTTAGTTCCTCACAAGCACTTCCTACTCGCTCCCATCGGAGCCTCAGAAAAGGGCCCTCATCGACCAGAAAGCGAACATCTCTTCAGATTCTGCGATAGGCGACTTCACTCGCGTCGAAGAGAAGACAAGCATCAAAAGATCAATAGTTGGGAGCCACTGCGTGATCGGAAAGATGGTCAAAATTGTTGGATGTGTACTTTTGGACCATTGCGTCATATCAGATGGGTAAATTGTTTCTTTGATCTGAGCTTTCGTGATATATAACATTTTGTTGCTATTATAGTGCTAAGTTAGAGGGATGTATTTTGGGGAAAAACACGACGGTTGGAGTCAAAGCTGAACTGATCCGATGTGTTACTCAAGCTGGTTATGAAGTTGAAGAAAACGGTGAGTGTCCACCATGTCCACCACTGGGACTCTGACTCAAAGGACCACAGGATCCTATCGCAATGAAAAGCTCGATGTAGCAGATTGGGCAGCAGGCCCTGAAGACAGTAGTAGTGATGAAGATGACGATGAAGATGAAGAGGAGGACGAGGAGGATGAAGATGAAGATGAGAGCGAAGAGTCTGAAACTTAGAAGATTTGGTACCATCATCAAGGTGTCGCAGCGTACTTTATCGTCGAAAATATCTGAAAGAGCCGCTTGCTAGCAATTATAGAAATTATTTAAAACCTTACGCGATATCGAATCTTCCAAACGCAGAGTTGAGAGCAAAAAAGGACATGTAGATGTATAAGGAAGTACAACATAACAGTGAATGTATAGTTAGTATCACCGTGCTGCTTGCGACGAATGTCCTGACATCTGGTTCCCCAGTCCTTGGGCAAACCGTGCACCCCGACCTCGCATGCCACCTGTAAGGGGGAGATGTGAAACGGCATCAGACAAATACCATCGGAACTTACCACGAGTACTGCCCCTGACACGCTCACCCCGGCCACGGCGTTCTTGTGTTTGTTCGCCACGTTTTTCTCCCTTTCCACCATCGGCTCTATCACCCCATCCGCCGGTACCGCCGAGCTTGAGATCAAGAGTCTTCTCGTTTTGCTCAACCATTGCGCTAACCTTATCAGCGACCACTAGAGCCAGTTGCTGTAGGCGTGAGTGTTCAACACGGTGGAAGACTATGACACCCGCAGATTGATCAAGGGAGGCTGATAGCTCTTCATTCCAAATCATCTTGGAAACCGTGGACGTGACAGTACGAAGTGGCAGCGAGAACGTTCGCGATAGAAGAGACAAAGAGAGTGTGTTGTAATGAGGAGCATAGGTGAAGAGGTACGTGCGGAGACCTTGTTCTTGTATGCGCCTACACAGAAGGATTAGAAAATGATGACTTTATACAAATCAAAAGCGGGCTTACTTTGCCAACATTTCCTTCACCGACGTTACTTCTGGCATTAAGCTCCAAATCTTGATACTTTGTATCAAATCGCGGCAACGCTCCCACTCGCCATCTTGCAAAGCCCTACTGGCTTGCATGATGTGATCTCGAGTACTTTCTGGAGGACCCGTGAAAACTTGACGATCTGCAAAGTCAAGTAGTCGACGGAATGGTTTTGAGATCGCCTTTCTCTTGAGTTCCTCTGATTCAATGCTGGCCAAGAGAGGTATTTCGACCAACATGCTGGAAACAAGGAAAGCAGCTTCGAGTAACTCTGTGTTGATGTGCATGTGGAATGGTAGCTGTCTCTGCCTCTCAGCTTTCTCCTGCTCTGGACTTAAGACTTGGAACCTTTGTTGGTGGACACCTTGTGCGAGAAGTTCTTTGACCCTCTGAGCGGTGAAGATGTCCTGTAAGGTCGCTTGAGCTTCTTTAATCAAGCCGCATCTAAACGCGCAAAGACCAAGTTGTACGACTGTCCTGTTATACAGGATTTGTGTAGCAACATCAGCCGAATGAATCGATTCTTGGAGATGCGACATGAGGAACATGTCGCGAGCGGTGTAAAAGTCATTATGGAGAGCGAAATGGTAGATATGGCTGAGCATAGCTCTTGTTCGTAGGAGTGAATTATCGGCCTTGTAAAGATGAACGCAAAGAGAGTGGATAAGTGATGACGTCGTGTCACCAGAAGCAAGTGTCGTGGTGGGAACGATGTCAGAAGAGGCTAATGATGACTCCAGAGCTTGGACAACCGGATCAGGCTAAAAAGAAAATAAACATTACATTAGAATGGAGTGGATTAACGAGCATATATGACGCACTTTGGAATATATATGCTCCAGGCGTCGCATGACCACTCTAGCAAGAGGGTCTTGTTGTTTCGTACGCTCATAAAATGCTTGAGCGCGGCATATCGTGCGGTAAAGAACCTTTTCATCCTTCAACCTGTCGATATACTCCGTACCGTGAGGATCAATGTTTTGTAAACTTTTTGTAAACTCGTCATCCAACCGATCAATGAAGCTGATGATGCTGCCCCGAACCCGTACAATACCATCTTTTTCGGTAGCTGGTAAGCGCTCAGCAAGCTCATCATAATCTTCGATAACTTCCTGCACAGAATACGAGGTATCAGCGGCAACTATCGAAACGAGCTGATCAATCTCGCTTTGTGCAGCAATCCACAGATCCACTGGCATATACGAAGTGATGGATGAATTGTAATCGAATCGCGAGGAAACGAGAGCAAGTAGGACGCGAATGTGCTGGTAGGATGTTGCGGCAACCTCTAGTAGCTTTTCCAAGATACGAATTTGTTCTCCTCGGTCGGTGTTCTGCCATACAGTTAGAAAAGGAATGTACAAATTTGCAGGTCGAAATTACCTTCTTTCCACGAGCTTCATTAACAAGCTGAAGTGTCTTGAAGATAGCATCGGCGGTGAACTGCATAGCTTTACCACCTTTTCCAACTGTAGTAAATTGGTCAACTGCCTCTTCCTCCTCGGCATCAGTATCTTCAAGTGCTTTCTTTGCTTTTTTCTTTTTCACTACGGTCTCCGCCTGTGGAGCATGAGCAGCATATTCCCTTTCAAATGCTTCAGGATCCTATTTCCAGTTATAGACACTGTTTTCATTAGTGTAGTTATTCTTGCATACCTCTTGATACTGTTTCAGTTCCTTTTCATACTCCTTTGCCGTTTTTCTCACTTTCTGTTTCATGGAATTGAGGGCACGGGCGTTGGTAGCATTCATTTTCTTCTTCGCCTCTTTCTCCTTAGCCAGTGCTACATTGAGCGATGTTTCTAAACTCGAAAGCGTACGGATAAAGAATGGTGGGATCGGTTCAGCAACATTGCTCTGCCGCTGCACAAGACGCAGCAACTTGTCGAACTCTGTGTGAAAAAGGTTAAACCCACAGGTAGATATGAACGGACAACAGACTCACCTCCAGATATGGCTACCCAGTCGTTGATCTTTAACCCGTTATCCATTACTTTTCCAGTAGCCTCGATTTCTTCCAATCGTTTATCTTTGGTACTTTTCACCACTCGTTTGACATCCTCGTCACTCTCCTCGTCCTCGGAATCACTGCGTACAAACCTCGATTTCTTCTTCTCCACCTTCGCCTCATCATCCGAACCATCGCTATCGTCGTCATCATCCGATTCAGATTCAGAATCTGAGCTGCTGGAATCGCTGCCAGTTTTTCGCAAGAAACGAGACATGGCTGGTTTGGCGGCAGGTTTGGCTGCTGGGGCATCTTCGTCACCGCTAGTCAAGAGCTCCTCATCGGACTCCTCAGATTCAGAATCAGAATCGCCGGCTTGTCTGAAAAATCGCGACATTTTGGAGTAAATATGGATCCGCTGTGCTGTATGCCTTGGTTGGCGATGGGGCAAGCGCTGTCGAGCTGCAAAATTTTGGGTTTACGGCTATCGCCGCCCGCCATTGTGACTCCGATAGCACGGCTCCAGCCAAGCTCAATGATTTGTGGGACATGCATGTCTTGGACGTCTTCTATTCTTTGAATCTTGAGCTTGCTCTCTCTTGAATGGATGACCCGCAACTAAAGGCCTATGAGACACACGGAGTGCCGGTAGGTTTAATCTTAGGATGCACCGACTGTAAACGTGGCGTGAACCCAAGGCTTCGCCCCCATGACAAGTCGCCCAGTGTGATTGTTGTTTATTTTCATCGTCTGTGATTGACATGGTATGTCTCCAAGTATATTTTGCGAACTAGTCAACTGACGTTGATAGACACCTAGGGACATGCATTGTTTCTAGACCCATAGCCTTGCCCATAGTTTACACGGAGGCCCGACTTTCCGCTGAATCACATCCCATGACTCAAGTTCCTTACCACGACCCCCTTTTTATCCGTTCAAGTTATACATACCTGTCGATTCTTGCTATCGTTGGACTCTGTCCGTCTATATCGTGGCTAGCTTTTATTTGTCAGATGCAATTTTCATCCAGGGACATAGGTCTATGAGGTCTAAACTCGATATATGACGACAGTGGTCCAGGGCTACACCAAAATGATTGACGATTTTGTATGGTGATCTGATTTTGACTTCTAAAAAATTTAACGGGTCGCAGTAGTATACTAATTGTATACATTGAGTAACTGATCACTTTTTGGGGACAGTGGTGACTGAGCGAAGTTCGTGGATCACAGTGATGAGAACCGAAGAAAGCTCCATGCCATCTGAGCTATTCATAAGCTGTTCCAAAGTCGGATACTGTCGTAGAACGATCTCATGATTGCGTGACACAGGTATAAGTAGTCCAGCCACTCACGAACTCCATTTGTTTCCACCTTCTTCCACTGTACCACTCACAATGAGAGCTTATTACTTTGATAACTTGCCAGGCGATCAGCGTCTTCCTCATGATTCTGGGAACTCTGTCTCTGACGAGACCCTCAAGTCTATCGGTGTCCTTCACTGGCACATCCCGATTGACGAGGAAGGTTTGTACGAACGGAAAGTTGACGAGGTTGCTCAAGAGAGAAACTACAAAAACCGAGATGTGATTGCCATTAGCAAGGAGTCGCTGGGCGATCAATTGGAGGTAAAGCTTAAAACCTTTTACCACGAGTAAGTGGTCGTAGTTTCACTGCAATTATCGTTTCTTGTAGCTCACTCGGGTCTGATTGCAGGCACATGCATGAGGATGAAGAAATCAGGTACATCATGAAAGGAAGTGGTTTCTTTGATGTCCGTGGTATGTCTTCGTCTTCAACCCCGGAAGCAACATTTTGTCCTCACTTTGACCGTATCAAAGAACACGACACCGAATCCTGGATCCGCTGCCACATGGGTGCGGGCGATCTGATGGTCCTTCCTGCTGGTATCTACCATCGTTTCACTCTCGATGAAAACAATGCCGTCAGGACCATGAGGTTATTCAAAGTAAGCACATTACTATACTGTTTACGGCCTGTATTGAATGTCAATATGTACAGGATGAGCCGAAATGGATCGCCTACAACAGGGGCCCTGAGACAGATGCAAACCAATACAGGGTTGACTATGTCAACTCTTTGCAGACTGTCGCGGTCAACTAAAATTGTGCTCTCAAATAAGCATAAGTTGTGCATAGCGATGCATGGTTGTGTAACATCGAAGAATCTTAATTTATTAAACATGTTGTAAATTAGTCTTGTCTTGCTCCTATGAAACATCATGTGGACTCGTCCGTCGCCATCTCAACAAGATGACCACAAAGCAATTATATATTGTTTGCATAACTCGACATGATGTGATAAGACATGTGTAGACCCGAATTAAATCACCCTAGATCTGCTGTGCCGGAGCGCCTGAGATGGACAATTGGAGAATGCTACGGAGTGATTGCCAGTATGTCACGTGGCTGAGGGAGACGCGTTTGGACGTTCACACTTTGGTTTGCATTCGAAGTCTGAACAACGTCTGAAAGAAAAGAAAGCCAATGTCGACAACACCTGGAAAGCCCAGGTATTCTGGAATACCCACTCCTGGTAAAGTCAGCAATATACCTACACCAGGTAGATTTCGCTCTTCTTCCAGCGCTCAGAATGCAGCCCCAGACCAGGACCTCGAATACATGTCTCGCGCATTTGCAGACGCAATCAAGTCCAACGACCCCGCTCAGCATCGTACAAGTCTCTCAAGCACCACTTCTCATCCACCTTCACCTCCTGCAAATGTCAGCTTCCTGAAGTCTGGGCGACGCTCCGTAGCAGGTCGCCCTTCTTCGGTCGCCTCATCGTCCACCGCTAACCATAGGAAAACCCCCGCACGCCCAGCAAGCCGTCAGTCAGATTTATTTGGAAGAAGCGTTAGCAGAGCTGGAAAGGTCTTTGATATTGGAGACAATGTCAGGATTGAATCCCTAGGGTACGAGGGCACTTTGAGGTATATCGGGGAGATTGAAGGAAAGGCCGGACTCTGGGCAGGCGTTGAGCTTAGTGGTGGATTTTCTGGGAAGGGAAAAAACAACGGAACTGTCAACGGGTGAGTATCTGTGCCTTTATCAAATACGTGTACTGTACGAACGTCTTTCAATTCGAACGAGAGCGGTGGCGTAGTCAGGTATGCCTAACCCACTGCCCTTGACTCCGCGAATTCAGTAGTATACCAGGCAGACGGCTCTCACACATGGAGCTCATATTCTGCTGTTGGTGCTATCTCGATCTTGCGCCGTTCGGGTACCACTTTTGCATTTCCACCATCGTGTCTGCATACATGGTTGTTCCATACTGACCCCATAATTCTAGGAAGATTTACTTTACATGCCCTCTTAATTGTGGAGTTTTTGTAGCTACGGCCAAACTCTCAGCACCAACTGTGGGTCTGAACTATCGCCCCTCGTCGGTCGCTTCATCTTACAGCGGCCGCATCACACCATCATTTTCCGGGAGAATCACACCTTCATCGTCTATTTCTCTTGCCAGCGGAAGGATAACTCCTTCTGCATCGATATCCAACGGTCGAGTTACACCTTCCTTCAGCGGAAAGATGGCACCGTCTATATCTACTGGTCGTATCACGCCAGGCCTTACACCCGCCGCTCGTGCTCGTCCCAAACCTACCTTACAAACCAGCACAAGCGTCCCTCCTTCGTCTATGCAGTTTTCAGCAAAACCTAATACTCCGGAAAGCAAGATTACAATGGGGTCTCGTGCATCCAAATATGTTGGCTTAACCGCCAAGCAATTAAGTACGCGCAGCCCCAGTGTAGGCTCTACTAGCCTCCCAGATCTCTCGTCTCGTTCCGTCTCATCTCCTACTACTCAAGGCTCATTAGGCTTTAATTCACCTACTAAAACTACCATGTCTCCGTTCAGCACGCCCAAAGCCTCTGGGGCGCGGAGTACTGGACTTAATAGTGGATATCTCACCCCAGGATCCAAGGGTCGCCCATCGTTAGCCACGCCTAGGCCGAGAGTTCCCAGTGCAGTCGCAATGCCTCCCCCACCTTCCCCTGGCAATTTGATCAGTACTCGCTCGATTTCACTGAACGATGACCCACCTATCCAAGATACGTCGATGCTTACGGAAAAGCAATCTATCTCGGATTTGGAAAACACAGGGCAGGCGTTACAAGATAAGATCAACATGTTGATAACCGGGAAGGCAGTTGCGGCTGGCCGTCCTGCATCGAGGACTTCTCTGCCATCTGCGGGTTCAGATAACCAGATATACCAAGTCCGTATCGATGACCTCGAATCTCGGATAGATTCTCTTCAGCGCGAGAACGCCACTTTGCGAGAAGGCGCTGTGGCGAGCAAACCCGAAGACTCCAGGGCTCAGGAGCTCGTGAGCGCCGTACAAACTGAATTAGATGCAGCACTCAAGAGGATAACCGATTTAGAATCTGAACTAAGGACTTCAGACCGTTCCCTCAAAGAACGAGAGTCCAAGGTCGAATCCCTCGAACGGTCCTCTCAGGAGGTTCAGGCGGAACTGAATAGAACCAAAAGTGATACTGAAATGCGTCTCGCGGACCTCCAGGTAAATCTGACGGACAGAGATAATTTGGTCAAAACCTTGAAGGAAGCCATCGAAACTAAGGAAGGAGTAGAGCATGAAACCAACACTATTTTGAAGGCGAAGAATGTCGAGATCTCTTCTCTTGAGCTTCGTAACGAGAAGCTCACTACAGAGTCTGAACATGATAGAAGAGAGATTAATGAGTTACGTCAGGCAGGCCAGGTAGGCTCTTCGCTCCTGTGATTTTTCTGATGTTGACGGAAGCTATTGTAGGAAACTATCGCTCTTTATGAAGAGCGCCTGAGTGAAGCGGATACCAAGCGATATGAGCTTGAAGATCGAATAGTTGTGCTGGAAGATCAAGTGAAGAAGTCCACAATGCCTATGTCACCCAGTGCTGCACTACAACGTGCTTCTTCAGCCGCCGAAATCGACAATGAGAACTTAAGGGAACAAGTACAGCACCTGCAAAGGAAGATATCTTCTTTGGAAGACACACTTGAAGATGTACGTACGACATCAGAAAGAGAAGAAGTTGCTATCCGAGAGCGCATCAGACGCTACAAGGATAAGGAGGAAGCGATGAAGAATGAACTTAATGAAGGACGAAGGGAGGTTGAACAGATCCTGAAGGCCGAGACCCTTGCCAAAGGGCGTGTGGAGGAGGTTGAAGAAGCTTTGAGGGAAAGTACACTAGCCCTAGAGAACGCTCAAGCGGAAATCGAAGGTTTGAGAGCGGAACTTACGGTAAATTTTCCCTCCCAGCCACTTGTTTATTCTTTCTGACTTTCGTGTTTAAAGAATCTCGATAATTTAGTAACTGGTGCTGGAGTTGACACTCCAAAGTCGCCAGAAGCTGCGAACCGAGCTGCTATAGAACGGGCACGGTTGACAGAAGAAATCTCAGAACTTAGAACGCTGTTGGAGCAATCTCGTGCGGCTACCCGAGAAGTTACTGAGAGCTTTGCACAATTCAAGGCCGAATCAGAGAAAGAGTCGACCTCTCCAGTAAGCTTGTCAGTGCGAGTATTGAGTACGTGCTTAACCATGCTCCGCAGACCGACCGGGAAGCGGAGCAGATATTGCTATCTCTCCGCCAGACGTTGGAAGAACGGACTTTGGAGCTGGAAGCCCTGAAGAAGAGGTTGAACCGCGAGGTCTCAGTCAGTGGTCCACCTTCTACTCCCTCGAAATCGCAGGCTGCTGCTACGCGAGAAGAGATTACGGGCTTGAAGTGAGTACAGTTCTGAGTGAGTATTCATGCACAAGCTGATAAGTTATATGCAGGCATATAGTCCAAGAATTACAGAAGGAGAATGTCGCTGCTGCTCAACGCAACAGGGTCTTGGAAGCTGAGAACAAGCTGCTCCTTTCTGAACTTTCTGAAACTGAACAGCTCCGCCAGGTAAAGCATTGAGAGATCCCTGATATATGATGCCCTCTGAAAGTTGTTTTAGGAGCTTAAGCAGCTCGAGGAGCATGTCGAGCAAAGTCTGTTGCATGAAGAAGCTATACTGGAAGCCGGCTCTGCGAGGTCTCCTGGTCTGGAGTCTAGTGATATGGTATCACTACAGATGGCATTCAAGGAACAAAAGGTCAAATATGAGGTGCGTCCAAGGTTCTTACATCTGTTGGCTGCTGCTCATGTGAATGTAGCTCGAAATTGAACAACTCCGCAAGCGTCTGAATGAAGTAGAGATGAAGCATGCTCGCATTACTCATGATGTATGTCTCATTATCCTAATTCTTGTATATGCGCAGTACTTACCTGATCTGTCTAGCTGAATAAAGAGATCAGCGAGCTGGAAGCGCTAGTGGAATCTAAGGTATGTTATTTCTAGACGTTAAGACTGCATGGCGTTCAATGATGCCTGCAACTGGACAGATTTATCATGAAGTAGGTTCAAGCCATTTTCATGTGATATATGATATTAATATTTTGTCAGGATGAGCTTGAGCAAGAAGTTGAACGGCTCAAAGAGAAGCTGACTCGCAAGAAATCGTCCAAGAACAGCCTTGAGCCGATGCAAGCAGGAAAGCAACGCGATTCATCGTCGACGGCCAGCATTTCCAGCATGGACAGTTTATCTGGACACACGCAACATATCCAAGTGTGCGAGATTTGCGAGAGGCCAGGCCACGATATTTTCAACTGCGACCTGCTGAAGGACGATGCGACACCCAACGGCAATTCGAAGCTCGGACAGCCACAGTTGAGCGTTACCGCAGACCCTTCTGATCTATTTTGTGTAGACTGCGAGAGTCATGGGCATATAGCGGCTGACTGTCCACATTCCATGGACGTCTTCTAATCTTTCATGTCCTCTTGAATCTGCTGATGTGTTTTCTTTGTTTGTTTCGTTGCATTCATTACCATTTTCCTTATTTTCCCTCTTATCATGTCGGTGCTATGATTTATCCATATGACCCACGTTCGCTTTATATCACAAGCGCTATGGTATCGGTATACCTTCCAGATACGATACCTTTCTTTACTATAGTTCATAACATGCCATTTCCTAAGTTACTGCCAGCGGGTAAGAATTAATTCTCACGCACGGTCCATGCAATGTTTGGATAAATAAGGAGCGGGATACCTCAACATTTTCTTGACAATGTCGACGCGTTGTGTGACAAATTTGCTGAGCAGGTACAGATCAAAACTCTAGGTAAGAATTGTTTCTTGGCTTTTATCTTGATGATTTCGTTGCCGCCCCAGTCGTAGCTTACGAGCGAAGACGAATGGTAGAGCACACAGCCAATACGTTGCATCTCTGATTTTTTTCATGTCGTTTGCTTGTTCGTTTTTGTGTCCTGACTATACTATGTTTCTAGGCTTATACTTTTTAACGATATCTGCTTTGGCTACAGCTTTGCTAGTGCAGTGCGTAGGTGAGCGGCGGTTCTTTATCCCACCTTCTGATGATTTTTTCAATCACCAACCTCCGAAGCCAATTCTGGCGATGGTGATAACCATATACAAAAACTAAGAACAGCCATCTGATTCTTTATTTTCTTTTAAATTTTATGTGATGTGTCTGCTGTATGCTCATCGACTGCTTTACTCCACCACAGGTTTTTTCTTTCTTTCTATTTCTGTGACTCATTTGTGACATGTATATTACGCACGTGACCTGCAATGCCATGACGTCTGTTCTACCTTGCAGTGACATCATGCTCTGTATCCTCTTAAGTTTGCTGTTCTCGCAGTGAGACCACATTGCAATTTCCTCCTATCAATTTGTTTACCATGTCATATGCTTCTATCGCCGCACACGACGCACCTCCCCCTTCCCAACAGGTACGGGCCCACTACCCTTACTGACACTTTTGTTCATTGACAGATTGCATTTTAGCCTCACGCTAATCCGTCGCTCCTGAACACCCATTCATCTTCTGTTGACAATATTGCAGACGACGCTAGCAAAGTCAATGTCGTGTCATCAGATTTCAGAGAAACGCCAGCTACATATACTTCCGAAAATCGCCCTCCCGAAGACTTCATTCGTGGCGAACTTCCAAGTTCATCGGGTGCGGGCAGAGGCAAGAAGAATTCACCGGGAAGTAGGCGCTTACAAGAAGCTGAAGCAGAAGGTGCCTACTTGTGGCAGCTCACCAAGCACTATCTTTTCCGGCCAGGTGTGGCTGGTGGCCTGTTGGGTCTTGGTACGTGCTTTTAAAGTCTTTCATTAGTGAATTTTTTTTTTGTTGAACTTTGACCTCTAGTAAATGTCGGTCTTTTGTCAGCTGGCGGTTACGCATTTTATACAAGACCCGACCTGCGACGTGACAGAACAGCCATCAGTTCTGCTATCGCTAGTACATTGTTATTGCTCTCTGCAGAGGGTTACGCTGCAGAGAAGCACCTTCAGACACCCATGGGAAGAGAGGAAGAGCACCGTGCGAGGCAAGAAGGCATGTTGTTCTACACCTCTGCACGAGAACACATCCTTCGTCCAGGTGTTTTGGGCGGTCTTGTTGGTCTGGGTATAGTGTTTGCTTCATGACCAAGACATGAACTTGACGTCATTTCTATAGTCAATGTGGCCGTTCTCGGTACGGTTGGTTATCTTGGTCTTATCAACTGGGACAGGCAAAGGTGGGACAGGCAGATTGTCTCTATTATCTCTGTGGGACTGCTCTCCTTGTGGGGTGCTGAAGGGTCAGTTATCTTCGTGTTCTTCTGGTTGAATTTGCTGAGCTCTTTGACAGATACCTTGCTGAACGCTTTCGAAAAGAAAAGCGATAGGAGAGCCAACGCGGGTTGTGACGAAAAAGGGAAGATTGTACACTACTTGAACTGTAATATGCAACACTGTCATAGCATTTGTGAAATTGGACTTCTAGTTCTCTTCTTCTTACTGTATCATGTGCTTATCTAATTTGAGTTGAGGACGGGTGGCTCCGGGCTCGTTTGTAACTCCGCTTGCTGACGGGTGTAGACGTCGACAAGGATATTTTGCACACTTCAGAATTCGGTGTTCAATGTTGTGCTCAGCTCTTCGCTCCTCTGTTGTCTCAGCTGGTATCGGACGACGTGCTGCGTCGTCCATAGCATTGAAATATTCCAATGCTGCATACTCGGCTGCCCTGGCAAAATCACCACAGGTTCTCAGCAAAGTTCAGACGGAACTAAACGCCATCTCTAACACCATCAAAGAGACTCCCGAGCTGAACGCCTTCGTCACGAACCCGACGCTCTCAGCAAACGACCGCAGTGCGGGTCTTGCGACGTTGTATTCTCGCGCGGAGGGCACTGGTGCCAAGAAAGAACCTATATCCGACGTCACAAAAAATTTGTTCGCGATCCTTTCGGAGAATGGCAGACTTGGAGAGACACAAGGAGTAATCGAGGGCTTCAATGAGCTCGTTGCCAAGTACAAGGGAGAGTTGACGGTCACAGTTACATCCGCTTCTCCTTTGCCCAGGGATATTTCTTCCCGGCTAGAGACTGTTCTTAAACAGTCTTCCGCTGTCCAGCAAGCCAAGTCTTTGAAAGTGACGAACAAGGTATACCGTATTTTGTTTGTTACAACGTTTCGTGTCGCTTACTTTGTTCCGCTTCAGGTCAACCCGGCTTTGTTGGGTGGAATTGTTGTTGATTTTGGTGACAAGACCATCGACCTTAGTGTTTCATCGAGGGTGAACAAACTGAACAACCTTCTGCAACGTATGTTTTCTCCTTAATATCTATGATTCTTTACCTCATATCTGCTTTAGAATCGGTATAATAGATGGCGTTAGATTGTTAGGGTAGCCCATAACCATGTATGCTGCGGATAACAATTTACCCTTTCCTCGACATATCCCGTTCGCATAGTGCATTTTTTGCAGTCCTCGTCTGCTTGGCGTGTAATCTGAAGCGTGTTTCTCGTACGTTTTTTGATGAGCACCGCTTTGAAGGCTAGGGTATTCTGGCATTGTCCGTCTTTCCACCTCCTGGTCACGTCGCCTTCGCAAGTCGTTACGACATGGTGTGTGGATTTTTATTACCACCCCACTGGGTGAACCGCGTACGTCTGGGAGAGCGATCGCAAGAGTACTAGGGTGTGAAGTAGATGCCGGGCTGCATCACATCGTGATGATCCCTGTGCCTTGTGCCTCTTCTGCTCTGCTTCAGAATGCTTATAAGGGGCTTTACACCCGACAGTTATGCCTTGTGGGACTGGATCTCACTCTTCTGGAATGTAAAGTTTTGAGAGGTGCCGTTGAGTTTTCGGGGTCTTACTAAGTGCTATGCCGTCGATATCCGACTGGTCAAGGCGCGAACAAATTCACGCGTAGATTGTTTGCAGTGCCAGCACAGCACAGTACTTTTTTCTGCTCCTTGTTCTAGTCACAGTTATAAGGCCCTCATTGAATTTCTCCTTACTGGCAATTTCTTTGCATAACCACGCCGTGTGGCCCGTGCGCACTCGTGCTTTCCTGATTTATCCTATACGCCATACTGATAAGCCACGATGCCAGCTATCGACAGTGCAACTCTCCAGACTCTCAAGGAAAATCCCATTCGCGTCCTGGTCACCGGTTTTGGTGTGAGTTTTTCTATGAAAACTTATCTTTTGCTATACTCGTATTGTACGAGCAGTGTTGACTTTACGTGTAAGCTTAGCCATTTTCTCGCTATCTTGAAAACCCATCATGGTTGGCCGTAAAACCGTTGCACAATACCGTTCTCAACATCGATGTTCCTTCTGAGCCGGTTGTGTGCGACGATCAGATCGTGTTGGAGCAGACAGATGAAGTCGGACAGATGCCTCGACAAATTCACATCACGACTCTCGAGGTACCCGTCACGTACGAGGGTGTCCTGGCCATTGCTCCCGGATTGCACGCTCGCCCTCCTGTCTTGCCTACCTCGATGGACCCTTTGTATCCTACCATCCCACCGCCAGTTGATGGCTATGATCTCATTTTTCACGTGGGTGTAGCGGGAAGAGGGCCGTTGCGGATGGAAAGGCAGGGTCACAAACTTGGCTATAATATGAAAGATTCCAAGGGTTGCCTTGCGCCTCTCGTCCGTATCGCATCAGATGACGCGAAAAGACGCCCTGCAGAGCCATCTGAGGCAGAGCGAATGGAGAGGGCGAGGTTGGGTGAGTATGCGCTGGAGACTACAACTGATGGCGGCGAGCTACCCAAGCGTGGTTTTGGGAAAGGATACGAGAACTTTCCAGAAGAAATATACACGGACATTGATGTGGAGAAACTAGTTCAACATCTTAAGAGGGAAGGAATCGAGGTTAGTCCGTTTTGTTGGGTTTTTGGCGAAACTGAGTAGCGATTTGCTGTGTTCTTTCGTAGCAGATATACACTTCGATGGACGCAGGCCATTACCTTTGTGACTTCATTTACTACTGTTCGCTGGCTGAAGGAAAGCGGTCGGGCATGAAACACGATAAGGCTTCCAAAGTCTTATTCTTGCATTGCCCGCCAGTAGGTCAGCCTCTCTGTACAGAGGAGGTAACGGACGCGATCAAACGAATTGTGGTATGGGTATGCAGTAATAGTTTATGATTTTGGGGAATATTACAATACAAAGTAAACAAAGAAAGGGAATGTGCCTCTGCTGTGCGGTTTTTTTTTTGGGAGATGTAAATTTGAAGTTAGTTTTCTGTTTTTCTATGCTATTGATACCGTTTGTACTATTCCCAGTCATCATGATTTCGACGAAATTGCGACATTTCTTTGGTGTACAGTCATCGATCACGGTCGTTCATAATTAAAATGGCCCTCGTTTCGAAAATAGTAAACGTTTGCACTCCCAGAACAATACATCCAGCCCAATATCGCCGTGTATAGAGCAGGTGCGAGTGATTTTGAAACTTAGCTCTTATCACTGGAAGCAAAATTGATAAGATCATTGGATCGACGGTATACGTACACATCCAGGTCGATAAATAACGGTACTCATGGCCACGAACATTACATTCCATGCTGGTATGTTCAGTCGTCAGAACAGAAGCAAAGATAAAAGATATTCGAGTTCTGAAGGCTTCTTTCAGGTTCTGTTGATTCAGCATCACGGACTGAGTCGCTCGGACAAAAGGGGGTGACAATATGGTTAACTGGCCTCAGTGCCAGTGGAAAGGTGAGTGCAGAACCTGATTATGATATATGCAGCTGACGTTTTGATTGCAGTCCACTATTGCGTGTGCCCTCGAGCAACATCTCCTACATCTCCACAAATTCACCTATCGTCTCGATGGCGATAATATACGCTTTGGGCTGAATAAAGATCTTGGATTCGACGAGGCATCACGGACGGAGAACATCAGGCGGATCGGAGAGGTATGGCAATGACATTTCACGATTGCATCTTTCCTGACAAATCCCAATTTTACCAGGTTTCGAAACTGTTTGCAGATTCTGCTTGTATTGCTGTCACCGCATTCATTTCCCCATATCGAGCAGATCGTCGGCTGGCCCGTGAACTCCACGATAAAGCAGGTCTCAGTTTCATCGAAGTATTCGTCGATGCTCCTCTGAGCGTTGTTGAACAACGTGATCCAAAAGGGCTGTACAAGAAGGCGCGAGCTGGAGAGATAAAAGGTTTGTCTTCCAACATTTCGAAATCTGTGGGTTGCTTAGCAGAAATGTATAGAATTCACTGGTATTTCTGCACCGTATGAAGCGCCCGAGAATGCTGAAATACACATCAAGACCGACGAATGCGATGTTGCAGAGGCTGTCCGAATTATCGTTGAATACCTTGTGAAACATCAGTTTGTTTGATGCAGATAGTGCTTAAGTAGCTTTTCACTGCCGCACAAATCTGGTTGATCAGATTGCATGGAATGAAGGAATGTATTTATGCAGTAATATACCAATAGATGCACATTATGGTATGCGATGACGGATTATGATATAAATGACGGTCCCCTGACAGATTCAAAGTAAACTGGCTGTTAGGTTCCAGAATTGACATGGCCATTGCTGTAGTTCTCTGGCGCAGAGTCCTCTTGCTCTTGCTCTTCTGCTATTGATTCCTCTTTAGATTTTTCAAGCATAGCTGTGAAGCCAACTTCTACCACAGACAACCACTGAGTAAGATCATCTACCGTTTGTGCCAGCCGTTCGAGCGTTGAATCTGGTGAGTGTATCAATGCACGATAGTCGAGCGGGTGAACAGGCGGGCCTAACCAGGTATCTATCGAGGCTGGCATAGATGAAGTACCGTTAATGTATGTATGTGAGAGAGATGATCCAGGTTTCAGCCGGAGATCAATGGATGCTGGAGATTGAATTTGGGGAAGCGAGAGGGAACTTGATGATGCTGCTGCATTTTTCGAGTAGTCAGTGAAGAAACTTTCTCCTGCAACCGAAGAACTGAGTGCGCTTGGAGAAGGGTTGAATGGGCGGCTACTATGGGTAAGAGCTGAGGGCGATGGCGGTAACAAATCAGACATGCCTAGTTGGTGTTCTGATGTTAAGGTGGGTATCTAGGCGAAGTTAGGACATAGCCAACACATGTCAGTCAATTTAAAGGCTTACCTTCACAGCATCTTTGAGTCCTGGTAATGTCAATGCCAAGTGTGTGTCACCCCGTTTACTAGAAGGACTAACGCTTCTCGCGCCCATGGCGAAGGGTTTCGTAGGGGGTAGAAGTGGGGATAACGGAGCATTTGGGGTACTTTCCATAACTGCGACTGATGCCTGCCGATTAAGACTAGGTTTCCTTACAATATTAGAGGCAGCCCCTGAATGAGCTGGAAATGAAGGAGAGTCAGGAGTGAGTACATCAGCAGAGTAGGCTCGGTTAATCGATGAAGGTAAAGGGAGAGCTCCATTAGCTGGGAAACGTCGAGGATTTGGATGAGATGAGGATGTAGTATCAAGGGAATACGTGGGCTGGTGCAAAATTTGTGGAGGTGTTGTTGTATTGGATGCGCTCACGTGGGTCGGAGATATTCTGTTATGCGATTTGTTTGAAGCAGGTTGGGGATTGGATGGCCCAGCGTTATGTGACGGATCAGATGCGGGGAAATGAAAGTCAGTAGCCACAATGGGCTTCTGGTCGTTGCGATCCGACACGGAAACATCCTGTACCTCTTCATCCCCGCTATCTGCAATCTTGGAAGATAGCTTGGACTTCGCAAATGTACGCGGAGTCGCCTTTGGCGGACCGGTGCTCCCTATATGCGGAGAGGGGAACTGAAACTCTGCTGCAGAGGTGATATGATGAGGCTCGCTCTGTCCCACAAAAGGAGTGCGTCTGTCATCTTCATCTTCAGCGTCGGTATTAGCATTACTGGTGGACATTTTAGACTTGGCACGGACACTTGTCGTCCTAGGTGGGAAGGCGAAGTTATTGTAGTTAGCCCTTTGTGTATCGTTAGTATCTTCTGGAGTGTGCGCCTTCCTAGTTGCGCTGCGGTCCCTCGCGGGCGATGGAGATGATGGTGGGGGTATAGGAGATGGACTAGGACTCGGAGCATTCATAAGCGACGGAGAAGACATGTTTGGAAGCCGAAATAATTCAGGCGGTGATATGGCTTCGTCCTCATTGAACAAACCACGGAGAGAGCTGGGCAACCTTGTAGCAGCAGGGGGACGAACAGTTGTACTGGAGTAAGGGGGTTCATCTTCTGGAACTATTATGTCTTGACTTGATGAATCGTCCTCCATGCTAAAAGTCAGTGATCGTCTTCGGACTGTATCAAATTGCCAGACGTCGTCGTCGTCGTCGTCGTAGTCTTCTGCAGCTGTGCGTTGTAGGCTGTGGTATATGCATGGTGAGAAATTTGAGTGAATGTACAGAAGAGTGACAAACTGACTCTTTCTTCTCTTCATTCTCCCAATCCAAGGGTTCCGCAAGACTGGTCCGAGAGCCACCAGTTTGTAACCACGAGTCATATCTCAAGATGAGATCCCGCAAAACAGACACGCTGGTTTTTGCTACTGACTTGATCCACTTGGTCTTGATTAACTCTTCAGCGGCAAGTCTCTGAGATAAATTCAGAAAAAATAACATATATGCGGTGTGGGAAGACGCACATCTCCAGGTAGCTCCCTCAGGCAATTAGATACGAAATCCCGCAAATCCTTGCTGGCCTCACCTTCGTTGAGGCGTGGAGGCTTGACCCTCGTGATCATGTGCATAACCTTGATAGCATCCCTCATGTCCGCATGAGGCGGTGCACCTTTGACCATTTCATAGACCATGATTCCTAGACTCCATATATCAGCTTTGCTGTCGTAGGCGGGGACTGCCTGGGCGACCTCAGGGGCCATCCAGTTAGGTGTACCCATCAGGGTGTTTCGTTTGCTCGTTGTGGTTGCAGAGAGGGCAGAAACACCGAAATCACAGATCATGACCTTGCCCGAGGCAGTGATGAGGACGTTAGCAGCTTTGATGTCTCGATGAATGATGGCAGATTTATGGAGGTAGCTGAGTCCAACGAGAACCTCGCGAACAATAATTACTATGTATCGCTCCTCAATAACGCCCTCCTTGGATGCCTGCATGAGAGTCCGTACGCTTCCACCCTGAGCAAACTCCATGACGATCCAAACGCGAGGGCCATCGAGATAGCAACCGTAATACTTTGTAACATTGGGGGCGTCTCGTAGCTGGGTCAATAAAGCGACTTCGCGCTGTATCGCCTCCACATCGTCGTCTGCGGTATCTAGATTGATGATTTTGAGGGCTACAACGTTTCCTGTGGGGATGTGTACGCCTTTGTGGACCGAACCGTAAGCGCCTTTGCCAACAGTTTCAAGACGTCTAAAAAGCTGATGAACAGAGGGCTGTGACATGTAAGAGGACGAGGACAAGGAGCTCCTGGCTTCCTTTGTGCAGAATTATAAGCCCTCAGGAAATGCCTCGTCGCTGGCTGTGTGCTGTATGTCGTGCACGGCGCCAATTAATATTGCACCTATCAGTTCAACGAGAACGGAACCGAGGCCGCGCCGAAGCCCGGCCGCTGTTATAATCGCATCGTGGTATCAACGATCCTTTCCTCTGCTCCATCATCATATTCGAATTTGAGCTATACGATTCCAGTTATCGACGCTTTATACAATATTCGCCTTATATTAAGTTGAGACGTGACTGACCTTTTACTTTTTTTCAGATTGCGTTTATTTTGTCAAGCGACCTTATCAAGTAAGTCGCCTTTTCCATGATCTACTTGCACGGATCCTCATATGCCAGTCAAACGGAACTTTACAATAATCAGTACTCTCGATTTCCTTTTTCACACTCTCACTGAATCAGGAGTTAAATGCTGGACCCCGCATTTAGTCTCTCATCCGAATATCATCCAATTTCTATTCCTGCTGCTGCCACAACCAGTACGACCATAAGCGCAACAACAAGCAATTCTGGTGCAACTTCGCTACCGTCTTTTGCAGATTTTCAGTTCCAAGTAATCGGAAAGCAGCCTGAATTGCTTTATCGATTTTCGGCACCTGATCCAAGTATAGCATACCACTCACCCACACCTCCTGTTTCGCCAGCAGTATCTCCTATCGTTACTCGTCCGCCTCTGTCTAGGCCATCCCTATTGCAGGCATTGACCTCAGAGGATTCCACTTTTGTTAGTTCTGAAAGTCAAAGTGGAAAAGGCCAAATGTCGTTACCTTCGTCGACCAATCAAAGTTCCTTCCGCACTTCTAATAATCGAACATCAAATGACTTGATTCCACCCATTGAATTCCTTCCATCTGAATCGTCTCATATGAGTATGCAGCATGCAGCAGTCCGTTCTGGTGCCCCTTTCTTGAAACTGGGCCCTCCTCCGCGGGGGCAACCAAATTATTCTTCAACGGCGTCTGAAAATAAACTATCCTCTCTACCTCCATCTACGCAATCAGCGACTACGACGTCCACTTTGGGTAGCAGTAGGCTGCCTCAACGAGGCCAAAATACAGTCTGTCAAAAACTTCCTTCGTTGGCATTTGATGCTATAACTACAACATTTACCAACGCATCGTCACAGCCCCACACGTTTTTAGTTGATCAGGCCGTACGTACCCGCAATGATTCAGATCGCAACCCATCATCCCCACATCTCGTTGGGGGCACAGATTTGTCTCGTGCACCTATCCAATCACAGGGCATGTCTATCCTGTCATCTGATAATCCATTACTTCCTGCCAACGCTGTAGTCGGAGACTTGCAACTTGCGCGAGATTTTGATGCTTTGCAAGCGCGCATACATGAAGCTAGCGCAGTGCTTGCTATGCTTGCACCTCAACCATCGGCGCCACCGCTCTTCGACGTGTTCCCTTTGTTGTCCTCTGATCATAATCGAGGTGGTCAATCGTCCTCTATCTCTATCATGCCTGCTACTTCCCGAAGTATGCATGAGGCGCAAGTTAATACCGAAGATAATAGTAAAGCACTGATCACCCAGAATCTCACTCTCGTTCACACGCTGCAAACAAATGCCAATGTTTTACTGCAGACTGCTCAGACGTTGTGCTCGGGGCTTCGAACTGCAGAGGTGCAAACTCAAGCAGTCCTTGCGCTTGTGGAGAAAGAGCACTCACGAAATGAAGAAAGTCGTGCAGCTGAAGAAGAGGCGAAGAGGGACAGGGAGGAAGATGTGCGTCGCTTTTCCGCATGGCGCGATGAAGTTCTAGAGTGGTACAGAACGGCAGAGGATTGGCGTCGAATTATGGAGGAGAAAGTTAACAGGGCAGTGATCGATAGCCAAGATGTGCGCGCCGCGCTGGATCGTATGAAAGAACAGGATAAAGCGAGAGAAGAACAAATGCGGCTGGAGGAGGCCATAGCGGAAGATGAACGTCAGAGGGTAGCACAAATGACTGCGGCAAATATAGAACAAGCTGCACGGGAAGAAGCCGAGAAGACTCAACGCGAGCAACAGGAAAGTCAAGCCCGTGCCCGTGAACTAGAGTCTCAGAGGGAGTCGGAGAAGCAGGAGCAGTTCAAGAAACAACATGCTGAGGTCATGGCAATGAAACAACAAGCCAGTATGAGGAATGCGGCGAAGATACGTGCGGACAGGGAGAGGGATAATGCACGACTTCTAGCTAGGGTTGGTGGCGTCACAGAGGCTCAATCTGTCACAGTTACTCGTGCCATGCGCAGTACAGAACGGCCTTCAGCATCAGACTCTAATTCCTCTGATTCTCGGCAGCCAAGTGCAGCGGGGTCGGCGGTGACATCATCTCAGATACAAGTAAAAGCGAGGGTAAAGGGACGCAATACGTCACTTTCGGGAGAAAACGAGATTTCCGAGCTAAAGGAGTGCGGAGACACCAATACGGCAAAAGTAGGCGTCAATGTACGACTTACCTCCGTAACACCGAGCGTTCATTCCTCTTCAAGTGGCGCATCTGGAGGTAGAGACGCACCTAATGTCTCCGCAGCAAATTTGGGCCCGTCCTTCGTCCCTGCTACGACCGAGGCAGGTCGTCAAGTTGTTACGGAAATGCCCTTCAGTTCGATTACGCTGGCATCTGAGAAAAACTCAAAGGCAACCGGAGGGCTCATGACTCCATCGCCTCCTATAGATAATCGTCACTTGGCAACCTCGCAAAATTATATTGCCGCATCTTCCAGTACATCTCCACATATGTCGACGTTTCGTGAAGCAACTGATTATAGTGAGCATGGAGTCAATTCTGCTGCGCATATCAATCGCGTCGAACAAAACGCAAATCTGCGCCACTTGAGAGCGGTAGTGCCACGAGTGGATGAGAGTGGAAGCGGTGATCGTAGTGTCAAAACTAGGGCGAGTGTGGAGAAGATTCAGAAGAAGTCCTCCAACATATTGATAGTCAAAAAAGAAGATGACGGAGATAGCAAGCCCTTTGATGAAGGTTCTAAGAATGTCAATAATCTGGCGCATGAAAACGCAGTCTTAGCAACGGCGCCAAGTGCTGATGATCTGTCTGTTAATCGTGCAGACAAATTGGAGCCATATGTTGAAGCTAGTGGTTCTATCACCGAAGTCAATGCAGTGATACCTCCGAAGTCGAGACCCAAACCTCTCATATATGGCAATTCGGTGAATCCCTCCCGAGCACAGGCTGAAAACGACATCATTACCACGGGAGATTTAACTTTCATGCCAGGTCAATCTTCGCCTGACAACCACGCGCAAAGCCTTGGTTATAGTACCGTGCATGTTTCAGATCAAGCTCAATCAGGACCAGTCGTTAACACTTCTATACGTCCTCATCACATACAACCAACTCCAGTTGTGATTCCTCACACTGTCGAGAACCAGCCTGATGCAAGTGTCTCAGTTATGCACCTGAGGGGTGCCCCCAATCAAGCGGGTGGCTCCTCAGAAAAGCTTGCCGATAACTACACAGCTCGGCAAGGCGTAGAAAGGACGCCAGAGACCCCTGTGTCTGTGGGGGGCTCTGACGTGTATAGTGCAGGTGTCGCTTATTTCAATGCTGATGAAGTGCAAGATTGTGACCGAGATCAGACGAGTAACTTGCGGGGTGATGGCGAGAACGAGCAGCACTATAATACGCAAGATGGTTGGGCATCTCAACGACGATCCAGTTGTTATTCCCCAAGCGATCATTCACCTCCGCCTCCAGCAACCTCCCATGAATTCAACAATCGCAACGACCGTTATCCACAACATTCTCCTGCATTACATTCGCCTCCCTTAGAGCACCATCCTTTGCCAATGGTTGGAAGGAAAAGGGCGCGTGACTCTGATGAATGGTTTGGAACCGAGACTAGCTATAGGCCACGCAGGCTTCGGCCCGATGAATCAGATCGTAATATAGAAAGGGGTTGGAGGGGCGAGCGGCCACCGTCCCCTAGATGGCATCCTCCAGCTGCTACTCGTAGACGTTCACCTACTCCAGAGTGGCGGCGGCGGCATGACGACGAGCAGCATTTCAGGCGCTCACCTTCTCCTGGCCGGCAAAGGGTGATTTACAGACGACAAGTTTCACCGATATCACCTCACCGAGCTGATGCATTTCCTCCTCATCCAAGGATAACGCGTCCTGAGGGAGCCAGTAGAATCCCACCGAAAGCATCATCTAGCTATAGACCATCATATCAAGATAATGAGGACATGGGTTTTAGTGAGACAAGGGATCCTCGTGTCAGGTTACAAGAAAAGGGTGGTTGGACTTCTGAAACGCAGACTTATACACCTCGCTATCGTCAAGATACTGAAGATATCGTTGAATCATTGCCACCGCATGATGATGACCTGGGCGGTGACCACGCATCGTTGTTGTCCCGTATGAGTGACACACAGCAGCCTCTACAAGTAGGGCCATCTCGGAGTACAGTAGTTATAAGTAATGCTGACGTTTCTGTACAGACTTTCACACATCAACGAGGTACCGCTAACAGAGGCAGGGGACGTGGACGTTTATCGCTTATGTCCAGGTTATCGAGTGGTATAGCACCTCTGCAGGAACGTCTTTCGGGGTAGTTCTCATCCTCATTTTCTTTTGCAGTCGAAGCTACGAATGATGCAAGGACATTTTAACTTGCTCCATAACACATGTTTCAAAGTGCCGCTTCCTAATAATTTACTTCATGTAACATAACTGTGAATGTGAATGTCATTACATTAAACCAATTGCTGTGATTACGTGATACGCAATAGCACTGCATTTCCGGTGTATTCATCGCTAGCAGTCAGTATCCCCGTGTACAATAGAACTGCGACAATACAAGCTCGTTGAATATCCATCTTCCTAGTATACTGTATTTCTGAGAAATCTTGTGATATGAGTTGGTCCGGGTACGCATTTTAGCCACATCCACAATGCTAATTATGTACTAACGCCATCGAAACAGATTCAAGAAGGGCGTAAACAGAGCGGGTACAACGGTATGCAGCTACACTCTGGCTTTGGCATCAAGGCGTATATACTCCCCATACTCACCCATACGTGACAACCGTTCAGCTGCTACAAAAAACTGGTCAAATTGAACGTACTGTGGATAGGGAGTTTGCAGATGAAGAGTCCAAGTACAGAGCGTATGTTTCTTTGGATCATAGTGCACGTGCGAATGAGTAACTCACAGTATATCGCAAGGTATGAGAAGGAATGCCAAGTTCTTCAGAAGGACAGCAAGATCTATGGTGATTCCATGCGAGGTCTGTAACGTCTTGCACCTGAGAATCCTGAATCTAACTGGAACCTTGCCATCACTGCACCGTTCACAGCCATGACTGCTGCTCAGGTACGCATAGCAGAAACCATCGAGACGTTTTATGGTGCCGCAGATAAAACATCTGATGGTGCCATGGCTGGTCACGCTTTCAAAAGCGCCATAGAGGATCTGGATGGTGGTATTCAAAGAGAACTTGTGCGTATTATATCTACTGATATAAATCTACACCCCGGTCTGATCGCGTCGTGACCAGGATGCACCTTATAGAACTACTATAATGGAGCCGCTGGGCAAAATGAATGCTTACTTCCCGGTTATAAACGAGCATATATCCAAACGGAACAAGAAGGTAACTCGAAATGTCGTTGTGGTAGTTGTTTGTGATTAAGCAATGTTTTTCTTTGTCAGCTACTGGATTACGATGCCTCTAGGAGTAAGCTACGGAAAGTCATCGATAAGCCGAGTGAAGATCCCACCAAGCTGCCCAAGGTAATATAGTTCATGCCATACTTTCGCTTCAGCGCATTGCTCACGTTCTCGGTACGACAAGGCTCAACAAGAACACGATGATGCCAAGGAGGTTTTCGATATGCTCAACGAACAGCTTATCACCGAACTCCCTCAGCTGCTCGATCTCCGCGTTCCTTTCTTTGATCCGAGCTTTGAGGCCATGATACGCATGCAGTGCAAATTTGCTGAGGAAGGCTACGAGAAGATGAGTGCCGTACAGAGGTATGTGAAAGTGGCTCTCGCAAGCAGTGTTCGAGTGTTTTTTTTTTACCTGAACGATGGCCTTTTAGATACTTTGCAGATAACATCAGAGACGATTACGCCGCTGGACAGTTGGATGCACAGGTGGGCGATATATTCCACCAGTATCTCTTTTTTTTACTTATGCTGGTGGATACAACTAGGTGGAAGGAATCCTCGAAGAAATGAGGGAGCTTTCAATATGCGGTGCGAATTAAAGGACGATCGTGTGATGACTGGGCGTTGTAGGAGTGAGAGAGCATCGTGGTGTCTTCGTGTTGTATAATTACTTTCAGTACATGGCAGTATTACTATTCTTACAATTCCAGATATACCTGCCAAAGAAGCTTTCTTTAAAAAAAAACTGCGAGGAAGGTTACAACTAAACTTGAATGTTTTTCGACCAGAAAAGACTAGCGACGGAAGCAAACATAACATGATATACAAACGAGGGGGATTAATAGTGAAATTAAAAGCGTAAGACATTCATGAGGGGAAGATGGAATAGATGTATACATGTCAAGAAAGGTGGAAACGAGAAATAGTGGTAACTTTTTGTTTTTGTGTTTTCTTTGTATTATCATACAAGAATCTAATCCTGCCCAGGAACGAAAGAAAAGATGCAACGTAAAGCGATAAATGGCACAATGCAACATGAGATATGCACGAGGGGGGAAAAGAGAATGGTTCCAACCAAAAAGAAAAGAAACATTGGAAAGATAAATAATGAGGAAGATGCTACAAGAAAAAGTGCCAGATACAAAAAATAGCAAAGTGATGGAAATATGACCATATAGCGAGGCTAGAGAAAAGAGTAAAAACAAGAAAAACCATTTTATTCAAGGTCCAAAACTCGTCAAAGCCAGACAACCCAACCACACCATCTCTACCGCAGCCCTCCCGATTGGGGTCAACAACACATCTGACTCCTCCTCTTCATTTTCAGGAGGAGGCACATCAGGCGTCAACGTCTCGGAAGCGGGAGGCGGCATGCACAGACCCAACTTGCCGAGGCCCTCGGGCACGAATTCAAAACCTTTATCCCGACTAGAACTGTGGCTGATAACCGTATCGTCGATATGATCCTGCCGAAGTGCTGGTGATGGGAGATAGGACATGGCTTCCCATATCGCGCCCGTTACCGACAAACCCTCGCTCGGAACTCGGACGCCCGATCCACGAAGCTCGCCGTACGCTACGAGTCGAGCGCAGACGCGGAAGGAGGTCAGGAGGACGTACTTGCGCTCCGCCATGTCGATCGTGCCCTCTGATGTTGACTGCGACTTTGACTTCTTCTTGGACGTCGAAGGCTCAGGATCTTTCCCTTTATTACGCCCGTCGAATGGGACGTAGTACACGAGCAGATACTGGCGATCGTCAACGGCAGGAGCTGAAGGCGGGGCCCCCGTATTCTGCGCCATCGTCCTCGAATCTGTATCCCTAGGCCACAGCGGAAGCAGCATATACAAACTGTCATCCGGAACCTGTTCAAAGATGTCCCTCGTCGTCCTCTGCTTCGTTTTAGCCTTTGACACTGTCATCTGCTTTGCCTTGTTCTGGTGCAGCAAGCCAACGTCTTTGAAAGACTCGTTGAGGCCTTGCATTAGCCGCTCGTTGCCTTCTTGCACAGGGGCGGGCGCCGTCGTGATCCACGGTGGGGAGTATGCATTTTCAATCGAAGCAGAAGATGGACCGAGTGCATGATCGGCGTGCCTACTAGACGAACTACTCCGCCAAAATCCTTTGAAAATCCCAAACGGACCACCCGAGTCAGTGTTGTTAGACCGAGAAGGGGGTTTGGAATGGAAATGGGAAACATCGTTCGGATCAAGCGTTGCAAACGCCTCTGCATGGGGCGTGCGCGTTACGAGGGGCTCGTCTAGGTCTATAGAGTCGCGATGGCCACGACGAGGGTGGTGCTGATGATACCCGCGAATCGAGAAAGCCTGCTCCTTCTCCAACGACATTGGCAAAGGTTCGACGGGAGAGACAGGCCGACTGCCAACAGACCTCCGTCTTCCCACCGTTGTCGAGGCCGAGAGTGTGGGCGACAATGTCACTTTGGATGTCGACGCCCTCGCAGGGGCAGAAACAATCTGATCAGACTTGATGTTCACACTGTCCATACTGCTGGTCTGACTCGTAGCAGTCGCGCTAGAATCTGCGCCCTCCGTCTGCTTGTTCTGTTTTCCCTTCTTCTTGTTCGCCTTCTTCTCAGCTTTTGCAGCCTCCTTTGCTTTTGCAGCCTCCTTTGCTTTTGCAGCCTCCTTTGCTTTTGCAGCCTCCTCCTTCTCCTTTGCGCGCTTGATGTCCTTCTCGCGTTGTTCCCGCTCGCGGAAGGAGAGACTGTGGTTGGTTGGCCGGGCCGTCCGGTCTGAGCCTGATTTGGAAGATGCATTGTCGAGGAAGCCATGCGTGTTCAGTTTGCCCGTCGTCTTCGTACTCGTGTATTGCTCCTGCACTCTCTTAGGCGCAAGCATAATGCCACCGCTGCTCGACATGTGGGGACTCCTAGAGGTATTGCGACGCCCGGCACCCGAATTGAAGAGATCGTAGGAACGGAAGATCGAGAACGCGATCGCCCTCGAGTGTTTGTGTATGACGCCGCTCGGACCACCGCGGATGTTTCCCTTGGAGTACGGATCGTGAATATGCCGCACATTGATGCGTTGCTGCGGAGCCTTGCCAGGGTCTGCAGAAGTAGCTACAATGAACGAGACATTGTCAACGGCTGCATTTATTAAGAATCATAATATTATAAAAGGGATCGAAGAGGGGGGACCTACGTCTGAGAGCCAATCGGTCAACTTTGAACCGCCCGATATACTCGTTCCTCCACAGCTCTTGTGCACCGGGGAGCATCGATTTTTTGGCCTTGTCTGCGGCTGCGGAGGTCTGGACGACGATGGCGACGCTTGCGCGGCCTCCAGAACGTACGGATGAACTGGCACTTATGCCGAGGCCGTCTGCCTTTTCCTTCCTGAAGCACCACTTTCCGTAATTCCCGTCGACGCTCTTCACCATCCCCGTGAACGTATCATCGCCGCTTCCAAGCGTGGCCGTGCTCGTCCTACGCCCCGTGTACCATGGTGTAAGACTAGAAAAGACGGAGGCGGAGGGCTGGCCTTGGTGAGACCTTCGTGCTGGCTGTACATACGACAGCGTTGAGGAGCGACGAGAGCCTATGCTACCGCCGTCTGAATTTCTAGAAAGAATATAGGTGAGATTAAGACCGTCGTAAACGTTTTCAGAAACGTTTTGTTGTTGCTGTTGATGTTCCTGAGCATGAACCTGAGCCTCTAAGGTGCGCCAGTCGCCGCGGCTGAGAGGCTCGCTCTTTGGGGTGACGGCGTCAGGATCGCCGTTTGAGCTGATGAGAAGATGAGCACTTCCGACGTCATCGTCGAGGCTGCGACTGGGCCTGCGAAGGGTCAGAATGCTATCATCGCGACTGCGTACGCTGGCGCCATCACCAGAGATGGCACCTGGGATGGCCATGGGAAGACTGCCCCTTCTTCCAGCTGCGATGGCATGATGAAAGAAAGGGGTGGGAGAGCCCATATCGTATTCATCAATATCTGCCAGATCGTCGCGGGCAAAGATGACGGGAGATGGGATATTTTCGCCATAGGCCATGTCTTCCTCGTCACTAAACTCGTATTTGGATCGAAAGCTGGAGGGAGAGCTTGATCTGGAGCTGGCGAGGGATGCGGAGGACGAAGGAGCTGCGTCGCGACGGATGTGGCCAAAGGTGTGTTGCGATGCAGCGTCCGATTGGAACCTGCCGCGGAGAGCACTGATGGAGACATCAGAGCTGTGGATGGGATCTTCGCTGTCTTCATCGTCTGTCTCGACAGGAGGACGCGGTCTGCGATGGACAGCTGGCGGACTTCTGTTGCGGGCGTGGGGAGACGCGGGCTGAGACGGAGAGGAAGAGGGGATTGAAGCTGGGCGTCCTGGACCCTGCGGTGGATGACTGCTGATAGAACGAAAAGAGGGAGAGGCGAGAGAAGGGCGGGGGGTGCGATCTGCATTGGATTGAGGAAGGATGGGGGTGAGGGGGCTGATGGACTCGATAGGGTCCGAGGTCGAGGATGGTGCGTTGCCAAAGGTAAAGGTGGCTAGATTCGAATAGAGGTTTTCGTGGGTTGTGAAGGGATTTGGGAGTGAAGTGGGGAGAGTATGTAGAGAAGAGGTGGGCGGGCGTGTGAGGTGTATGGCTGGGAGGGGACTGGGGAGAGTGAGCGGGGAGCGGGAAGAGGAGAGGAGACTCACGTCTTGTTCTGTGCTGCAGCGAGTGCGGCGAGATCGTGTTCGTTGTTCAGAATGCGTGGATCGACAATGTGGTTTCCGACTGGAGACGCCATGGGAGAACGAAAGACGGGCACTGCGGTTCTTGACGACCAGCTCTTAGCACCTCATCCACTACAACACAATATGTCGTCTATGTCCTCGACAGCGACAACGACAGCGATGGGCGGGCTCGTCTGCTTTCTCTTTTTTTCTTGTTTTTCTGTTTTTAAATGTTGGTGGATTGCAAGCTTTCTCTGTCACACTCGTCCCCGCCGTCGTCGTCACGTGCCAGCCCTTATGCCCTCTTTGGCTCTCGTCTCGCTTAGCCTCCCAACGTTATTCTCCCCTCGGCCCCGCCTCCTTCATCATGAAACCATCAGCCTAGCTTCACATCCTTTGGCACCGCCAATGCACTCCCACTCCACCATCATCATCCTCAGCACCCACCTCCTGGCGCACAACAACCCGAATACCATCAATCTCGCGCACCCTTCCGATCTCCCCATCGCTCGGCCAGGGACGCCCAGTCAGCATCCCCCGATTCGCTTACCCGGCGTAAAATATCCGCTCACTCAGCATCTGACCGCCCTCTACGTCCCTCTTCTCCATCCGGCCCCTGGTAGCCTCACTACTATCTCGTCCACCACTTCCTCCACCACTTTTCTGCACTTTCTCAGGCTTTTCTCGCCGGTATCATCACACGCCCACCGGTCTTTTAATTCACACTCCCATCTCGACATGTTTTAAATTCCCACTGCTCTTTTACCCCAACAGCGACGACCAGAGGTTTGGCTCAGATCAATTTTGAGACATTTTTGCGTTCAATTCGCACTCCCGTACGTCATTACACAATGAATGGCGCTCATTTACCTCATGACGTCATCGGCCTGGTGGCGTAGTTGGTTATCGCATCTGTCTAACACACAGAAGGTCCCCTGTTCGAGCCAGGGTTAGGTCAATTTTTTCCCTCCTCTTTCCTCCTTGGTAAATTCCATGGCTCTCTGGGGAGGATAGATACACAATATATACTGTTGTTGGATACATTTTGGCATTAGTATATGTGTTGGTAATTGTGCTCTACAAGTGTAAAATGTTGGTGTTACCTACACTGCCAAAAGAAGGTGGCAACCAGTTGACACAAGGTGCTTGACCAGCTAATATCAGCCACAATATCCTGTCTAAATCTAAAAGATACTGTGATTAATTTTATTATTATCATATCTGGCAGGCCCAAGGTTACTTTTGCAGTGATAGCCCAAGCACATTTTAAACTCCAACCACTATAAAAGGCAGTTAACCATGAGGTAGATTTACAGATGAGAACTAGAACTATTACATTTTTTGGCCAGACCAAGTCTATTTTTGAAAGCAGGCCAGAGTTTTGTAAATGCAAATCAGACTATTATTGCTATTTGTACCAAAAATGGCCATGGGTTGAATACACCAAAATTGTTGCTTTGTTTATGGCAAACTGGTAGGATGATTGAACATTAGTAGCTCATCAACAGCGTTAACTTGTGGGTTGGTATCAACAAAGATTCCTCAGGTGAGTTGGCTATAGGGGACTATGCCAGAAACATGTAGATTGTTGATAATGTTTGCTGTCAAATACAGGAGCAGAACAGCAGTTAAATATTGAGCCTGGCAGTGGCTCAATCAAAAATCTCTCTTAAAAATGTGGTACATCCAATCTGTATTTCTTGTTTCCATGCTATTGATGGTCTTCTGGAGGGCACTGACTTGGAGTAGTTGACTAGTCATTGATTCTCAAGCCTGGCTATCCTAGCAGTCTCTTTTAACGGTGTGGTCCAAACCATTCACTGAGGACTTACAATAGGTCCTTATCCACATGCACTTTGAACATGGCCTATCAATTGGTGAGATAGCAACAAAAATAGAACTTAAAGAACACACCATCTGAAAGACTGTGCAACTTTACTGTGGGACTACCTTGCCTCATACTGAAAAGGCTCCACAGGCCCAGAAGCTTGACAACCATGATGCAGAAGTAGGTTGCTGGCTATGTGTATACAGGTTGCTAGTACTCATTTTCACCGGTATGTGGAAGCTTGTATTGAACAAGCACCAGATATTTTTCTTGACAAGCTCAGGCAATGAATGCAAGATACTATTGGCAAAGATATCTGTTATGAACTGTATTTACTAAGGACTTTATTCTCTTTTCTTACGTAGCTACATACCGCTACTTACCAACCTATTCCCACATACCATTACCTATTACAGTACCACCCGTCCCTGTTTGTTCAACACAAATGCCTACCCTAAAATAGGGACTATATATACACACCTGTATTGTAGTTACCATCTCCAATACAATTGTACGCTTCAACAGTGTAACTTGGTATTCATCAGTTAAAACCTCATCATCAGAATATGTCTCAAACCCGTTCCAAACAGGCTTATCAGAAACCATTTGCACTTCCAGAAACCCAGTGTTACCAGGCTTGCACATTAAGTGTAACAATGTCTCTTTTTATATGATCTGGGATTTACTTAAGAAGAAGAAAAAAGGATTCACCATAAAGAAAGTGTGGTTTTCTCTACATTCCCTTGGTGTCTGGTAGAATGATTATATAACAATACCCAAAGTTTGTAGACTCTGATGCACATACAGTAACTCAAGGAGTAGTGATAAAGGGAGGGTAGAGTTGGCAGACTCAAGATAGTAGGAACAAGTTCATTGTTGGTATATAATATATAACAGGACAACTTACTGAGGAGCCTCTATCTATTGCAAGGGTATATATACCTAGTTGGCGCACCTGGCGCTGCTGGTTGTTGTTTTATTGGGTGGCCTGCACCCTGTTTTTGCAGTCTTGGGACATGCACCCCTCTTGGATGCAACTGTAGCAGCTCCCCTTGGATCTGTGCATCTGCCCTCCCTGGACTGCGCTGGTATACATAGGGGCCCCCTGCCCCGCATTAGGAAAAACACTTTGGCTATATAGACTCTGATAGCACTATAGTTGCAAATATAGCTGTCATAGTGATCATAGCTGCAATAGAAACCATCCATTCAGGAACAATGTGCTCTTATAGTACTCTTATAGTTGGCTATAGCTTCTTATAGCACTTATAGCATATGGCTGACTATATAAGCTATGAGAGAGTTGGTGGCTGATTTGAAAAAAAATAATCACACACACACTTCAGTCACCCTCCAAATGGGGGCATCTAGGTTGAACATTGTGTGTAAAACTATCAACCTAAATGCCTGTTTTTTTGGGCAGATCCCAGGACTTGGGATGGTCCCCACGTAATTTACATCTGGGCAAATCTCATCCCTGTGGGATCATCCCAGGGGATTATCCCACAGAAATGTCACATGTCACAAGATGTCAGGGGGGCCAATAACAGAAAAAGTGGCTTTTCCCAGATCAGCAATACCAATAGATCACTAATTGGAAATTGATGCTTGAGCACTAAACAATGACAAGTAGTAGTATGACTTGTAATGAGGAAATAGGTACCTGGAGAAATATGAATATTGTTTGAACAATGAACAACTGGAAGATAATGAATACTGTACCATTCTGACCTTAGATTACTTTGTGGCTCAGCTGTGAGCAAGAACCTCAGATCAATATGTCAAGCATTTGGTTTGGTTTGTTATGGCAGTTGTGCTGTGTCAAACCTAAAGGTTGAAATAGTACAATAATTCATATGTACGTCTGAATGAAAATCCATTATACAGAACTACCTAATCACAAGTCAGCCATGTGAGAAAAAGCTAGCATCAGAGCAAAAGCTACATATTTGCATTTCACTGGTTGAGGCTGGCTCAATATCATGGGTATGTAAGTGGCCCAATGAATGTTCAGTTTTTAGAGGTGTGCTAGGGTCCCATGTATCAAGAAGTAGGGATAGTAAATGACAAATGGTTTGTTGTTGAAAATTTGAATAGATGATCTGAGAACATGGTATATTGTTCTCACCTGAAATATGGAATAAGTTTGGTGTGAGCGAATAAGGTTGAAGCCTTAAAGCAGTGAGATAGTGAGGAGATCTAGATAGTTGTTGTGGTTTGGTTGATGACCAAAGATTTGATTGACAACCATAAATTACATTTTCTTGATAGATGTATATTAGATGCCTGTGATATCTGCAATTTAGTTAATGCTGTACTTGGGTGCTAATCAGCAGCATAAAAACTTGTGGTACTTATTTTGTAATGTATGGTAATCTATATACTACATCTGTGCATGTTTTAGGAGGATCTTATCAGTGTGTGAGAATGTGGAACTATCTCCAAGCCTGCATAAGGATATCCCCGAGCTAGAGGCAGATTCCAAGAGTATTTGGGATAATCCGAAAGCTAGGAATTGTCCTTGGCTGAGGGGCAGATCTATAACGCTGTCAATGATGAGAACTGTAGTTAGAAAACCACACACAAAACAAACTAACACACAATCCTCCCAGATTCCACAGAACTTGTGTATGGGCTTTGCTTCCTAGAACAGTGGAGTGGTCTGGTTGTTTGTGGGGTGGTACGTATGACAATCCTTCAAAGTCAAACCCAAGGATGTATGGGTGTGGGTTTTGAGGAGGAGGGATAGTTGAATTATAGAGGATAGGGGCTTAGTGACGAGTATGGACAAGCACTACCTTGCTAATTGTAGCACAAGGTAGGTTTGAGAACGACAAGATGATGGTGTGACAAGGTTCCCAGTGATAGCAGGCTCCTGACGCACAGACTGTAGTGCTCAGAAGGACTATAATTGAAAGGGATAATAATGACTTTGGAAGTGACGAGTGACAATGACAGCAGTTAACAGCAGTAGCAGTGGGAAGTGTTGTGACCACACTGGATCACAAGTAGCAGAGAGTGATAAAATTGGATAATGACCAGACCAGGGATTGAACCTGGAACCTTCTGGATACATGCCAGCTGCTCTACCAATTGAGCTATATGGCCAAGGTTATACAATGTAGGATTTTAAACATGATATGCAACCACGGACATCTTACACAGAATAGCTGCTGCATACTGGGCTGGCTTACAAATCAGAGGTAATATCCTATGGAGTATTGGTATGTCAGAGTATATTCTAACAGAGAGTAGTGAACTTGAGATTAGAGAAGAAGTCTGGATTGGAGTTCTTGTTGTTTTTTTTACAAGGTAAAATACAGGGGTTTATATAGTAAAAGAAAGGGAGGCTATGCACAGTATAGCTGTGCAAAAAGAATGAGAAAGAACATGAAGGAAGGAATGTATGCTGACAAATCCTGCATAGGTAGTATAGGATAAGATTGTCAAAATAAGGAAAAGAAAGAGATAGAACAATAAATGCTGTGTAAGTAATGTCACAGGTTTGTACAGCCATAAAATAAAGTCCAAAAACAGAAAAAAAGCAAGAAAATCATAGAGTCATGGGAAGATGCAGTAAAAAGAGGATGAAGAAAAACAATATCAGTATCAACACAGTTCCTTTATTGTCAGTCAGGCATTCTAAAAAAATATGTGTCCATAAAAATGATTCAAAAATCAAAAATAATTGCACTGTAAATGAATGTTCTGCTGAAAAAAAAGAAACTGGAGCCACCGGTCCACCACCTAGTCCAAATCCGACAGTTCCATGGCCTTACCAATGGACTGGTTGCGTTGGACCACCTGATCAAACAAGGGACGGAGAGGAGTAGTTCCAATTTGGAACAAGTGAGTCCCAGGCAGCGTGTGGTAGCTGTAGCTGTAGCGAAGACGATGGACAAAAGATAAGTGTACCCAAGTGAATGGGACAGCGATGAACATGGGCAACGCAAGGGGATGAACCTTCTCCAGCTCAAAAACTACCCACCCACGCTCCAACCAGGCAAGATGAGCGACCAATGTTTTGATAGTATATGATGGCAGATTGATGTCATGAAGATGGACCTGTTGCCCTATTTGGACCAGCCGCCGGGGCTTTGCTGATATTAGCAGTGGCACGTGGTAGTCAACGGATCGGCGACGGAAGCGGATAGGAAGTGGTAATATCAGAAATGGTGGGGGTGCAAATAAAATGAGGAGGAGGAGGGTGGAGGTGACGAAAAAGTGGATTAGAATGGGGATCCAGAAATGACCGTCAGGTGAGAATAAAAAGGAGAGGAAGGGGCCCATGGTGGGGCTAGGCAAAGGAAGGGGAGTAAGGGAAACAACAAAAGCGAGGGCGCAATGCAATGTGTAGCCAGTGGCGACGCAAAAATTTGCCAAAATGCCGAAATGCGGAAAGTACCGAATGGAAAAGCAAAGGTGAGCATGACTGGATTGCCTAATAGAGGTGGTGCTGATCAGCCACAAGTTCGAAAAAGGCAATATTAATTACTATTCCACATGGCACTGTGCCTGTGTGGCGCAAAGGCAAGTCTTTTTGAATATTTGCTTTGTTATTGACACCTGTCCATGCTACCAATCAACTTTGGTGCATGACACCGGCCGCCAGGGCTTTGCTGATATCAGCAGCGGCACGTGGTGGTCAACGGATCAGCGACGGAAACGGATAGAAAGTGGTGACATCAGATATGGTGGGGGAGCAAAGAAGATGAGGAGGAGGAGGGTGGAGGTGACAAGGAGGTGAACCAGAATAGGGATCCAGAAGCGACTGTTGGGTGAGAATAAAAAAGAGAGTAAGGGTCCCATGGTGGGACTGAGTAAAGAAAAAAAAGGTAAGGGAGGGCGACAAAAGTGAGGGCGCAATGTGTAGCCAGTGGCAACGCAAAAATTTGCCAAAATGCCAAAATGCGGAAAGTACTGAATGGAAAAGAAAAGGTGAACACGACTGGATTGCCTAATAGAGGTGGTACTGATCAGCCACAAATTCAAAAAAGACAATATTAATTACTATTCCACGTGGCACTGTGCCTGTGTGGCGCAAAGGCGAGTTTTTTTGAATATTCGCTTCATTCTTGACACCTGTCCATGCTACCAATCAACTTTGGTGCATGACAACGCCTTTACTTATACCGAACTAATGGAGTGAAAGACGTTGAATCTATAGCAGGTAGTTGATCTAGTTTATTTAGAGGAATTCGAAAGCTGAAGTATGTACAGTGAAAACTAGCTACTTATATATGTAAAGGAATGTGTCAGCCTTGAGGCGCTGACTGAGAAACATGAGGATATGGCATGTATGATGAGTGAGGTAGTCATGTGACTTAAGGTCACGTGATGAGATAAGATAAATACTACTATGTGATTAGATATGGTGATATTAGTGTTTCTATATCGGATTTGGAGAGATAAGATGAGGTTTTAGGTTGCGGAGTTTTGGATTGTGACATTACCCCCCCTTTAGGACTTTTGTCTCGAAAGGTAGGGTTGAGTTTGCCGTTTTCCCAGTTGAATAGTCTACAATTGTATGATGGTTGGGTGAGATTTTCGAAGGGTTGAAAATGTAATGCAAAATTGATTCATCGGGGTGCCGCCGGACAGTGGTCATGGAAGTCTTTGATCAGATCTGGAGAGTTTTTAACATTACTCTCGGATTCCCATGTTTGCTCTTCCTTTCCATAGCCCTTCCAATGAACCAGGTACTCTAACTTGCCACATTTCAATCGTGAGTCAAGTATTTGTTCCACTTCATATTCTCTTTTCCCATCCACTTCTGCAGGTGGCGGTGGCTTTGGTTTTTTCTGTCCTGGGAATGTCGGTTCTTTATAAGGGTGTAGAAGCTTTTTCTTAAAGACCGGATAGACATTTTTCCATTTCCCAGGCAGTTTGAGCTTATAGGCTGCCAGTCCGGTCTTTTTCTCGACTACGAAAGGTCCATGTTGTTTGTCGTCTAGCTTCTTGGATGGTCGGTTGGTAGTAATATGTTCTGCTTCGACGTATACATTATCCCCAGGTTGGTATTCCACACTGTCCCTTTTGTTTTTATTGTACATGATCTCGGCTGCCTTTACCAGAGATTTCTCTGCATTCTGTTGCACCTCTTTTATTCTCTCTACAAACTCCTCTGCACTTTCACTTTTCACTGCTTTATTGACTCCTGTAACCACCTTTGAGTGTTGTCCGTAATTTAAATAAAATGGGCTATATCCAGTAGCCGAATGTTCTTTATTATAAGAGAACTCTGCTAAGGGTAGCCATTCTACCCAATCATCCTGTTTATGATTCTCCCAGATGCCTTCAGCATCTTACACCAGTTTCATCTGGTGTCCAACTAGTAGTGTTTTTGTAAAGTCACACCAGTCACACACTGCCAAAATATCATGTTTTGGGTTCTGGGAACTTAATCGTTACGCTGTGGTGCTGGCCTGCACCTACAGTCCGAACTGACCACCAGCGACAGTATGGCGAAATTGGGGGGAGGCAAGCTCCTAATTACTGTGATATACTCAGCCATGAATAAAAAAGAACGTAATCACAAAATCAGTCTGTCTACTTCTGCTCTAAATAGTATCACATAGGACTTCCCCCACGTCTCCTTAGCTCGTCTTCCCCATCATTACTGTCAACATCGACCGAACGCGAGCGAATAGGTTGCGCCAGTACCGGCTGCGAAAAGTGTTCGCGGAGACGATCTGAGGCTTGACGTTGTACCTATACGATAGGATATTCTTAGAAAACCCGAAGTATGAGCATCACATTAATTTGCAAACATACCTCGCCTGCCACCGTTCTGGAGACCTGTATCAAGGGCCCTACTAGACCTAACTGTACAATCGCATACCTAAATGAATCCGCCACAATTCAGCTCATGAAAGGATGTTAAAGCACGTCGCACTCACGCTGAACCCAACGCACACAACAAGAATGCAAAGTAGAGCGGATTGAACAAAACCACCATCGCTTCGTTCCATCCCAGGATCACAAGAACGCCATACATCCAATAAGGTATCTGCGCAACACTCGACACTGTACTTCTCTTTGCCTCGACATAATACGCATCTGCATCTTTCCGGAAGCGCGCCGACAGATCCAACGATTTCGTCTCAGTGAAGACCGTAAGAGTCGCGGGAAAATCGAATTCCTCCGTCGACGAGAGCGAATCTGAAGGCTCGGAAGGAAGGGTATACTCATTCGAAGGGTCAACAGGGGCGATCTTGGAGTACCGAGGAATTAGTTCCAAAGTCTGGAAGTATATCAATCAATACATGGCCGAAGAAAAATAAACCAGTCAGGACACACCTGATCCTTCGCCTTTTTGAAAGCGCTGTCAATATCATCTTCAGGTTTCCAGACCCTTGGGACGCCGCTATCGTCATATCGGAACCGGTCCTCAAAGTGCCCTCTGAGCTTGCCAAGGATGACAGGGTCAGCAACTTGCTCGTCTATCTTGGCACGCAGCACAAGCCAAGCGCGTTTCCTCAAAGTTGCGAGCGCAGTGGTGTTTTCCTCCTCCGTGCAGTTGAAGCCTGCAGCCGTGGAGTTATTACACGTAGACAGATGATAAAAATAGTCTGATCCTCACTCTTTGCTTTCGTAAGGTAAGTAGCCTCGGCTTTTTCAAGCGTTGTCTTGAAAACGATAAGGACCCCGTCCCACATATCTGGTGCAGCTTTGTTAAGATGAATATCGACAGGCTCCGAAATCTGTCTTTTGCACGTTCTCTGCAATATATAATCAAAGGGCTCAGTCACCTTCAACTTTCAGCAAAGGACTAGCATCCGCACCTCGATCAGATTGACCATTTTCTTCGTCTCATCTTTCCTGCATTGGTCAGCTACAATGCCCACTTCCTCCCTTAGTAGTTCCACCTCGTCTTCCCAAGTCCAATCTGTATCTTCCAATAAGGCCTCCTTCGCACCTTCTGTGAACCGCGTTTCGCACTTTTCTCTTGCCTTGTTAACCACGACTGCAAAGTTATATCCTTCACCACGCATGCCCTCCAACATCTCTTTCTTGAATGCAACGAGACATGACTTGTGCAAATTCTTGAGCTGACCGAGGAAGAGAGGAGAAAGAGTGGAGTCGATAACAGAGAGAAGGTCAACACGTTTACGTTTGTAGACGCCTTGGTGATAACGAGATGCGTCGCGGTCATAGCGAGCTGTCAAAAAAGAGTCAACAGCTTCTCCTTTTATAAGGATTGTATCATTCTATTTACTGAGTGCTTGAGTTTTCCAGTTTCTCATCATTGAACCGAGTCCTTCCACAACTCGGCCTGCTTCAACTGGTCTTCTCTGTGGCTTGCTCTGTTCGTTGAATTCAGCGAGCGCTAGCGTAGATATCTCATCACAACGGAATTGCGCCAGCAGTTCCTGCTGAGTAGGCAAGTCGAGATCTTTATTTGTCTGGACTTGTTCCTGGTAACCAACGACAGGTCAGCTGTCGACCAAATTTCACAACAATATGGACTGACCCAGATGCCCTCCATGTAGAAAGCAACACCATCAGCAGGGATCCTCTTGTGGTATGCAGACTTAAAGAGATAGTCTTCCCTCCCCTTCTCCACAAACCTTTTTCGCAGTTGCTGCACCTCGGACTCGAATTTGTCAGCCGCAAGAACTTTATGAGGAAGTGCCGTAAATGAAAGGTCGAAGTAATCTGACAGTAGTCTGTCTTGTAGTTCGGCGGGCTTGGAGAGGCTCTCCCAGATTTTGTTAAGGTCCGCAGTCAGCGTGGCCTGGAGATTAGCAAGAGGTGTCACACCAATGTGATCTCGAATGACGAAAAGAAGGAGAGTCCGGCCACTCGTACTATTAAGTAGCATATTAGCCCAAGCCCCAGTAAAGACATGATTTTCATGAAAGACACACCCATCTTGGGCCTTTTTGCCAAACAAGCCTAAATTAACTTCAAAGACTGTCTTTAGCAGCCCCATGTTAGCCCCCTGGTACAGCCCGACTTGATGTTCCCAAAGATTGATGATGAGAATTTCTGAGGAGGCTAATGAGAACAAGGCTGACTTCCGCTCAAAATCCTATGAGACTAAAATCAATATGGCTATGCTTCAGAGTACCTGATAACCAAACCTGGTCTTCTCCCCGCTCCCGCCCGTCGGTACCTTCCACGTCCATGACCATAACACCCATGCCCTTTCCTCGGCACATCCAGATACCTTTATACCCACGAGTAAAACATGTAACGCCAACTTACAATGAGAAACCGTACCTTTGGTAGTCTGCCGTCGCTGTGACTCGTCCATGACATCGAAAGTTGTTCCAAACAATCGGTTGAGCAACGTACCTGTTGCAGTATCAGTCAGCGCGAAGAAATGACTTGGAATTCAGTTGCAAAAACTCACTTTTTCCCGTTGACTGTGAACCAAAGACGGCAACTATGTTATAGCTGAATCCCACGTCACGCAAGCCCCATCTGTCGATTTGGCTGGCCAGGTCAGGTCTAGTTGAAAGACGTAGGCTCAGCAAATAGCACAGTGAAATTTTCTCCCGAACATTAAACTAACGTGAAATTCTTCTCGTCGTTAATTACTTGTATCCGCTCTGAGCTTCCGAACTGCTGGGCGCCATTGGGTGTGTGCCCGTTGACGGGTGTAACTCCGTTTGCTTGCGCAGCTGGAGAAGCGTCAATGGGAACTGGCCGTATTCCCTGGTTGTCTGAAGACATTTATGGTGGTAAAATGAGGATTAAAAGATGTTGTGAACGGTAAGAAAACAGGACAACTGGAGATATGTGCAGTTATGATAAAGTCGACATGGACAACCGTCAGTCCAACTCACGACGCTGAACGAAGGCCAGCCACCAAAGGCACTTGTGCCACGCGACTGTTCTCACGGGTGCAGTGGCGATCGGCTTACTTAATCCAATGTATTGTTCGCTGTAACAGAGCGAACTTCAGGCGGTGTTGTGTTGCAAGAAAGCACGGATGACACGGGTTGTCAAAATGCACAGGTCTCGTGGAATGGATACTCTTATACACGCTGTGTGAGGCACTGAGGCTTCCATCTTTGTTGATTGTAGGTGAGGTTTCGACTTTTTATGTTTTTGGATCAGAAACCGTGACACGTTCATCGCACCAAGTGGGCTCAAGTGGGTTAGATCAATCAACACGCGCTTGGTTACCGTTGCTGCACCCGATTGGGCCGTAACTTACTTCTTAGAAATCTGGTTCAGCAGACTATATAAAGGGCGTCAGCTTTAAATATTCGTTTCAGTTGACTCCCACTTCATACGTCCCTTATACCACATACGTTCGCCCGCTCCTAATATCTCAAATGTACTTTCTCTGGAAAAAATACAAGGCCAAGAAGGCTGCTAAGGAGGAAGCTAAGAACCAGAGCCAGGGAACGAGTGGCGCCAACCAAGAGGGCAGGAAGAGCAATGACGAGAACTCTGCCCGCCCTGACGCTGTGCCCGAAGGTGGACGTGCTTAGGTTTGTCTTGATTATTTTATCGTATCAGAGCCACGTTCATGCTCATTGATAACAGATCCAGTTTCTGCCTGTTTTTTTTTTTGGCATGAGTCACTATGAGTGACTTCAACACGCTATGGGAGATGTCGTTTGAGTTGGGATAGATAGCTGTGGTGATCTATTCAGGATGGAGACGTTCTAGGGAAGGTCTTGGTTGCGTTGTTAATGTTGAGGCTTTAGCGTTTAAAGCTTACGGTATAATCACTTTCTTTGTTCCACATTCATGAATATCATACCATCTCGTTTGTGCTGCGCTACTTTTTTCTGCAAACACCAACACCAAATTTGGAGTATGAATGCCATGTCTATGACATACTCCACAGCGACGACATTCGGTTATAAAGTTGTACGTGACCTGTCTTCGCCATAGGGCTATGGAATTTTCCACGACACAGAAAAGTGATGGTAGAATGGAGCGTAACAAGACTTCGACCGGTTACACCGAAGCGGCCATTTTGTGTGAAATTGGTCAATATATTGACAGGAACAATAATTGCCAGCGTCTTTGCATCCCTACCATAAGTATCCATGTAGCGGTGTACTGATCCGCAAGTCTTTCCCATTACCAACCTTCTCGCTGGTATTCTTTTCGCTTACGTGCTTTTCTCAATTCTATACCATGTCTTCGCAATTTGACCAGTCTCGCCTCATCTGGACGCCTGCTTATCCGTCCTTCTCACCCGCTGAAAAGCTCCGTCGAGAAATCAATCTCAAACATGGCTTGAACTTGAGTGAGTTCCATTCCGAGGAATCCCGCGTTCCAAGTAACCTTATCATTCCTCTCTTTCTCCACTCAGAGGACTATCATGATCTCCACCATTACTCGGTCACTGATTATACTTTCTGGCTCGATTTGTGGCAGTTCGTTGGAATCGTATCATCTGTACCACCCACAAAGGTCTGGTCAAGGCGCCTTTACTCTTTCACCTTATCTTTGAAACTGATATACCTCGAACCTGGCAGGTAACACAAAAGGGCAAGTCAGAACAGGTGCCTGAGTGGTTTCCAGACGCAAGGTTGAACTATGCGGAAAACCTGTTGTACCGCCGTGACGATGGCCTCGCATGCACAGCAGCAGACGACACTGGCCGAACCACTCATTATACGTTTCGTCAGCTACGTCATATGGTGCAGGAAATGGCAGCTGCAATGCGCGTTAATGGCCTCAAAGCTGGTGATAGAGTAGCAGGCGAGTCAATTAATACTTCATGTTGGAGAGGCGTGGCTAATGATGATGTTACAGCTGTTGTAACGAATTCAATTACTGCTGTCGTGCTTGTGCTTGCTACAGCCAGTATAGGTGGCATTTTTTCCAGCACTGCAACTGACATGGGCACACAGGTATGCTCAGCATGTCCTCATGCCTTAGTACATGCTTCTTCACGATTCTTCTTCCAGGGTATTTTAGATAGATACAGACAGATTAAACCCAAGTTCGTCTTTATAGAGACAGAAATTGTATACGCTGGGAAAACAATCCCGCTCGTACAAAAGGCATCCGAAGTCGCAAGGGATCTTCGTAGCTATGGCCTTGAACGATTAATCTTGCTACCAAGTTCGAAGACCGGAAAGCAGCTTCCCGAGGCTCTAGCAATCCCTAATAGGTAAGTTTCCCATCCCTATCATGTAACAGCCCCCATGAACCGAGGCGCTCTGAAACCCGTCAGCATCACCCTCGCAAATTTCCTTGCCACTGGCGATGGCCGGGACCTCACATTCGAGCAGCTTTCATTCAGCCACCCACTGTACATCCTATACTCGTCTGGCACTAGTGGTCCTCCCAAATGTATTGTGCACTCTGGCGGAGTAAGTTGCGCCATACTGCATCATGTTTGGATATCGTAACAATTTGTCTCGTATAGGGAGCCCTGATGATTAGCAAGAAAGACCTTTACGTTGGTTTTGGTGTTGGCCCCTCTGAGACCTACTTCCAGTACACTACGGTATTTGTCTAATCGTCGTCTTCTGCTTATATCGTTAAGACTTACATATTTGGAACAGACGGGATGGATGATGTGGCCCTTTATGCTCTCTGGGCTGGCGTGCGGTGCTCGCATTATCCTATACGAAGGCTCGCCATTCTACCCCGACTTGAAAAGCTACCTCAAGTTCATCAACGATCAGGGGTATGTCATTACATACCACAAAATTTTTTTTTCAGATTTACAGCCCATTTTTTGATCAGCGTAACATGTTTTGGAACAAGTCCGCGCTTTTTGGCAGAAGTCCAAGCAAAGGTGAAGAATGGTATGTTTCACTACCTTGTTATCACTGCCCACATGATCGATGTCGTCTATGTGTCACTTTAGTGGAACCATTCTTGTCTATGCGTCAGATGACAGTTACAGGGGCTGTCCTGACCGCCCCTCTCATGGAATGGACTCAAAATGCTTTTGGAAAGCACCTCATGATCTCTTCCTCTTCCGGAGGGACTGATATCATGGGTGGATGTAGGGATAACTATCTTTCATTAACTGAGGCATCATCTTATGTCCACATCCAGTTGTCACAGGTGTAGCATCCCTTCCAGTGTATGCCGGAGGTGCGTCTTCTCCCAGATAACCCTTTTGATCATATAAATTTTCGAAAACTTACTTTATCTCCATGTAGAGCTTCAAGGAATATCTCTCGGTTTGGCAGTGGAAATATTTGATCCTGCTGGAAAGAATATCGAGGATACCGGTGAACCAGGGGAGCTCGTCTGCACCCGGCCTCACCCATCGATACCGGTCTGTTTCTGGGGCGACGAGTCAGGAGAAAAGTTTCGCAAAGCCTACTATGATACCTACCCTGGTGAGCTCTATTTTTTGAAAATGAAACTCAGCCCTGCTTATGCACATCTTTCGCCTTGTATAGGTGTTTGGCGCCAAGGTGACTTCATAGTCCGCAATCCCAAGACGAAAGGATTCCTTTTCCTTGGCCGCAGGTGTGCTAAATTTTGCTCGACCTTCTCTCTGGTGCCTTCTGATGAACAGTATTGCAGTGATGGCGTGTTGAATCCTAGTGGTGTGCGGTTCGGCTCGGGCGAGATTTACACTGTACTTGAGAAATTTACGGCAGAGCTCGACGATGTACTTTGCGTTGGCCAGCGCCGCCCGCAGGACCTTGACGAACGCGTCCTTCTGTTCGTCAAAATGCGTCCCGGCCACACTTTCACCCCCTCCCTCGTTGAACGCATCAAGTCTTCGATCAAGGCAGGTCTGAGCGCGCGCCACGTCCCAGCATACGTGTTCGAGACTTCGGATATCCCGGTGAGTGGTCTGTTTCGCGCGCTTGAAAGTGCATGGGTCTGAGTTAGCGCGATGATGGGTGTAGTACACGGTGAATGGGAAGAGGATCGAGATCGCTGTTAAGCAGATAGTGTCTGGATCCAACCTCAAGCCCAGCGGCACGGTCGCCAATCCAGAATCCCTCGAACTCTATTACAAGTACCGCGATATCGAGAGCCTCGTTGGCGCAAACGCGAAGGCGAAGCTGTGAATCAGTGGCACTAACTATTTATTAACAGTCTAAAAGCATCTATTCATAGTTCAATCTGCGTCCATGTCTGCTGTATGTGCTTTCCTTTGGATCTGAGTTCTGGGTGTCGTAGACACCTTGTCGCTACCGCTGTCACATTGTATATATAGAATTGTTCAAATATATCCTTTCAAAGCTGCGCAGTAGGCTGCGCGCAGCATGTTGAAGTACGGCTATAAATGATCATGTTGTTTTTGTTGAGGTCACACGTGGATGTCACGATGAGTTAACATCGACTTCGAATTCCATCATCCACGCGCGAAGTCACTATCACGTACCGCACGGTAAACACAATCATTAGATGGAATGACAATCGCGTGGCTTCTCTTTGATAAACTATTATAATTTACATCATGATGCACTTCCGATACCGTCCCAAACGATATCATGTAGGCATGCACGACGAAAAATATTGTCCTTTTGGTTGACATCTACGTGGAGAGCAACAACCGATGATCAAAATGCATATGTACAGTACCGTATGTACACCCACACTATCTACAAGCAGCCCTCCCAGCGAGATGCTTGGTGGTACTGATTACTTACTGGAAAGAACCCTGTGATATTTAATTATATGCCAAAAAGAGAAGAAGAAAAAAGAAAAAAAAAAGTCTATGAGCGCGCATGCAAGACGAAGTAGCAGGAGGAACTGTGGTCTATGGAGATCAGAAAGCAACAAAAAGTATATCATGAGGTTCTGTCTACTCGAAAGCATCGCGATGAGAGAAAAAGGGTGTGAATGATGCATGTAAAGAGTGGAGTGATGCACGTGGAAGCATTGACATGAAGCCTTCATCGGTGTAACCCGACATGCAGCCACGTATTAACGGCCCCAGAACTTTGTGTTTCATGCATCGGCTGAAGGTCGTGGGCGGTGTTGGCTACATGGGTTGGGAATAGGAAAGTTCTTTCGGCCATTAATGTCGTAAACGAGAATACGAGAGGAGATGAGCGGCGATTAAGAGACTATTTTCTTCCCTTCTTCTTCTTGGCACCGTCGATGACTGCTCCTGCGTCGGAAATCATTTTCTTTAGTTCGCCTGATTCGTGTAGTGAGCGGATTTCAGACATTGAGCCCACTGGCTTGCCGCCTACTAATAGAATGGGTAGTTCTGTGGACGAAGTGAGGCGGTGAAGTAGGGGCGTCAAAACCTCTGCGTCCTCTGAACAAAGAACATGAGTTGATGTAGGAGCAATGACAAAGAAAGAACAAACCTCTTTGGTCGACGTCAAATACCGTTGGCATGGGGCGTAACATCATATTAGCAAGTATGAAGCGTACTTCACGAGAGGCAGCAGAGTGCAACTAGTGACGACAAGTCAGGACAGGTATAGGCACGAAGTAGTACAAGGTATGGCAAGGCACCTTTGTGAATAGGACGACAGGATGGCGTGCCCAGACCTCTTCCTCGATCTGGTGTACCTCCTCAGCGGCTCGTGTACTACGCGTGTCAAAGTCAAGAACGACCTGTGGGTCTATTGGCTTGGTCGGGTCAACCGAACGAGGGATCATGTTCTGTGGCAGGCTTGCAAGAAAGCTGGAGACGGCAGCAAGCTCCTGGGCAGGACTGAGCTCAACCTGTGGTCTTGTATTTGACTTGTGGTTCTGTGATGGAGGAAAACGGAAAACACGCGAGGAGGGAGTACGTGAGACGGGGTCGTGAGGGAGTACGGCGTGAGGAGGCTCGTGGTGGGTTGGGTCATTGCGGAGGGTGATGGGTGCGAGGTCTAGAGAAGGCTTTGCGACGAAGAGGATGTATGTGGAGAGGACGATGAGGCCAAAGAGAGCGAGGAAAGTTGTCCTGTACCTGAGCTTTGGCTTTCTGATGGGATGGAGGGAGTGGAGGAGGGAGGACACGCTGAGGGGCGGGGAGGACATGGCAGAGGAGGGAGAAGGAGAGGAGTGGGTCGGAAGAGAGAACCGACTGGAAGGATTGCGGCGGTGGGCCATTGGTGTTAAATGAACGGAATATTTGATTCGATTAGACGGTGTACCGAGATAACAAAGGATGAGAGAACAACGATTTATTATTTTTTATTATTTTCGTACTATTCGAGTCGTAGTAACCTGTCTTTCCCACGGCGGATATGGCCTCGATTACGTTTCAGGTATTCTTGAGTGATTGCCCACCATCGCTACTATCGTTGTTCGGTCCACCGCCTCTTCATACCAGTAGTAAGTTCATCCTACACACATTGCCTGCCTTGTTATCACAGAAACACAATGAACAGAACGCTTCTGGCACTATACCATCTTAATCACGATCCCTCTTTTTCTTATCGCGACGTTCGAGCAACCACTCGCCTCGTTCGCCGATATCTGCTTATTCCCCTCAGGGCCATCGTATTTACCTCCAGCCTGAGTCCTCGCACGAACGTTGGCCCTCTACCCGAATCCGCTAGTACTAGTATAAACTAGAAGAAGTTGAGAAGTCGGCCTTAAAACTTGCTGATGACATGCTTTATGCAACGTCCATTCGACTTTTTTTCGGGGTGACTCCACCCTCTTTATACTTCTTTCATGGCGGTCCTACACGATGCCACTAACCTGGTCCTGGCCTCGCCCCAACTTGATCATTATACCCGGCCTGTCAACTGACCAGGCAAATTCTCCTTGTTGTATTTACACGTTCCATACACGCCTTAGACGACCACATGCCAGTGATAACCATCCGCTAAAAGAAGGTCCCCCCTGTACGTGCTTGCAGCATTCCACTACCAACAAAGGAGTGACAGCCTTTGCCCCGTGCTGACTCATCCTGTCCTTTCCTTCGCAAGGTCCTATCAGCACTTCCCATCAGTTCCGTTTTGCGTCTGCTGTCCAAAGAACTAAACAATCATGCTTTCAACACAAGTCTAGAGCTCAAGCCTAAGGACCGCCGATAGCGCATCATTCACCGGTCGGCCATCTTCACCCGTATACGGCTTCCCCTCTCAGCTCAGCACCTTTCTCTCGCCGCATCGTCGTACCTGTCCATCTTATCTTTTGCACAGGCGCCAACTGATTGTCAGATGAAGCAAATGCCTGTGCCATTTCCGGTCCATGTTACCATCGGAACATTTCTACTTTAATGATGCTTCATTTCAGGTAAGACGAACAGATGGGCGTTTTCATTGTGATAATGTTCATATGTACCTTTTTTGTCCATTATTCCAGAATATGTTACTCGTATTGACATGGTAATCTCTGTTTTTCTTTTGACCCGTGCCTGGCAGACGAATAGAAGTGAGGTAGAAATACATTCTAATAATACAAGCAGAGCTCATGTGCAAAAAAGCTTGTAGCTTCATGCTGCTACTCGGACCTGCTCTAATACCGTCATACCCGCATTCTCGAACATTCGCTTCAGCTTTCCCTGTGCATGTAGTACATGGAGGTCATCTGACCCGCCAATGCTTTTACCCTTGAGTACGATGTTGGGGAATGTAGAGTGCTCGGTGAGGCGCGTGAGTATCAGCTTGATAAAGTCTCCGTCGTCTGAGAGAACCTTGGTGAATGGAAGGGCAAAAAAGACCGAGGGATAAAACTCACCTCGAAGATCAACCTCAATAATTTTTGGTGGAGGTGAGAGATCATACGTAGCCAAAAGTTGTTTTGCCCTCCTCGAATGTCTAGAAACACCGTATTCTGGGTCTAACGATAGCACAACAAGGCGAAAACTTTGGTTACTTACGGACAATACGACTGGGTTGTAAAGTTCCGCGTTAGCAACGGGCCATCAGGGACGATGTATGCGTACTGACTTTACTAAATACGACTAGAGGATACTCTTCCTTCAGTCTCCGTACGTACAATCTCCAATCAGGTGTATCTCCACCCAGATATATATCCATGTCCAATGGCTCAGACGGATCTAGGTCAATAGAGTGGGACAGCATCCGGTCGTCGCCGCTCGTCACAAAGTGTAGCAGGCCATATATCTCATCAGGCGGGCTCCCACCCGACTTGACGAGCTGCACGATGCTCGCTCTCGAGAGCGTTGCGCCAAGCCCGCCAATGTCGAGTGCAGACGGAAGACCCCAGGGCGAGGCGAAGCAGAAGAAGGCTAGAGTGAGAAGGAGAGAGCCAATGACGAGCAGTCGCCGGCGTCGAGGGAACGTGCGTTGGACGTTGGGGTTGGCTCTTCTGGGAGAACGGTCCGTCGCCATTGTAGTAGAAGAGAACTGTTGCGCGTTGCGGGGAGCTTTGGTCAATAAGGATACGAGCGAGATCGTTGCATGTAATATCCGTAGCGGGACCAGTGTGGAGCAAGAAGATAAAGCTCGGGGCGGGATCGTCCCAGAGAGCACTGTCCGATACGTGGCCTGGGTGGGGTGGAAAAGAAAGGAAAAGCGCTAAAATGGTATGTACGGCGTCTACAGTGCCTTTTGAGAATAACTGGCTCATCCAGGCACTTGTCTCGCTTCACTTGACGGATACAAAACCGGGTTGCCGCGGGATTACCAGCCCCGAGACAAGTACAGCGTCCGTCAATGTCCTTGTAACAGGGGAAACACGAAGGTATCACTTTCGAACTTTCTCTGCATGCCAGCGACTCGGTTTATGATTCACACCAACAGAACACCAATGTTTTCCGTGAAATTATGGGACGGCTTTCTCAAGGTCTATGACAGACTGTCGTCAGCTGGCCATGTTTGAAATCCCGTCTCGGCGTTTCGAGCCCGCCATCCGCAACTTTCTAAAGAACAGCATTCGGTAAACTTTTATCGCAGCACTTCCAGACCAATGGGCACCAGCCAACACGCAAGAGCCCAAGGTACGAAATATATAAAACCTAAACAAGTGGGATACAGTGAGAATGCACTTCGCAATACAGTGTATGTCCACAAGACAGATAAAAATATCATCGCGACATGTCCAATCATGGAGAATTAGTCCGACAGATTTCCTACGCTCTCAATTATGAAGCCCCTGGGCGTGGCGTCCACGGCGGCATTGGTTGGTTCACGACGGCAGCCATGCTGCTCTCAACCTGGGCCAACACCTCGAGCGCGATTGAGCTAAGTTTTGCACCCTCATTTTCGTGAGCCCAGAGTGAGACGGCGAGCGTATTCAGGCCGTTGTAGTTCAAAATGCCTTGTGCTGTTTCAACACCAAGGAAAATTCAGGTCAGCACAAAGAGAACAATGACTTCTGGTTCGTTACGCACGGACGGGAAAGGCCTGTTGTGGACCGACGCTGTTGACTGTTCAACAGATGGTTAGTGATCGCCCTCGCACTGGTAAGATAAATTCCTGTCAACATCACTTACCGTATTTACCAAATTGATATCCGTTGACGTAGAACTACCAAAGGAACAGAATAATCAGCTCCGAATGCTGTGACAATCTAAAAGGGAACTTACCTGAGAACGGAAGTAAGGGTTGGTTGTCATGTTGGTAGTGACGATTGCCATTGGGTAGTCCACACCTGAAGGTATGTCCAGCTCGAAAGTTGTCCTAAAGAGTAATAGGTGGTTATCGTACGACTCCAAAAAAGTTAATAAGAAGTCTACCTATAGAAGCTTACGCCAGCACTAGATATGCCGTTTGTAGGCAGACCATCAGCCCAGTAAGAATCATCAAAATCAGGAAGGTGCCATCCTGGGGACATTTCATTAATATAGTTCATAATGATATAATCGAAGTGGTACTACCTTGCCGCTCGCCGTAAAGACCACCCTCGTTCAATGGACCTCGGGTAGTGTCCACGTACTGTGGCACCATATTAGGGTTGATAACAGCTCACAAGATATGACTCACATCTTCTCCGCCCAAGTTACCAATCACCTTCCAAAGATCAACGGTCGTAGCGTTACTTCCCTCAAATGAGTAACTCAACAATCCTCTAGGTGCCTTGAAGTCATCAGAAGCGGCCGTCCAGTCCTCTTCGTATCCCATGTGATCTTGTAAGATCGTCAATACATGGGCGGACCCCTTGCTGAGAGTTCCAGGGAAGGAGAAAGAACTCTGATAGCTCTCGTACACGGCATCGCCAACCCACGACCCTATAAACGACGAATCTAGCCAGACGGAGTATCCAAACGCGGAGCCACCTTGAACATTGAGGGTAAAGCCTGTCTCGGCGCCCAATGAAGTGAAATGTGCGCGCCAGAGGATATTGCCGGTATGGTACCCATAGTCACCAGCATAAAGGACAACTGGAGTGCTAGGTTGAGTAGGATTGACTGTCGTTGTGTGGTTTGCCGTGGTCCAAGAAGAATCGTCATAAGTAGGCGTAATTTCAGGTAAGCTATCTGCTGTTTTCTACAGGCCACTCTTACTCAGCATTGCGTTTACTATATACTATGGAGAGTCACTCACCCATGTAAGGCTCTCCAAGGTTGGGATGTTCACTTGGGGAAGTGATACAGTCTTTTCTGCTGTCAGGGTCCCATAGGAGGTCTTTTCGAGTGTCAGTGGCTCCCCATTGAAAGTGACCTGAGCCGAAGATGCTGCCGGAGCAATGATCTCGAATGATGCAGTGCTATTCAAGTCACCCAAAAGGGCGAGCGTGCTGCCAGACACATCAACAGATCGAATGAAATAGCCGCCTTTGACAAGAATCGGGTCTGCAGTGCTGTAATTAGCATAGGCACCTGTGGTAGGCGGATAGAGAACCCAGAACTCGTATGCGTTGGCTCGATCTATGAAGAAATCCTTCAATGTGTGCTCCACAAAGAATATAGAGTCCATATTTACCCAGGATGTACAAAAGGACATCCGAGCCAACTTCGACGACAGTCTGACCAGTAGTCGTGTACTGGATAACCAGGTTGGTGGAATTGATCGTCTCGGACTTGAGCTGCTCAGAACCCGAAACGACAGTCGCGGCTGGAACAGTTCCATCGAATTTGAAAGCGGTCTCATGTAGCTCGCCCGCGTTGCCATAAACCACGATGATATCTCGGCCATCGATGGTCGCCCTGGGACTGAATCAGTAACACAAAACTTGTTAATTCAAAAGAGTCCAAACCAAGTCGTGATCTCTGCTGTCGAATACAGCAATGTATTTGCACCAGCAGCGTAGTCTACGACGTGAACTTTCGAGTCTTTCCCGTCTAGCGTGAGTTGGCCTCCAAGTACCGGAACGGTAAGATTTCCGACACTCGTCGGTAGCGTCAAAGTATACATTTCCATTGCATTGGAAGACGCGTTCGCTTGCCTATAAATTCGTCAAAATCCTGTCATGTATTTTAGTTTCAACGTCGATCACGTACCTGATGACATAGAATCCAGTTTGGTTCCCGACCACATCAAGCACCTGCGTGGTCAGGAGAGCCTGATTGCCAGTAAATGCACCTTGGTTGCTGTACGAATTCATTGGGCGTGTCGTCAGGTATGCTGGGCTGACACGGAGGAAGTTTGCTTGAAGTTTCAATTCGTAATATTTCTCGCGCAGAGTTCTATCTTCAGCGATCGCAGAACCCTCCACATGAAGGTTAGAACCTATACACACATAATCCAAATATAGTAAACCCACATAGTCGTAGCTTGTATAGACTCCTGGGTGAGCGATCCCTCCTATAGAACATCGTAAGATGACATGCAACCATAAGATAACTTTGTGTTCTCACCCCAGTTTGTACCACCGTAAATCATATACAAGTTGAGGTAGGTTGTAGACGTAGCCAATTCATTCTTGTAAAATACTATTCTTCTTAGGCCTTTGCTACACGGGCACCAGCTCATGACTCACCTCGTTCAAAGTCAGGTCCGGTTAAAATAGCGCAAGTATCATATCCAGAACCGCCCCTGAAAGTTCGGCACAATTAGTACTTTCGAGAAATAATGCAGGAGATAATTACCATCCATCAAAGGCGCCACCCTGGTATTCGTAAACTGCATTCGGCTCTTCTGGAGCGTATTCCTCGTGAGCACTCCAGAAGTAACTATACATTATTTGAGTTGGGCCAATATAAGTTAAGTGAGTCATTTGCATACGTCGGTACAGCATTCGAAGCCCATGTATAAGGGCTCGAGCAATCGAAGCCGTTGGGATAGGAATCGTAACCTAGGGCACATTGTTTAGTCTCTAGTTTAACGATGAAACAATAATTGCGTACCCCAGATATTTACAGTCAAATAATGACCTTCCGGCGAGGCATCGTTAAAGGTAATAGGAACTTTGATGCCAGCTGTACGCTAAAAAAACCTTGAATGAGATGCTGCGATCAAAACAGAAAAGGCTGCATACCCAGGCCGACAACAGTTCTGCCTCATAGGTGAAATCTTCCGAGTAGCCAGGTGCCCACCCAGTATATTCATTTTCGGACTACGTGATCTAAAATGAGATATCGTTCACTATATGCGAAAATATGAAGGCTACCTGGACCAATATGATAGGACCTCCATTAGTGATTTGATTTTCAGCCAGGATATGCGCAGTTGTTGATACATAGTTTTGCCAGGCCTCATAATATGTAGTGTTCGACGTCCTCCACAAGCTAGGAGTATAGGTACCCCATCCAGGGAAACCGCCGGCTGTAGTCTCGGCATTGATGTACGGGCCTTGAAACGAAGGTCAGTCAAGGACTTGCACGCATATGTTGAATTTTAATGCACCTGGTCGCGCCATGAGGTATATGCCTGCTTCCATTGCCGCGTCGAAGAATGGCTGCAAGTCGCGGAAACCCTCGAACGAGATTACACCACGCTTGGGCTCAACGATTCCCCAGAATACATAAAATGAGACAGTGTTAAAGCCCATGGACTTGACCTTTTGGAGGATGTCGAGATAAAGACTCTGAGATGGCATGCTAATGTGTAGAACATTGGGACCAGGACAGTTGGTGGTTATCAAACTCATACCGGTATGGATGCACTTCCCCACTGAACATGAACATGCGCTCTCCATTGATCATCAGAGAGTATTCATCCCATGTAACCTATCGCAGCCACATGCTTCAGAGAGATTCGAATCATCAAAAGAGAACTCACATTCGTCTGCAAGCCATCAGTATCCCTGATAATATTGAGTTTTTGTACAGAGCGTGGTTTGGACGAAGCTAAGACAAGAGTCGCGCTCAGAAGCGCGACGAGCTTTGAGAACAACATCTGCAGACTACTGCGACGCTCCCAACGGTCGTTTTCACGACCCACGAACTACGGGCATTTAAAGCAGGCTGGATATTTCCCCGAAGAATCCATCGTCCTGGAAGTCAAATGACTAAGATAATATGTTGAACTATGTTCCATTTCATGTGTAAACGCCGTAAATGGACCTCAACGCGAGATGCGAAGCAGTCAAGACCGCCAGCGTGAGGTCCTGAAGTAGTCTGGTGACCAGGTCAAGTTCAGGGAAGAGAACAGATGTATGTAACCGGGCCGCCAGAGTTCACAAGGCCTTGGATGCGTTCGCCCGCGTGTATTGTAGTAGTAGGAAGCCTTTTGCTATTCAAGACAAACTTAAGACTTTACAAATGGCGGGCCGCAAGAGTCTTGGTTGGATATGACGCTCCGTTTGCACTTTTTTTCAAAGTGCGACAGCGAGAAATTTTCGGTGCGAAATATGGTGGATTGCGCAAAAAACAGACGAAAATTCGCGCGATATAGGGCAGCTGCGCGAACAAGAGACGAAAAACCCACACGAAATGACACCAAGTCAAGTTACTCTAGCTAGATCCTACTAAGTAAATTGTACTAGAGCAGCATAAAAACTCAATCTAGGCTTTACTTGAACCTAGTTTTAACTCGAGGGGAACAGCTCAACATTAAAAGCCATTGGATTGTAGAGTAAACGAGAACAAAAAACCCGGATATACTTTAAGGAATGTAGTATTAGAAAAGATTGTAAGCAGATAAAAAAGAGCGGTCAGAAATCAACAGGAAGGATTAGTTGCTCGGCTCAGGTACTGATGTAGGGCCAAATAAGCTCAAGTAGGTCAAAGTCAGCTTGCCATGGGTTCCTAAAAAAAGCCGGATCCTGCAATAACCAAGACGGATATCTGGTCTCGCCGTTCTCCACCCGGATATACTTGGCAGGTCGTGATATCAGAGGAGTACTTTGTAGCTGAGGGCTGTTGGGGGGGGATTCCGACTCGGCTTTCAAGAACACTAAATCAAACATGGTGGGTCAGCAGGCCTTCAACCGCAATGCAATCCGTTGCTTACAAGGTTCCCTCATTTTCGGATCCACCTTGTCATCAACGAACTGACAAATTATGACATTTGTTTAGAGTATGAGAAAACATGCATTGGCCAGGGCTTGAACCTGGGACTCCAGCTTTCATGGTCTGGTGCTTTACCAACTAAGCTACCAAGGCGTACTTGGAAAGCATACTGATTGGTTGCATGCCCAGAAGGTCCAGAATCACTGTACATGGGTGTGGATCCCATTGTGTTGTGATACGATGTCATGCACCAAAGTTGATTGGTAGCATGGACAGGTGTCAATAACGAAGCGAATATTCAAAAAGACTCGCCTTTGCGCCACACAGGCACAGTGCCACGTGGAATAGTAATTAATATTGCCCTTTTTGAACTTGTGGCTGATCAGCATCACCTCTATTAGGCAATCCAGTCACGCTCACCTTTGCTTTTCCATCCGGTACTTTCCGCATTTCGGCATTTCGGCAAATTTTCGCGTCGCCACTGGCTACACATTGCATTGCGCCCTCGCTTTTGTCGTTTCCCTTACTCCCCTTCCTTTGCCTAGCCCCACCATGGGCCCCTTCCTCTCCTTTTTATTCTCACCCGACGGTCGTTTCTGGGTCCCCATTTTAGTTCACCTCCTCGTCACCTCCACCCTCCTCCTCCTCATCTTCTTTGCACCCCCACCATTTCTGATGTCACCACTTCCTATCCGCTTCCGTCGCCGATCCGTTGACTACCACGTGCCACTGCTGATATCAGCAAAGCCCCGGCGGCCGGTCCAAATAGGGCAACAGGTCCATCTTCATGACGTCGATCTGCCATCATATACTATCAAAACATCGGTCGCTCGTCTTGCCTGGTTGGAGCGTGGGTGGGTAATTTTTGAGCTGGAGAAGGTTCATCCCCTTGCGTCGCCCATGTTCATCGCTGTCCCATTCACTTGGGTACACTTATCATTTGTCCATCGTCTTCGCTACAGCTACACCTACCACACGCTGCCTGGGACTCACTTGTTCCAAATTGGAACTACTCCTCTCCCTCCCTCGTTTGATCAGGTGGTCCAACACAACCAGTCCATTGGTAAGGCCATGGAACTGTCAGATTTGGACTAGGTGGTGGACCGGTGGCTCCAGTTTCTTTTTTTCAGCAGAACATTCATTTACAGTGCGATTATTTTTGATTTTTGAATCATTTTTATGGACACATATTTTTTTAGAATGCCTGACTGACAATAAAGGAACTGTGTTGATACTGATAGTGTTTTGCTTTGCCCTTTTTTTACTGCATCTTCCCATGACATCATGATTTTCTTGCTCTCTTTTTGCTATTGGACTTTACTTTATGGCTGTACAAACCTGTGACATTACTCACAGCATTTATTGTTCTATCCCTTTCTTTTCTTTTTTTGACAATCTTATCCTGTACTACCTACGCAGGATTCGTCAGCGTACATTCCTTCCTTCATATTCTTTCTCATTCTCTTTGCACAGCTATACTGTGCATAGCCTACTTCTCTTTTACTATATAAACCCCTGTATTTTACCTTGTAAAAACAACAAGAACTCGATTCCAGACTTCTTCTCTAATCTTAAGTCCACTTCTTACTGCTACTTGTGATCCAGTGTGGTCACAACACTTCCCACTTCTACCACTGTTAACTGCTGTCATCGTCACTCGTCACTTTTGAAAGTGATTGTCATCCCCTTCGATTAGAGTCCTTCTGAGCACTACAGTTTGTGCGTCAGGAGCCTGCTATCACTGGGAACCTCGTCACCTCGTCATCCTCGTTGTTCTCAAATCTACCTTGTGCTACGATTAGCAAGGTAGTGCTCGTCTATACTCGCCACAAACCCCCTATCTTTCTATAAATTCAACTATCCCTCCTCCTCAAAACCCACACTCATACACCACTGGGTTTTACTTTGAAGGATCTTTATACGTACCACCCCACGAACAACCAGACCACTCCACTGTTCTAGGAGGCAAAGCCCATAAACAAGTTCCGTGGAATCTGGGAGGATTGTGTGTTAGTTTGTTTTGTGTGTGGTTTTCTAACAACAGTTCTCATCATCGACACCGTGCTCACACAAAACACATTCAACGGAAATATCATTTTATCCAAGATGACTTAGTATCAAAGGGAGAGGCAGTAATCAGATACATTCCTACAGGAGATATGGTTGCAGACATTCTCACTAAACCCCTCACTCATGAAAAACACTGGAAATTCTCTAAAGCTATGGGACTACGGTTGCACTTGAGTGGGAGTGACAAAACTGTGAGGCAACGATAAACTATAACAAAAACTAAACCTATCTCCTTCTGCACTTGCAGGGAGTAAGAGGTTCGATGAGCTTGAGGTTGACAGATGCTAGTAAATATAGCGAGTAGAGGACTTTGAGAGGTAAGCTTCAAAGGTTTTCGTTTAGGAGTAAAACGGGTAAATTCAGTAATAGAAAACTAAGGAGCCATACATGAATAGGTAAGGCTTTATACAGTGAACTGTTCGTTCCTCAGACCGAAAGGAGAATAAATGAAAAGTGGTCTGAGGAATCAATCGGCCAATAAGAAAAAGAGAGAACAACTATTGTACAACTTTTAACTTGATTAATCAGCGGGTGAGAGTTTTGTACTAATAATAGAAGTTTGTTACGCGTGTTCAGGAACCATATCCTCATGATGAGGTATGATCCTGAACAAGGCATTTATTAGTATATCCAGGCTTTACTGGGGCTTGGAGCTGGTTGGCTAGATGCCTACTACCAGTCCCTACTCAGTGTGCTGGCTGGCTGGGAGCGATACCCAGTCTCTGATCTGTGATATAAAATGGTAGTGATGGTTTAAGAAAGCCTGTGAGGGCTATGAGAAGTAAAATGGCAAATGATACCTCTAGCCCTAGAGCCAGAGGTGTAATGGGAAAAGTGTTCGAGAACCAAGACATAGCGAAGATAAGAAAATGATAAAATGGTCCTTACAAAAACCGGATAAACCTGGTCTCTGCCGAAGCAGCCATTGTTCTCCATGGAGCATAGCCACCACTCCATGGAGTAACCATTGTTCTCCTAGGAGTCATTATACTGTAGCGAGTAGCACCTCCGACTATAAGTAGTAGGGGGTTTAGTATAGGAATACCTCAGTCATTTCTATAGCCTCTCGGGCAGCGGCTGAGGTATGTTACATTACATTTATTAGAGATCACCTTAAACTAACATCTATTGTAGTTTCACTTAGTTTTATTAACTTCAAGTTCCATCAAGTTCGTTGTCGATGATGAGAACTGTTGTTAGAAAACCACACACAAAACAAACTAACACACAATCCTCCCAGATTCCACGGAACTTGTTTATGGGCTTTGCCTCCTAGAACAGTGGAGTGGTCTGGTTGTTCGTGGGGTGGTACGTATAAAGATCCTTCAAAGTAAAACCCAGTGGTGTATGAGTGTGGGTTTTGAGGAGGAGGGATAGTTGAATTTATAGAAAGATAGGGGGTTTGTGGCGAGTATAGACGAGCACTACCTTGCTAATCGTAGCACAAGGTAGATTTGAGAACAACGAGGATGACGAGGTGACGAGGTTCCCAGTGATAGCAGGCTCCTGACGCACAAACTGTAGTGCTCAGAAGGACTCTAATCGAAGGGGATGACAATCACTTTCAAAAGTGACGAGTGACGATGACAGCAGTTAACAGTGGTAGAAGTGGGAAGTGTTGTGACCACACTGGATCACAAGTAGCAGTAAGAAGTGGACTTAAGATTAGAGAAGAAGTCTGGAATCGAGTTCTTGTTGTTTTTACAAGGTAAAATACAGGGGTTTATATAGTAAAAGAGAAGTAGGCTATGCACAGTATAGCTGTGCAAAGAGAATGAGAAAGAATATGAAGGAAGGAATGTACGCTGACGAATCCTGCGTAGGTAGTACAGGATAAGATTGTCAAAAAAAGAAAAGAAAGGGATAGAACAATAAATGCTGTGAGTAATGTCACAGGTTTGTACAGCCATAAAGTAAAGTCCAATAGCAAAAAGAGAGCAAGAAAATCATGATGTCATGGGAAGATGCAGTAAAAAAAGGGCAAAGCAAAACACTATCAGTATCAACACAGTTCCTTTATTGTCAGTCAGGCATTCTAAAAAAATATGTGTCCATAAAAATGATTCAAAAATCAAAAATAATCGCACTGTAAATGAATGTTCTGCTGAAAAAAAGAAACTGGAGCCACCGGTCCACCACCTAGTCCAAATCTGACAGTTCCATGGCCTTACCAATGGACTGGTTGTGTTGGACCACCTGATCAAACGAGGGAGGGAGAGGAGTAGTTCCAATTTGGAACAAGTGAGTCCCAGGCAGCGTGTGGTAGGTGTAGCTGTAGCGAAGACGATGGACAAATGATAAGTGTACCCAAGTGAATGGGACAGCGATGAACATGGGCGACGCAAGGGGATGAACCTTCTCCAGCTCAAAAATTACCCACCCACGCTCCAACCAGGCAAGACGAGCGACCGATGTTTTGATAGTATATGATGGCAGATCGACGTCATGAAGATGGACCTGTTGCCCTATTTGGACCGGCCGCCGGGGCTTTGCTGATATCAGCAGTGGCACGTGGTAGTCAACGGATCGGCGACGGAAGCGGATAGGAAGTGGTGACATCAGAAATGGTGGGGGTGCAAAGAAGATGAGGAGGAGGAGGGTGGAGGTGACGAGGAGGTGAACTAAAATGGGGACCCAGAAACGACCGTCGGGTGAGAATAAAAAGGAGAGGAAGGGGCCCATGGTGGGGCTAGGCAAAGGAAGGGGAGTAAGGGAAACGACAAAAGCGAGGGCGCAATGCAATGTGTAGCCAGTGGCGACGCGAAAATTTGCCGAAATGCCGAAATGCGGAAAGTACCGGATGGAAAAGCAAAGGTGAGCGTGACTGGATTGCCTAATAGAGGTGATGCTGATCAGCCACAAGTTCAAAAAGGGCAATATTAATTACTATTCCACGTGGCACTGTGCCTGTGTGGCGCAAAGGCGAGTCTTTTTGAATATTCGC